TGTGTTAATTTAATTTTTAGTTTATTTGTGGTCTTAGATAAAATTTTGTTTTATTTTTGTTTTCAAAGCAATTTTTGTTCTCATATTTTTTGGCCAAATAATAAAATAAACATTAATTATTAATTAAGAAATACAAGTCAGCAGAACCCCTCATTAAAGGATACCTTGAGGAGCATGAAATAAACCTTGTACTGAGGTGTTTATTAAATAGGGGCAGCATCTCCCCCGCGGTTCCCCTCCCATTAAGCAACTCCCCAGCCCAATGACTCGATTATTAGATAGAGTGTAGGAAATGGTCTTTATATTTTCGGGAATCCTAATTAATTATTAATTTAACGTTCAATAATTTCTTTATTTCGCAATGAAACCTACAATTTATTTAACAAGGGAAGAAGCATATTATATTAATAATAAAAGGGACAGATTGTGATCCAAAAAGATAAATTAATGACCGCTGAGATAGATAGAACGGGGAAAAGCCAGCTATTTTTATAGCGGTTGATTTACAGGAAAGTATTTTGTAATATGTTTGTGTGAGAAAGTGAATAAAGAATTCCAGTGATTAACCGATTTCGTAATTTCATTAAGTTTATTTAAATAATTAATTCGCCGGATGCGACACTCCCGCGGCGAACATTGAGTGAATGGGTTGGATATTGAATAATGGGAGATAACAAAATATAGGCTGGATGTTGAATAAAGGGAGAAGATTAGGAATGGGCCAATTTGGGTTTACATTGTTATAAGTAGTTATAATGCGTGGCAAAATAGGGGGGACCGTAAATTTAATTGAGTTTAATGGTGGAATGTTTGAAATATTTCTTTTCTTAATTTTCTTATTCTTATTCTTTCGCAATTTGGCCAATTGATTTTTGGTAATGGTTGAGGCTGGGAGACGTTCAACAAAACCAGAAGGAAGCACTTGAACACGGCTGATTGGGAGCTTGATTGGAGAACTGGTCGGAGACGGTGGAGGATCCAAAATCTTTTTCAATTTCGAAGGAACATGCGGTTGTTGTGGTTTTGTAGGCGGAGTATTTTGTGTTTGATGTTTGTCAGTAGCAGCAGGCGGGAAAGTGTTTAGATCATGAGAGTCCAATTTTGTTGCGGGGGAAGTCGGACTTGAGGATTTGTCTGATGGAACATCACCTGGGGGGCCTGAAGATTTGTTTAGTCCTTTCCATCCACGCACATTATCTGTGGGAACTAAAATTTTTATTTCTAACTTATTATTTTTAATGGCCTTTAGAGGACCATGTCGTTGATTAATTATATTTGCGGGAATGGCAGTTGTGTGATTGGGGATGGGTAATTGATTTTGATTGCCGTCTATTTGTGTACCGGATTTAATTGAGTGATTGATTGATTGTAGCTCTTCGGGCGGTAAGGATTTATTTCCACCCTTTTTGTTTGGATAGGCTAATTCGGTTTCGGTTTTTGAAGAATAATTAAAAGACTTTGTAGTATAAAATTTATCCGGTAATTTTATTAACGATAGAGGGATTGGGGTTATAGGAGGGGGTGTGCTTGGTGTTATTTGTGAGTGATTAATTGTATGTTGCTGGGAAATTTCTTGTTGTGGGGATATATTGGGTTCTTCCTTATAATCTTCATCTATGTGGGGTTAATTACTTTGGGTGTTAAATAATTTCGGGCAAAGTGCTCTGGGATGCAGGTTATTACAATTGGTGCAAGTAAGTGGTCTTTGACAATTTCTCGAAATATGATTGGGTTTATAGCAATTAAAACATAAATTTTTCTCATATAAACGGGATTTTCGAGAATGGATCGAATTATAGTTATAGCAATGGTGGGATAAATGGTCAGGTTGGTTACAGAAAATACAGGGGAATCTAAACCTCCCTGTTTTATTGTTTAGTTGAGATGTATAAAATGTTAGAGAGGACTGTGGTATGTTAGGTGGGCTACTCTGTCTGACGGGTCGGGATATTTTTTGAATACAAGGGTGACTTATCTGCTCGTTGAGCTCATTCTTTTGGTCGTTGATGGCTTTTATTCCTTCCTTTCTTTTCAGTATTTGTTTTAGTGTTGTCCGTAATTGATCAGTTTGCCAGTTTTCACCATAGTTGTCTTTAGCTTTAAATATTTCTTCTAAAATAGGAGGTGGAAGTTTTGATTCTAATTCCATTTGGATGGGAAGTGTATTGATGTCAAATTCCTGTTCAATCATTTGCAAATATAATAATTCAAATTGGTCTACAAATGTTCGTAGTTCCATACAAAAATTTTCAGGGCCATTATTGGAATGTACTGTGGGTAATTTTCGAATTGAATGGAGAAGGGTCCTATTTATTTCATCGGAATTTCCATAATTTTCTCTTAGAAGTCGGATTGCCTCATGATAAGAAGCATTGGTTAAAGGAAGAGATTTAATTAATAACAGTGCGGGTCCATCTAGACATTCCTTGAGATAATTAAATTTAACTGCATCGGAAAGATCTGGAACGTCGTGGACACCAACTTTAAATGAATTCCAAAATGAAGTAAATTCAATACATTTTCCACTAAATTTGGGGAGTGAGAGCTTCGGGAGCAGACGTGGGCGAAACGTTTCGTTTCGTTTCGTTGTTTCGTATGTTTCGTATGATTTTTACTGTTTCGTCTCGTTTCGTTACGAAACACTTTTAAATTTGTTTCGTTTCGTTTCGTTACGAAACACCTGTGATTTTTCAACGAAACGAAACAATTTTTTAAGCCTAAACTAAGGCCAAAATCTATAAAATTTACCATCTTTTATTGAAAATTTAAAAAATTTTCGCCTGCGGCGCTGAAAAAAAAAGAATTTCGGCTTCTTGGCTTTCCCAAATTGTCAAAATTTTCGCCTGCGGCGCTGAAAAAGGAAGATAGCAATTACTTATATACTACAAATCCGTTTATACTCCACTCCCTAATCCACATATACATATTACTTAATCGACGACAAATTCTATTACCGGACTCGCATCATAATTTAAAAATTGCGGATTGCGAGTTGCGGAAATACTGGAACCGGAACTTCCGGCGAAGCACTAGCTTATATCGCCTTCCTCTCGAAATGGAGATATGGAGACAATTTGGGTAGGCAATGGAGCAAGATGGTGAATTTTTTGGCCTACGGCCTTTCAAAATTTTAAAATTTTTCGTCTGCGGCGCTTAAAATAAAATTTTACTTGAAAAATATTCAATTTTATTTAAAAAAAAGCGTCGCCAAAAATTTGGCTTCGAAAATGATTGACCCCCCCCCCTTCCCCGAAAATTTTCCTTGCTACGGGCCTGGCTTATGGGACACAATTGTTGTAAATAAACCAATAACTAAATCATTTATAAGTCATAGTCGACTAATAACGTATTTGAGGTCGAATAATTTCGAAATAAATGCAGTTTTGAAAATTTTTTGAATATTAAAATGTTTCGTTTTGTTTCGTTTCGTTTCGTAAGATTTTGGTTGTTTCGTTTCGTTTCGTTAACGAAACGATTTTTAAAAAATTTTGTTTCGTTTCGTTTCGTCAGAAAAAAATTTTGAGTTTCGCCCAGGTCTGTTCGGGAGATGGAAATGTGTATTTGTGATTTGGGAGGGGTCGGGAAGAGCTTCTGTTAATTTAGCCTTTTCGGAAAGGAGTTTACGGGAATATCTTTTTAAATCTCTGAGTTTATTAAGGAATGGGGTTTCTGTAGTAAATGCTTCGTATATTGGGGTGTCGGCTTGGCGCTCTGCGCCTGTCATACTGGTACGAATGCTCATCCATTTTTCGTGGGCTGAGGTTATATCTGTAATTGTTTCGGATACATGTCCTAATTCTAATTCGAGGGATGTAATGAGGGAGCGAATGTTTGCACGGTGGAGGGAAATGCTCCCTATTTGTTCGGGGAGATTAAATTCTTTTTTATTATTTAAAATTTCGGTAGCGTCCTCGGCGAGGAGCCGCAATGCATTGCGGAAAGGTGCTGACATTTTTCGGGTTTTTCGAACCGGCTGAGCTGTAGGAAATGGTCTTTATATTTTCGGGAATCCTAATTAATTATTAATTTAACGTTCAATAATTTCTTTATTTCGCAATGAAACCTACAATTTATTTAACAAGGGAAGAAGCATATTATATTAATAATAAAAGGGACAGATTGTGATCCAAAAAGATAAATTAATGACCGCTGAGATAGATAGAACGGGGAAAAGCCAGCTATTTTTATAGCGGTTGATTTACAGGAAAGTATTTTGTAATATGTTTGTGTGAGAAAGTGAATAAAGAATTCCAGTGATTAACCGATTTCGTAATTTCATTAAGTTTATTTAAATAATTAATTCGCCGGATGCGACAAGAGGTTTATATTGGGGGTATTTTAGGAAGAGGTTTGACTTTATCTTATAATGAGTGATAACTTAAATAGGGAGGTTGTGACTCCCCCTCCGAGTCACAATCGGTTTAGAACCCATTTCTAGAGAGAGCTGTATCTTGTATCTCCTTATGCTTTACAGAGCTGTTGGGGGTGATGACTATGCTTTCTCACTTAACCGATCATCAACCCCCGCCTAATCATTTTAATTGCTGCCAGATGAATCATCCCTTCATTTATTTATGTCAGTCGATTAGGCCAACATTCCATTTTTCATTATTGTCGTCCTTATTCGATTATAATCATCGTCTGTGGCTGATAAATAATTTTCATTAATTAATTTTTTAATTTAGAAAAATTTTTTAACTGCTAAAGTAGCGCAATTGTCTCTGTTCTCGAATGTCTTTGTGCCAACTCCTAATTTTAGATAAACCTCTATTTAATTTACACGTTTTTCAAACTGCTTGGTCATTTGATGGTGGAGTTTCTAAAAATACACCCTATTTAGGATACGCTCATTATAAGAATCCTCCCCCCCCTTCCAAAACTAAAACACCTCTATTTAATAGACGCTTTTTGAAGATACGTATTTTAAGCTGGTATGTTACTAGGTTAGTGAGCTTCCAGAAAAATACTCTCTATCTAACGTACATCTCATTATAAGGTAAGATTCCTAAGGGGACGTGTTTCAAGCTGGTTTATCACAGGGTTGGGGAGCTTCCAGAGATTTACTCCCTATTTAAGATACGCTTTATTATAGAGAGAGACAATTTTTCCATCCTTAAGAGACTTTAGAAAAAGTCACTATTGCCAGTCAGTCATCTTTAGTTGTTTAAACAATTAATCAAGTCTGTGACTGATAAAAATTTTTTTCTTTAATTTTTTTAATTTTCTAGTCAAATTTATTTTACTAGCTATATAATGCTAGTACATAAATGCCTTAAACGATTTATTTTTTTAATTTTATTTTTAATCTCGTTATCGTCCCTAAACAGGTAATTTAAATTTAAAATTTGAAATTTTTATTTTTAAAAATTTTATTAAAGTGCAACGCGCACAGAACGTGAAGGGATTAATGGGCAAGATGTCGGCGTTAATATTGAGGTGAATTTAAGAAAAAAAATTTTTTTCTTGGGTTTATTAAAACATTCGTAAGGTAAAATGAAAATAATACTGGATTTTTTGAAAGCAAAAAGGAATATACCTTACCTACCGTAATCCAATTTTTCTCTCATATCAACTCATTAAAGTATCCCTCTCATTAATTAACAGAGAGTGGACATTTGCGTACACTAGACATTTGCGTACAAAACACAGCAAGTCTTTTAAAACTGAAACACAGCCTCTGGCTTTAGGCCAATACCTAACATAGAATTTCTAATTAGTAGATAAATATTTTATTCTAAGGGATAGAATACCCCAAAAAAATCAACAGCTAATTTAAGAGAAAATTAGGGAGTTTCCGCAAATGTCGCTCCTACAAGTTCAATAGTTAAGGCTAAATTTTATTAACCAAATCATACGCAAAAAACCCCTAACTTGAAGCAAAATTTTTTACAATTTCAAGTGGCTAACAGACGATCAACTAAGCGAATTGAGCGAAACAGAAGGCCGCCCAGCTCGCCTAGTTAAGCTTAAACAATTTTATGACGCTTTGGAAGACAGCAAAGCCAAGACTGAAGCAACTAACAAAATTGTAGAACAGTGTTATGATTGGCTAAGTGAAGTAGTTAGTGAAGAAGAGAAGAGTGAACTTGAACAGTTGCATGAAGCAAATCATGAGGAATGCCACAAAAAAGTCCATGAGTATTTAAACAGATTGGGGGAAGACAAAAGGGGGCAAATTGAGGAGAAACTTCCCTTCTGTGAACATGTCTGGTATGGGCAAGCACATAAACATGAGCATCCGGAAAATAATTCCGGAAAGGAAGAAGAAAAAACTGAAGCAAAAGAAGAGAATAAAGTGGAGGAAAAGAAAGAAGAGGAGCATCATGAACACCATCATGCTAAGAAGCGATGGGTAATATTTTTATCTGTTGAAGCATTTTGCTTCAGAAGCATTTTTTGCTTCATTTTCTATTATTTTTGCTTCAGCTTCATTCCTTAACTTCATTTTGCTTCAGAATCATATTTTTGCTTCATTTTTGTTTGCTTCATATTTTGCTTCAGTTCTCACCTCATCTCTTGCTTCAGATCTTACTATCCTGCTTTGCTTCATTTCTCTGTTTCAATATTTAATTTTTGCTTCAGCTTCCTGTTTTGCTTCATTCCCATGCTTCATTATTAAATATTTGCTTCAGTTTTTGTTTTGCTTCATTCTCTTGCTTCATTATTAACTTTTTGTTTCAACTTTCTGTTTGCTTCATATTACTGCCTCAGTATAAAAATTTTGTTTCAGTTTCCTGTTTTGCTTCATTTCCCTGGTTTAGTGCTAAAATTTTTGCTTCTGCTTCACTTTTTAGTAATATTTATATTCGTTTTTGCTTCACTTTTCAGGTTCATCGTCATCGTCGCGACCACGACCATTTTGCTCACGATGATGGAGTCCACGAGCATCATGAGCTCGAAGACTATTTACGCACACATCTCTCTTGGTTAACAGACGAACAAAAGGCTGAGATGCGTTCTCTCAAAGCGGAGGGTGCCGGAAAAGAATCTTTACGTTCAAAAGCAATGCAATATCTCGAACAGAGTACTGGAGAACAAAGAAATGAAGCAATAAAACAATTAGTTAGTGGATGCCGAGAATTGTTGCGTAGATTGTTTGGAGCTGAAGCAGCTGAAGAATTGAAGCAAATGAGGGAAAGTGGAACTACTTATGAGGAATTGGAAGTAAAAATTGGGAAATTGACTGAGGGTTTGGATGATGAAGGGAAAAGACAAAAGGTGTGTTATGAGATGATTTTTCTTTCACGAAACTCGAAATTTCGCAAAACTTGAAATTTCGAGAAATTTCACGAAACTCGAAATTTCGTGAAATTTCACGAAACTCGAAATTTCGAGAAAATTTTCAACGAATTTTTTATGAAAATTTTTAGGCTCGAGATTATGGCCCACCATGTAAACGAATATTTGCTTTGAGCATGGCTGTACCACCAACATCTCGCCGTCGTAGAGAATGTGCTCAATGTTCTGAACGTTTAAAACATGCATTAAAAACACACCTTTCTTGGCTCAGCGATGAACAAAAGGCTGAATTAAAAGCTGATGAGATTGCAGGGAAGACCAGGGAAGAAACGAAAGAAAAAGTAATGAAATGGTTTGAGGCCATTGGTGATGAATCTGAAAAGGAAAAGGCTAGAGAATTGATGAAGGGTGGATGTCGGGAAATGATTAAGGAGGTGAGACTTAAGAAATGAAAAAATTTTTAATCACTGTTATGTATATAAGGAAGAAGATTATAATCCTTTTAGCCCGAACTTCTGTGGAAATGAAAAAATAAAGTTCGAAAACGAAATTACATGAATGTTTCGAAACACGAAATTTCGTGAAAATGTAGAAAATTTCGAATCACGAAATTCTATAAATGACTATTGTATTCTAATTGATGATCGCAATTCTATTTTTCGATACCTCCAAAAAAGGGCCATTCAATTGGAGAGACAAAAATTATGTAGAAGCTCGAAATTTCTGAAAATATTTAACGAAATTTCGCAAATTTAAAATGCGATGTTTCGAAAAAGTAAAATCAGGATGAATTTGATTATACTTTTCAGCTTCTTGGAGAGGAAGCAGCATCCAAGATAAAGCAAATGAAAGAAAGTGGAGCTACACCTGAAGCTTTGACAGCAGAAGTAGATAAACTTATGGGAGAGATTACAGATGAAAAGAAGAAAGAAACGGCTGCATTATACTCTTCTGCATGTAAACAAGTATTCGGAATTAAGGCTTCGAGAAAAAGACGAGATCATCATCATGGGCATGGAGGAGGACACACTTTAGAGGATTACTTCAAAACTCATTTAAGTTGGCTGGATGATGGACAAAAGGAGAATCTTAAAGCAATGAAGGGAGAGGGAAAAACAAGGGAGGAAATGCAGAAGAAGGTAAATTGAATTACTAGAAAATTTGGAAAGGTTTCCGAAGATTTCAAGGCCTCTGGGAACCTTTTTCTAGCAAACGATGGTTGTTATAGATCTCCTGTTCCTCTCTTCCTAAGGAATGCAAACTTAGGGTCTTATGTAAATCCAGAAATAGCAAAAGAATGGATGGGACTTTATCCTGAAACTCTCCGATGGAAAGATATTAACTCCCCCCCCCCCAACCAGGGATTCCGCAAGCGCAAGCGTAAAAAATTCCGCAAGCGTAATCCGCAAGTTAAATTTTAAAATCCGCAAACGCAATCTGCTGATAGATATAAGTGATAATCTGGGATATAAGGGGATTAGAGGGATTAAATGTGGGGTTTTAAGGTATATCCGCATTACACAATCCGCAATTGCGTGTATCTCTTCTCCAAACATCCCCCACAGACTGATCGTTTTATTTTTGTTTTATTTACTAGTCGAAGAGGCAGCTTAGCCAAAATTAGTCGAACTATATATTTAAAAAATTTTAATCTCTAAGGTAATGGAATGGTTCAACAAACTGGAAGGAGAACCAAAAACGAAAGCATTAGAATTAATGCAGACTGGATGTCGAGAACTTTTAAAAATAATACTTGGGGAAGACAAAGCTATTGAAGTTAAAAACATGAAAGAAGCTGGAACTGATATAAATTTAATAAGTAATAAAATAAATGAATGGATTAATGAATTGAGTGAATCTAGCCATTTACGGAAATTGGCAGAAGAATACAAACCTGTTTGTAGACAACTTTTTGGGGTAGGAGAGGAGAAGAAACCTGCAGGAAGGAAACGAAGAGATCATCATCATGGGCATGGAGGAGGACACACTTTAGAGGATTACTTCAAAACTCATTTGAGTTGGTTGGATGATGGACAGAGGAAGAATCTTAAAACAATGAAAGGGGAGGGAAAGACAAGGGAGGAAATGCAGAAGAAGGTAAATTTAATTATTAGAAAATTAGGGAGATTAGGATTCTGAATGAGAGAATTTATTAATTCATAAAGGGAGCTGTCAAAGGTCATGTCGTATAATGCCATAAAAGAATGATATACTAATATACCGTATTTTTTTCTTATAGTGCGACTGTCTCTATTAGACCGACCCTTCTAATAATCCGACCCTCTAGAGGAAGGTTGAAAAATAAAACGACCGGTCGCACTATTAGAAGAAATACGGTAGTTCAGTCAGAGTAGAGGAATTATTATCGAAGTATCTGATATACCAGAAGTACAAAAGCGAGTCGACGTTATTAGGCTCAGGACTAGGGTTGGATCTTGATGTCATACGGTTCGGATTTTGCTTCCGGATCGTCGTTGATTCCCAGGCTACGTTATCCCTATTCATGATTTAAGATGTGGCAAAAGATAACTATAGTTGATTAGGTAATACCTAGGTGTGTATTCCGAGAATTAATAATTAGGCTTAGAGATTGAACGAGATGAGATTTGGAGGAAAATCTCAGTTATCAATATCAAGATTTACGAGATACAGAACTTGACTCGACGACATTTCCAGTCATAAATTCTTAATCTCTAAGGTAATGGAATGGTTCAACAAATTGGAAGGAGAACCAAAAACGAAAGCATTAGAATTAATGCAGACTGGATGTCGAGAACTTCTAAAAATCATACTTGGGGAAGACAAAGCTATTGAAGTTAAAAACATGAAAGAAGCTGGAACTGATATAAATTTAATAAGTAATAAAATAAATGAATGGATTAATGAATTGAGTGAATCTAGCCATTTACGAAAATTGGCAGAAGAATACAAGCCTGTTTGTAGACAACTTTTTGGGGTTGGAGAGAGATCTGTGAGCAGAAAGAGGCGTTCCTGGAAGGATATTTATGGGAAGAAGAAGTTAAATAATAGATACGACGATGAAGAGGAGGGAGAGGATGGAGGATACTCAAACCCGAGAGTGTCTAATATTGAAGATAATGAAGAACAAACACAGACGGATATTGGGTTAGTTTTTTGGATTTTTGAAAGGTTAAGGCTTCCTTCCAATTCTATGAATATTTTTCCTTTTTTGACTGTGATTTCTTAACTTAAAAAGGTATCTAAAAACGAAATCAGCCAATAAGATACCTTAACTCGCGTAAAGTTTCTAATAGAATACCGAGTCACTTTCAAAAGGGGTATTCTATTAGTGAAGGCATTATAGTGGTTGGGGAGGGGGTTAATATATTTTAATTGTACTGATATTAATATTAAGGTTGTCGTATCGGATATCCGGATCCGAAAAAGACCGGATATCCGTTAATTTTCGCTTCGGATATCGAATCCTTTCCAACTATCCGACAACCTTACTGGGTATAGCTCGCTAGCTGGCCATAGGGCTGTGTTACAGTTAGATCCGGAACCAATATTTTAAAATAGGATAGAGTCATACCCATAAAACGGCCGATAGCAGCACTGTTGATAGCTTAAGGATTCTAACAACATATATAATGTAGTTATGCTCATTTAAAATTTAAAAAAATAATTTAAAGAGATGACGGTGAAGACCATGATTTTGGCGATGAACACTTAAATGCACACAAAAAATGGCTCACTTCAAGTCAGAAGCGTCATATAAAAAGAATGAGAGAGAAGGGACACGAGGACCATGAGATACATGATAAAATAAATGAATTTCATGAGACTTCGCCTGAGGAAGTTAAGGTGAGCTTACCTATGGTTTTTATTAGAGAGATTTATATCAGTAAGATAAACCCAAGTTTTCGCCTTAAATGACGAAATGAGCAAACACTTTCTTTTACGAAACACGAAACGAAAAATATGCAAAACGAAATTTCGTGAAAACGCGAAACAAACCAAAACGAAATTTTAAACGAAACACGAAACAAACACAAAACGTAATTTCGAATTCGCAAATTAATTTCGTAAACTATTCTTCAGAGAACAGCACAAGGAATTCTCAAGAGAGGATGTGAGTCTGTATTTCAACGTTTATTCGGAGAATATATTGCGGACGAAATCATCCAAGCTCGTGAACAGGGAGCTTCTACGGCCGAACTTGACGAGAAAATAAACACAGCCTTAGGGCACATTAAAAATGCAAAAAAGAGGAGAGAGGCGACCCGTTTCGCTGCTACATGCCGTCGAATATTTACTATGGTAGCTTAATTAATTTCTGAGTTAAACCCCAAAAATTTCGCTTAGATTGAACGACGTCGCAGAGCTGCTACCCCAATAGAAGAACAAACTCTGGAGGAACTTTTCTCTTCCCATTTAAGTTGGCTAACTGAAGCACAGCAAGAGGAATTGAGGAGGATTAGGGATGAAGGCTTTGGGCGAACTGAAATGCAAGAACGCGTAGTCGAGTGGTTGGGGGAGCTGTCAGGGCATGAACGTGCAAACGCTATGGAGCAGTTGAGAGAAGGGTGAGATTCTGATTTTCTGAATTATTTCTCTGATTCTGAACATTTAAGTTTAATTATGATTTTTCCAAAATTCTGGTTTCTAGAATTCTAATTTTAATTTTGATCTCTCTAGAATTCTGAGCATTACATAATTCTGATTCACTAAAATTCTGATCTCTAAAATTCTGATTTCACTAAATTTCTGATTTCCAAAATTCTGATTCTGATTTTTAAAATTCTGATTTTAATTCTGATCTCACTAGAATTCTGATTTTTACAAGATTCTGCTTTTTAAAATTCTGATTTTTAAAATTCTGATTTTAATTCTGGTCTCACTAAAATTCTGATTTTTCTAAAATTCTGATTTCTCAAAAATTCTGATTTTTTCAAAATTCTGATATTTCTAAAATTCTGATTTTTTAAAACTCTGATTTTTTAAGTTCTGATCTTCCTAAAATTCTGATAAATTCTGATTTAAGTTTTATTAATTCTGGTTACTGCAAATAATAAAAGTCAGAATTAAAAAACAATTAAATATTTATTCTGATTCAGTTTTATCATTATATTAAGCTAAATTCTGTTCTTCACCTTAATTCTGATTTTCAAGTTTATTTTTTATCTTGATTTATTCTCTAGTTGCACTCTGCTTCTCTTCCAAGTTTATGGAAAAGATAAGGCCAACGACCTAATAAAGCTGAAAAATCAAGGCGCTCCAAAACACGAAATTGCCTTACGCCTTGTTGACGAAGAACAGAAGCAATCTAAAGCTTTTGGGCCTGTTTGCAGACATTTCTTTATCGAGGGGAATTATTAAAAATTAATCAGCTTTTAGTAAAAGCATTTCTAAATTAAATATTGATTTCAATTTATTTTTAAAATTAAATTTTTATTTTTTTTTAAATATTTTTACCACACTTTTCATTTTTATTTATGACTTTATAAAATTTTTGGATATGAAAGGATCGGGATTTTGGCATTTCGAGATACTAATGGGTTAATTAGAATTTTTTTCTCTTTATAGGAAAAATTAAATGATTAAGCCAAATAGTTTAAAGCTCCCGAACAACAAAATAGCAACTGTTTAGATGGGACTTGATTCGAAGTCTCTCCGATGCATGGCTATTTACTCACACATCCCTCCACTTACTCTTCGTTGCTAGGCTAGGGGGATAAATACATCAACGTTACAATATTTAAAATTCAATCTTAGTGGGGGTGTTTGCTAGGTCAATTATACACGCGAGTCTGGAGTGATATCTAAAACACGTGACTACGATTTTTATTTTCTTGCATAAAATCAAGACGTTGTCCTTAAAAATGAAATTCATGACCAGTGATACTTCGAAAACTCGGAATTTCGAAAAATCTCTCCACTCTTTTAATTAAAAACTTATCATATCTCTATTTTAGACGTTTAAATCCCGATCCTTTTATATTTTCTAAATAAAATCTGATGGTTGGTAAGTTACCGCTTAAATAATGCCTTAAAAAATACCACATTCCTGAATTGCTCAAATTGTGTTAAAAAATATTTTTTTAATTGAATAAATTTATTTTTAGCATAATTTTAATTTTAAAATATTTTTTGTTAACAAAATAAGAAAACAAATAACGTCGGATTTAATATATTAATAGTTAGAAACAGTGAAACTTGGACAAGACACGCATCGATAATTCGAAAATTTGACCAGAGCTTAATGAACTTAATTTTGTCTACAAGCGAAAAAAAATTTCGGAAAAAAATCCGCAATTTCGGACATCTCTGCTCGCTAGGAAATGGAGATTTGACGGAGCTACCCCGATTTTTTCTTAGTTATGATCAGCCATTTTACAGAGTTGTTTGATTTTCCTCGAATTAAAGCAAGAATCAAATCGGCGATTGGAAATTGAATTGAATGTCAAAGATGAAGACTTTTTTAGAGTTACCATATTTAATAGGCACTGGGAGTATGAGAAAAGTACGAGTTTAGCCCCAGGTAGACATCGATGCTGCTATCTACTGGCGTTATTGCTAGGCGTTTTGGCCACGTACTCGCCACGCACCAGAGATAAATCGGAACTGACGAAGGTGCCGGAAATTATAGCTGTCGGAAATCGGAAATGGCTCAAAAGTCGGAACTCTGAAATCGGAAATAAACGTGAAAATTCGGAAATTGGAAATCGAATTTCATTGACTGCCGCATTTCGTCTTTTATTTTTTTACTTTCGCCTTTTCCATTATGTCTTTCACTTTAACGAAAATACGAAGGTCTATTTTTCAGTTCAATTTGTTTAAAGTAAAATCAGTTTCGGTACAACTTTGGTAAACATCTAGAAGAATAATTAAAACAAATAATTTAAGAAGATAAGAAAGAAAGGACAAAATTTAATTTAAACAACATTTTAACATTTAAGACTATTCTTCTGATAAGCCTCAAAAATATAAACAAAAATGAAACAATTGGGCGCGGGCTGTGGACAAAAATTGTCCATAGATTTTAATATATAAGAACGCCGTTGAAAATTTTTTTTAAAATTTTTTTTGACTTATTTTAAATTAAAATTTTAACCCTAAATTTTATCAAAATGTTTATAAATTATCTTTTTTGTTTGTTAATATTTTTAAATTTGATTGGAATATTGCTTTGTTCAAATGACTTGAACAGGTAAAAAAATAAATTTAATAGTTAAATTTCGTAAGATTCTAACAGACTAGCATTTAAAAATAAAACCGGAACCGATGAAATTTTCTTAAAAATATTTATCGAAAGAATACCGACCGACCCCTCCGACCGAGCTCTAATTAAAACTATTAGAAATAAAATTTTGTAGAGAAGCAAGTAAGATGAAGAATAGGGAGGGGGTAGTTTCATACAAATTTTCCGGACCGGGTACAATCCTTTTAAGATTTTAAAAAGAAAGTAAGTCATTGACTTTAGGATTCATAGATCGAATTAAGGTTATTCCTACAGGTTTTTAAATTGCCTTCGGATCGGATTTCGTGTCAAAAAATGCTAGGAGGGTCGGATAACTTCCCTGGGTAGGTAAACAAGCCGTCACTGCTTTGTAACAATGATAGTAGACCTCCGAGGGAAGCGTCTCTATTTATAAATCCCAAACTCCAATCCATTTGATTTAAGATAAAGATTTTTCAGACCCCGTATTTAAACCATTTTTATAAAGCTATGGACAAGAAGCAGAATTAAAAGATACCGGAAGCTCAGTATCTGGAATTAATCAACAACTTTCAAGAACACGAAGATACATTAATGAAGACGAATATAAAAAAGAAAAGATGAGAGAAAGTTTGTACAAAATTTTAGAAATAAATTCTGGTTGGTTAACTGAAGAGCAGAAGGGAGAATTAAGAAAGGATTTGAAAAATGGAAAATCATTGGATGGAGAAATATATGAGAAAGTTTTTCAATGGTTTAGTAGATTGAAATTGACATTATCTGAATGGTCTGAAGCAAAGGATACTGCTTCATCTAGTTGCTATATTTTTTCGTGGAAGGTAAAAGAGAATCATTGCCGTATTAAAAGGGTTAAAAATCTGGGAAATAAAAATTTCGTTTTCGGGAAATAGAAATTTTCGGAAATTTTGGAAATTGGAAATTGGAAAAATTTCGGAAATCGGAATCTGACCGACCTATGATACTAAGCAACGAGGGCACCAACCCTGATTATTTGTGTAATTTCAGAAAAATTACACAAATAATCATAATCAGCTCTTAAATTTTCTTTTTAAGAGCGTATATGAGTTGATCCAAAGTGTAGATATACTCCTATTGAAAGTGGAATTAATTTATGGCGATGAAAAATGCAATAATCTCGAAAGTGACCTTAATAAGTTAACAGCAATCGTTGATGATAAAAAAGAAAGAAACGATATTGTTCAAAAATATTGTGATTTAATAAAAAATAATACAAAAATAAGAGATAAGAGAGAAAGTAAAGAAAATACAACTAGTGAAAATAAGATAGAAAATTATTTCAAAATACTAAACTTGGATTGGTTGGATGAAAAGCAGCGTGAACATCTTAAAAATATGTCCTCTGAAGCAAATCGAGCAGCAATGCGATATAAGGTAATCAGACAATATTTGTAAAATTATTAGTTTCGTTAACATGAAAGGTGTCGGGGCTTAAAATGGTCAAGCATTCATGTTTAATAAACTATAGTATGGCTTGTTCCAAAACTGATTTTGAAACATGAATGATAAAAACGCGGTCGAAAATGAAAATTTAATTTAAAAATCGAAAGACGAAAGGCAATGCCGATTACCCGAAATCGGGAATTTTGCTTTTTATCGGTAGGATCCCTAGCACCCTAGGTCCCTAGGTAGGATCCCTATCACATACATGTCTAAATGAAAAAATCGAACGGCCTAACTTTAGTAAGAGCAAGGTAAAAGTTTAATCCCGGGCAGGCTTCGATACTATGACCTACTGGCAGTTATTGCTAGTCGCTTTCGCTCACCACGTACAGGTGCTCTACCGACTGAGCCGGGACGCTGCTTTTACCTTCTCTTTAATAGACCTTAAATCCCCGCCTAGTGAGCGTTTTAAATGCTAGCCAAACAATAATGGACAAGGTTCCATGCACTAAAATTAAAAATTATTTAAGGTAGTAAAATGGTTTAATCATTTACAAGCTGAGGCAAAAGAGAGAGCCACTGATCTTTTCAAGGCCGGATGTAACAAACTTCTAAAAATAAGTCAAGAGGGATGTGATTATTTTGGCTCATTAGACTCGCAAAAAATCGACGAGCTTAAAGAGTACATGGACTGGACAACGTATAACAAAATAAAAGAATTAATTGCTCCATTGCAAGAAAAAGTGGAACTCAGAAATATTGCTCATGATTATAATCAAACTTGTAGAGAACTTTTTGGCATTGGAGAGGAGGAGGAAAGTGAAGAGAAGGAAGGTGGAAGACAAAGGCGATCTTATGACAGAAGAGACTCGAGGGCTGAACAAGAAAGTGGAGAAGGAAGTGAGGAAGAGGTTGACAATCGTGATTATAACTCGAAGGTGCTTAATGTTGAAGCAAACAATAATGAACAAAGTGGAAGAGAGTTAGTTTCTATAAAATTATAAAATAGGGTGTTATCGAAACCTGACCGAGAAGGATTAGGTCAATTTTTTATCGAAGAAAATTTAAATTTGAATTCCTGCTCCTGGCAGGCATCTCTCAAGCAATCTCATCTCATCTCTCAACTCCTTGCAGGGGAATTGTTCAAAATTATAATATCGAAAACTAATAGCATTTTTGTGATAAAAATCGGGTATTTAATAATTAGCCCAAGAGAGCTATTTAAAAACGAGTTATGCCTATGTTTCAATCCTCTCGACATTATCAACCAGTGCTGGGTATATATCCGGGAAGTATCTCCAAAGATGAACCCGTTCGGATATGGAACCGAGATTTTGAAATGCCCAATGTTAAAGTAAATCACTTCAAACCCTCGTATTTGCTGCCGGAACTAAAATTTCGAAAAACGTCGGCGCCTGGTAATAAAGCAATATTAAACACCCAATTTTTATCAACTTAAGGGCTAATAGAATATATTCCTTATTTAAATAATTTTAAAAAATAATTTGAAGAGATGATGGGGAAGAACACGATTTTGGAGATGAACACTTAAATGCACACAACTCATGGCTTAATTCTGACCAGAAGCGTCATATAAAAAGAATGAAACAAAAAGGGCATGAAGACCACGAGATACACGAAAAAATAAATGAATTTCATGAGACTTCGCCCGAGGAAATTAAGGTGAGATTAAATTATTTTTTGATTCAAGAGATCAGAAAATCAAAAACGAGATCATCTTAAGTGAGCGAAATGAGTAAAAATTTTATTTTACGAAACAGAAACGAAAAATAAAACAAAATAAAGCGAAATTTCGAACAATACACGAAATAACGAAAAATGTTCAAAACGAAATTTCGAATAAGATCCAAAAAGAAAAGTAAAACGAAATTTCGAGCAAAGCATGAAACAGTGATGGGTATTTGTCTTTTATTAGCTCCTGGCTTTAAACGAAACGAAAAATATACGAAACGAAATTTCAAACAAACACGAAACAAACACAAAACGAAATTTCGAATTCGCAAATTAATTTCGTAAAATTATAAAATTATTCTTCAGGTAACTGCAAAAGGAATTCTCAAAAGAGGATGTGAGTCTGTATTTAAACGCTTATTCGGAGAATATATTGCCGAGGAAATTATCCAAGCACGTGAACAGGGAGCTTCTACTGCCGAACTTGACGAGAAAATAAACACAGCTTTAGGGCATATTAAAAATGCGAAGAAGAGGAAAGAGGCGACTCGATTCGCTGCTACATGCCGTCGAATATTTACTATGGTCCTTTTATTTAATTTTTAAGTTAAACCCCGTAAAAATTTTTTAGATTGAGCGACGTCGCAGAGATGTATTATACACCACAAATGAAGACTTGAGACTATAATTAATGCCTTTAAACAGAAATACCACACCCTGAATTGCTCAAATTGTGTTACAAAAATAATTTTTTGATTGAATAAATTTATTCTTTAACAATTTTTTACTTATTTTAATCTTAAAAACTAATAATTAAAGACCGGAATGGGAGGGTCGTACGAAAATCGAGATCCATAACTCAGTTAGGTGATCTAATAGGAGTTAAAAAGATTGAGGGGATTTTAAGTGATATCAGAGGATTAAGGATATAATGGGATTTAGAGGGATTGAAGGGATTTGAAGGAAAATTGGGGATTTGACCGATAACGTGGGATTTAAGTGTTATTGGGGATTAATTAACAAATCACTTAATAAAAGTATATATTAGTACTAGTTTCGCCTTTCGTCCATTTTTACTTTGTTTCATAAAATGGATTTGAATTTGCCTTTCGATTTTTAAATTATCGTATTTTCGCCTTTTCCATTTCGTCTTTCGCTTTTTCTAATCAGTTTCGACATGGCACACCCCGGTTGTATATGCAGAAAAATATGTAAAATAAATGATTAAAATAAACATTTAAGCAAATAAATAAAAAAAGATCAAAATTTGATTCTAGCAACATTTTAACATTAAATGCTGATAAGCCTTATAAATATAACATTAAATAGGCTACATTTGGGCGCATGCTGTGGACAAAGTTGTCCATAGAATTTAGTATAAAATAGAAAGCAGTTGATAATTTTTTTGCAATTTTTTATTCATTTTATAAATTAATTTTTAACCAAAAAATGTTATCAAAATGTTTGTAAATTATCATTTTTGTTTGTTAATATTTTTAAATTTAATTGGAATATTGCTTTCTTCGAGGGAATTTAACAGGTAGAAAAAATCTTGAAAATTTAAATTTTGTAAGATTCCAAGTGGCTAGCGTTTAAAATGGATAGGATTAGGATTGTTTCAAGATCCAGGTCGGAGTCAGCGATAGGGGAGGAGTTGTAAAATTTATGGCTCTGTCCAGTTTAAACGACCAATCGCGCCTATCAGACTGTAGGTTTTAACAGAGAGCCGGGTACTTAAAAATGTGTTTGGATGTATAAACTTTTTATTGAACGTATAAAGGTTGATTGGGTCTTTAACTGGACAACAGCCAATTTTTTCGGATTGAGTAAAACCATTTTAAGACAGAAAAGAAATGTAGTGGGTAGGTTTGAGAGAAATGTTAGACCGGGCTTTCGGGTTTCTTCGAATCGAAGTTCGAGGAGTTCGGGTAACCTGACCCGACCTATCCCTGCTTTGTAAATATGAGTAGACCATATGAACGCAATGAAGGTAGCCTCCCAATTTATAACTGTTAATACTCCCTACACTTGAGTTAAGAACTCATAAAGGTGTGCGCATTAGATCGATGATTAAAATCATTTTTATTTAGCGATGGACATGGAACAGAGTTACAAGATACCGGAAATTCTCTAATTGGAATTAATCAACAACTTTCAAGAAAGCGAAGATATAGCAGTATTAATGGAGAAAATGCAGGCGAAATTAAAAAACGAAAAATGGGGGAAAGTTTAGAAACAATTTTTGAAATACATTCAATTTGGTTAACTGAAAGGCAGAAGGAAGAATTAAGGGAAGATTTGAAAAATGGAAAATCATTGGATGGGGAAATATATGAAAAAGTTTCTCGATGGTTTAGTAGATGGGGGTTTACTGAATGGTCTTATGAAATGTTTCGCGTTTCTTTAAGATGTATTAGTTTTTTTCGAGAGGTGAATGAGATATTATGGTTAAATTACAAACGTTAAATTACAACCGTATGTAGCAGGGGTGTGCGAGTTTCGCCTTTCGCTTATTAAAATCATTTTCGGCACACCCCTGGTATGTAGGAAGTAAAAGGGGGTTGCCTAAAATTTTATGCTGTCTACGAGGGTTGTCCAAAGTTTTATGAGCACAAGAATAACATTTATCCAAGTGACAAAGTAGGCACATTTAGGAATGGACTCGTACAGACGAAGGAGATCAGGGACTTTTCGGGGTGGTATGATCCAACTAGGCTACCACTGAAACTGGCTTATATACCGTATCTGAATAATTGACTCAGACACGGCATCAGAAATACTATAGGCCGTCTGATACCATCTAGGGAAGGCTCGATTGAGGGTATCAGGTTTAGGATAACCTTGCTCGTTCTTTATACAAATGCCTTAAAAAAATTTAACAAATAGCCGGGTCAACTAATATTCATAATTTAAGGGAAAAAGAGACCTTTATCAAGCTGCTGACATTCTCACAATAAGAGTAGCCTTACTCATCGATGACGAATGTAATAATTTCAAAAGTGACCTTTACAAACTAGCAGCAATCGAGGATTATAAAATAGGAAGAAACAATATTGTTATAAAATATTGTGAATTAACAAAAAATACCACAAAAATAAGAAATAAGCGAGAGAGTGAAACTAATACTAGGACCGAAAATAAACTACAAAATTATTTCAAAATACTAAACTTGAATTGGTTGGATGATAAGCAGCGTGAACATCTTAAAAATATGTCTTCTGGGAGAGAACTTGAAGAAATGCGAGATACAGTATACTTGAAAGATACGGTATATTAACAGTGAAGTGTTAGGGCTCAAAATGGTCAATATTTATGGCCTAACTGTGAAAATGGGGTTAGTGCATAGGTGTATCAAAGCCGATTTTAAACTTGAAAACTAATGTTGAAACGGATACACCACTGGTTTAGCACACCACTGGACCTGTCTTGACCATTCTGAGCCCTGACAACACAAACTAGAAAATGCTAAAATACAAAATAAAAATAATAGCCTGATTAACAAGTAAAATTAAAAGATATTTAAAGGTAATAAGCTGGTTTAATTATTTACGACACGATACTAAAGCAAGGGCTGCCGATCTTTTCAAAGGTGGATGTAATAAACTTTTAAAAATAAGACAGGAGGGATGTGGATATTTTGGCTCATTAGACACACAAAAAATAAACGAGCTCAAAAACTACGATGACTTGACAACGTATAACAAAATAAATGAATTAATTAATCCGTTAATAGAAAAAGTGGAACTCAGAAAAATTGCCAATGATTATAAACAGACGTGTAAGGAACTTTTTGGTATTGGAGAGGAAGAAGAAGAACGGTGGGAAGGAGGAAGACATAGAAGAAATCCTAAGAAACGAAGCAAAAATAATCGAAGAAATCCGAGGATTGGAAGGGAAGAAGATGAAGATGAAGAATTATTCGAGCTGTATGGATTTTAGCTATCCAAATCTCGATTCGTTTACACTTTTTAATATCTGATGTTTGGCAATTTAATTTTTTTTGAAACATTTTCTTACCAAAAATCCGAATTTACTCTAATTATCACAATTAATGCCTTATAACAGAACCACTACATTATTGAATTGCTCAAATTGTGTTACAAAAATAATTTTTTGATTGAATAAATTTATTTCTTTAATAATTTTTTCCATATTTTAATTTTAAAAATTATGTAATAATTAGAGACCGGAAAGAGTGGGTCATATGAGAATCGAAAAAAAATATTTAAATGATTAAAATAAAAAATTTAAGCAAATAAATAAAAAAGAAAAATCAAAATTTGATTCTAGCAACATTTTAACATTTATTATATGCTGATAAGCCTTCCAAATATAACATTAAGACTACACCTGGGCGCATGCTGTGGACAAAGTTGTCCACAACTTTTAGTATAAAATAGAAGGCAGTTGATAATTTTTTTGCAATTTTTATTCATTTTATAAATTAATTTTTAACCAAATAATGTTATCAAAATGTTTGTAAATTATCATTTTTGTTTGCTAATATTTTTTAATTTAATTGGAATATTGCTTTCTTCGAATGACTTGAACAGGTAGAAAATAACTTGAAATACAAATTTTTCTATGATTTCATCTAACTAGCAGTTAAGACGATTAGGAGAGTAGAGCGCTCTAACCTCGACCGAGAAAATAGCTAAGGATGGGATAGGAGTTGATACTAGAGTTCTCCGTTGCGGTGATAACCGCTCAGCCATCCCTCCACCGACTGACCGTTTTATTTTTAATTGATAGGATGCTAGGAAACCTTGCCTGACTTAAAGGAATAATATGCCAAACTACGATACACTTGACTTAGGATACAAAATTTTCAGTCGATATTAAAATCTTATAAATTTGAATTTTGTAAGATTCCAATTGGATAGCAGTTTAAATAATTAGGAGTCACAAACCCAATCCCAAAAAATAGAGTAGAGCGACATACCCTCGTGAGGGCTGAGGGGGGGGGTGATGAGGGCTCAATGATCATGAGGAATCAACCATCCCTTCATTAAAGTAAAGCAGCTGGCTATAGCTGTTTCCCCTTTAGCTAGTACAAAAGGTTAATCGGCGGCTGGGAGCGAACCAGCATCTTCAGTAGACCGGACTGATGTGTTAGCCATTACACCACGCCGCCTACTGCACAGCCATAGGAATTAAATGGCTATATGCTTTACATTGACTGATCGTTTTTATTTAGCGATGGACAAGGAACTGAATTAAAAGAAACCAAAACCTATTTAATTGGAATCAATCAACAACTTTCAAGAAAGCGAAGATATAGCAGTATTAATGGAGAAAATGAAGACGAATTTAAAAAACGAAAAATGAGAGAAAGTTTGTACGAAATTTTGGAAATAAATTCAATTTGGTTAACTGAAGAACAAAAGGAAGAATTAAGAGAAGATTTGAAAAATGGAAAATCATTGGATGGGGAAATATTTGAGAAGCTTTTTCTATGGTTTAGTAGATTGAAATTGACATTAACTGAATGGTCTGAAGCAAAGAATTCTGTTTCATTTAGATGCTATCTCTTTCGGTTGAAGGTAAAAGAGAATCATGGGTTAAAGGGTTACACATAGATGGGTTATCCTTATAGGGAATAACCATATGAAAGTAATGTATATCGATAGTATTAATTTCAACTAAATTGAGCAGTCATGAACAGAGCTGTTTCTGAATAAAAATTCGAAAAATCGGAAAAGGGAACTTCATCCTGTTCAATCCAATCTATAATAATAAGCCAGTAACCTCTTCCTTTTTAGCGCCGCAGGCGAAAATTTTGGGACTTTTAGTGATTAGGAGGATCCCTCATTTTTATCATTTTGTTTATAAAATCCCAAAAATTTTTAAAATTTTACAAAATGGTAAAAATATGGCAAAATATGAAAATGTAGGTACAATAGGGCGAAAAGTTTAAAAATAGAGCAACTGCCCTATAAATAGGGTAAAAGGACAACCCTGCAGAAAATAGTGGGTGGGTCTGATTTAATTATTATACGAACCATTCCTAAGCGAACGTTTTATTTAGCCTAAAAAATTGAAATTTCGTTCGCCTGTTACCAAGTTTGAAATATTTAAATCGAGAATTCAAGGAAAAACGTCGGAAATCGTCGACCTCTATTTTCTCACCTATTTTGATTTAAACGGCCTCTAATTATTCTTTAGAAAAATTACACAAATAATCAGAGTCAGCTCCGTAAATTTTTCATTTAAAGGACGCAAGAGATCTTCTACAAAGTGTAATTATACTCCAAATGAGAGCAGAATTACTCTATATAGCAGAATGCAATAATTTCGAAAGTGACCTTCATATACTAACGGGAATTGTTGATGAAAAAATGAAAAGAAACGATATTGTTAAAAAATATTGTGATTTAACAAAAAATTATACGAAAATAAGAGATAAGAGAGAAAGTAAAGGACTTACAAGGAGTGAAAATAAGCTTGAACATTATTTTAAAATACTAAACTTGGATTGGTTAAATGATCAGCAACGAGAATATCTCAAAAATATGCCGTCTAAAGGAATACGTGAAGCATTGCGAGATGCGGTAATTTGAAAATATAATGTAAAATTATCGCTTTAGCTAACAGTAAACATGTCAGGGCACAAATGGTCAAATATCTATGTTATATAATAGAGACGTCCGAGACCGAAAATTTTCCAAGACTCAAGACCAAAACTAGTCCCCAAGACCAAGACTTGACCCCAAGACTCAAGACCAAACATTAACAATACTCAAGACTATTTTTTGGTCCTATAGGGCAAATTTTTGGTTAATTTTTCGTGCCCTTAGACATGAGTGCATATAAATTCGAAAACTTTATATGAAATATAATCAAAATTCGGAAATATGCCGGGATTTTAGCACCTAAACCGCCGAAATACCGATTTTAGTGCCGCAGACACTAATTTTAGAAATTTGGAAGATAATTAAGCCAAAAATCTTCCTTTTCTGCGCCGCAGGCGAAAATTTTGACCCAAGAAAAGTCTTGGAATCAAGAATCAATACCAAGAGTCTCGGACGTCTCTATTATATAAGATTATACGAAAATATATTACGGTGTTAATTTAAAAATCGAAAGATGAAAATCGAAAGATGATAGTACTATTTGACCATCCTTAACCCTGAGCATCTTACTGAAACAAAATAAAGTATCGTACATGATAAATCAAAAAATCGAACGGAAAACTATAATTAAAAGTTATTTAAGGTAGTAAACTGGTTTAATCATTTACATCCTGCTGCAAAAGAGCTAGCCACAGATCTTTTCAAAGGTGGATGTAATAAACTTTTAAGAATAAGACAGGAGGGATGTGGTTATTTTGGGCTGTTAGACACACAAAAAATAAACGAGCTCAAAAACTACGATGACTTGACAACTTATAACGAAATTAATGAATTAATAAATCCTCTAAGAGAAAAATTGGAACTCAGAAAAATTGCTAATGATTATAATCAGACTTGCAGAGAACTTTTTGGTATTGGAGAGGAGGTGGAAACTGAAGAGAAGAGAGGAGTTGGGTTAAGAGGTACAAGAACCTCAGGAAGGAAACGAAGATACCTTAATAACAATGATGACGAATACAAAAAAAGAAAAATTGGAGAAAGTTTGGAAGCAATTTTTAAGATACATTCAAGTTGGTTAACTAAAGAACAGAAGGAAGAATTAAGAGAGGATTTAAAAAATGGAAAATCATTGGATGGGGAAATATATGAGAAGGTTTTTATGTGGTATAGACGATTGGGATTAAGTGATTGGTCATATGAAATGCTTGATTTTTCTTCAGGATGTGTTGCTCTTTCATCTGAGGTAAATTAGTCCATATTATGTTGAGCAAAATCGCGATCCAAATCGGGATCGGGCGGGATATCCCGGTTTTTTTGAATCACGATCCCGATTTTTCTGATCCCGAAACCAAAATATAAATCCCGATTTCTACCAATCCCGATCCAGAGACCGAATCGGGAATGAGATTTGCATCAAATCCCGACGCAAATCCCAATTTTATATAAATGCGAAAATATTAGAAACAAAATACCAAAGTGAACGAAAGAAAGTCCTAAATTGAGCCCCTTCAAATTTTGAAAAATTTTCGCTGCGGCGCAAAAAATGGTAGATTTTGGCTTAAGGATCTTCCAAAATTTTCAAAATTCTCTCCTGCGGCGCGAAATTTTTTTCCCTAAATACTGATCCTGATTTCTCAATCCCGATACAGAGTCGGGATCGGGACCAGAATAATTATTCCGAATCCCGATCCCAATTTTATGTCAGGATTCCGATCCCGCTCAACACTAGTCCACATAGTAACCGATACAGGAATCAAATAACACATAAGTCAGTAAACAAGGCCCATCCCATATACCTACTCACCCAGAATAATTAAAATAATCTGAGTCAACTTCATTAAAAGTTTATAATTTAAGAGCTTAAGAAACACAAAACAAGCAGCGGAAATAACCATGATTGAAATATCTTTAAGCCTTATCGAATGCAATAATTTAAGCGGTGACATTAAAAAACTAGAAGCAATTGTTGATGAAAAATCGAAGAGATTCGATATTGTTACAAAATATTGTGATTTTAGAAAGAATAATACGAAAATAAGAGCTAAGAGAGAGAGTAGAGGACATAAAAGTAGCGAAAATAAACTATCAAAATATTTCAAAATACTAAATTTGGACTGGTTGGATGATAAACAACGTGAACATCTTAAAGATATCAAAGGTGTAAGAACAAGTGAAGAAAGGCGAGATACGGTAAATTGAAAATATTTGTAAAATTATCAATTTTGTTAACATTAAAGTGGTTAGGGCTTAAAATGTTCAAATATTTATTTTTAAGAATGGCCGTTCAACTAAGCTTAATAGTACAGGGTAGTGATGCTCGGGAGAAGGAAAAACCCTGGAAACGTGAGTCGGGTCGGGAAAAGGCCTTGAAGGTCGTGATCGGGAGGCCAAAAACACGAGAAATTTTCTCGAGTAGGGAGTCGGGATACCCGAGCATCACAGTACATGGGATATTAAAAACCTGGTACGAGTACGAGTACGAATTTTGGTACGAGCTTCGAAGCACTGACCCTGACCAATTTTTTTGAAAATAAAATAGGTATAAGATAATAGACGGAACTTGAAAATCTTGAAATGAACTGAAAAAGATTTTTTATTTAAAGGTAATAAACTGGTTTAATCATTTACGACACGATACTAAAGCAAGGGCTGCCGATCTTTTCAAAGGTGGATGTAATAAACTTTTAAAAATAAGACAGGAAGGATGTGGATATTTTGGCTCATTAGACACTCAAAAAATAAACGAGCTCAAAAACTACGATGACTTGACAACGTATAACAAAATTAATGAATTAATAAATCCTCTAAGAGAAAAATTGGAACTTAGAGAAATAGCTACCGATTATAATCAGACTTGTAAGGAACTCTTTGGTATTGGAGAGGAGGAAGAATGGAGGGGAGGTAGAAGGAAAAGACGTTCTCATAACAAGAGAAGTAACTTGAGAGTTGAACGTGAAACAGAAGATTTAGTACAAGAGGTCGACGATGATTATATCTTGAGTGTGATTGATGGCGAAGTAACCATTAATAAACGAATTCAACGGCCGTTAGTTTCATTAATTTAAAATACTAATCCAAGGCTCATTATATCACAACTACAAATCTTTTATAAATTAAGGGATATAACGGATACACCCCAACGTATCGCGAGACCCCCCCCCCCACACACGTATGCGAGCTATAACCTCTCATAATTATCAAATCCGGGGATATATATATTATCAATCCGGGGACAAATCCCTGGTATGTTTCGATTCAGCCAGGGCCAGTGGCATCCGAGATTCGATAATCTCGAATGAAGTTAGAGCTTAGCGGTACATTGGGCTAACGGTACGTTGGCTTAAAAATAACTCCCCTTACATTTTATTTAAAATATAAATTGGAACCCTTATTACAACCATTTAAATTTAGCGATGGACAAGGAGCAGAATTAAAAGACACCAGAACCTCATTAGAAGGAATTCCATCAAGAAAACGAAGACACCTCAGTAGTAATGAAGACGAATTTAAAAAACGAAAAATGAGGGAAAGTTTGGAAACAATTTTGGAAATACATTCATTTTGGTTAACTAATAGACAGGAGGAAGAATTAAGAGAGGATTTGAAAAATGGAAAATCATTGGATGGGGAAATATATGAAAAAGTTTATTTATGGCTTCTTAGCTTGGAATTAACTGAAATGAAAGAGGCAGCTTCTGATGTCTTTAAAAGATGTAATGGCTTTTCGTTAGAGGTAATCGAGGTTACGGTTTTACAAAGAGAAAATCACTTAACCAAAGGGGAAATCCTTTAACTGTATATTCAATTCAATGATACAGGAGCCAGTTCAGTTAGTTCAGTTCAGCTCAGGTATCGGCGTAGGAAACAGAACTCACTTGTAAGAGACTTGTAAAGTTGTTTGTAAAAAATTCACTCAAAAATATATTCATGCCTGCCATCATCACAAATGAGGGCAGGCCTGAGTCAACGTCGATACAAACTAGATATTAGAGGTCGGCGCGGGACGGGTCCCGACGGGATTTTCCGGGATCCCGCTCCCGAAATCCCGGATTTTTTTGATTTTCGGGATCATTCGGGATCCGGGATTTTTTTCGGGATTTATACCTCGGGATCCCGTCCCGGCCTCGGTTAAGAAAAAAAATCCCGACTCGGGATCCCGGAAGTGCGATTTTGCCGACCTCTACTAGATATGCGCGATCCAGTACTTGAAGAAGGATCTCAATTATTTAGATTTTTCGAGATATCGGCCTACAAGCTTTAGGAAATTTTACAAATAATCAAATGAGCCACTCTATTAAATTATAATTTAAGGAATTAAGAGACGCTAATCAACGTGCCGAAATACTCATAGTAGAATTAGACTTAAAATATTTTGTAGCAAGATGCAATAATTTTGAAGATAGCCTTGTTAAACTAGCAACAATTGTTGATGAAAAATGGAAAAGAAACGATATTGTTCGAAAATATTGTAATTTAACAAATACTAATACAAAAATAAGAAATAAGCGAGAGACTAGAGGGCTGTCCAGAAGTGATTATAATTATTTAAAATATTTTAAAATATTAAATTTGACTTGGCTGGATGATAATCAACGTAAATATTTGAGAGAAATGATGGCTGAAAGAAAAACGCGTGTGGAAATGCGAGATACGGTAGCTTTTAAATCATTGTGAATTTATCAATTTCGTTAATAGAGGTCAGGGCTCAAAATGGTCAAACATGAATGTTGTTATAAGAGTTGTGCAAACAGTACTAAAAACGAAAATTTTAATAAATCTTGCCAAAAATTAAACGTTTCTTGAAATTTAAAAACCAAAATAAAATACAAAATGAGTGATTTTTTAAACAATCCCCCAAAAATTAGAAGTTTCTTCTAAACCGAAAATGGGGTTTTAAAATTTGGATTAACCGAACATTGTGTGTAACGATTATTAATTTGGATGTAATTATTAATAATATTAATAATAATTATTAATTATTATAATTAATAATAATTATTAATTAACTATACCATCCTTAACAATTTGGATGGTATAGTACAAGTTGACCATTTTGTACCCTTACCAATTTTACTGAGAACATAATAAAAAAATTTGAAAATGTCAAAATGATAAACTTAAAATATATTTTTTATTTAAAGGTAGTAGAATGGTTTAATCATTTACAACCTGAGGCAAAAGAGAGAGCTGCCGATCTTTTCAAAGTTGGATGTAATAAACTTTTAAAAATAAGACAAGATGGGTGTGATTATTTTGGCTTGTTAGACTCACAAAAAATAAACGAGCTCAAAAACTACGATGATTCGACAACTTATGATAAAATAAAAGAATTAATTGCTCCATTGAAAGAAAAAGTGGAACTCAGAAATATTGCCAGGGATTATAATCAGACTTGTAGAGAACTTTTTGGTATTGGAGAGGAGGAGGAAATTGAAGAGAGGGAAGGTGGAAGACAAAGGCGATCTTATAACAAAAGAAGAAATTCGAGGGCTGAACAAGAAACTGAAGAGGAAACTGAGGAAGAAGACAATCGTGAGTATAACTCTAGGGTGCTTAATGTTGAAGTAACCAATGATGAACAAAGTGGAAGAGAGTTGGTTTCTATAAAATTATAAAATAGGGCCTTATAGGCGATTTAAAATAAACCTATAAGATGTGTATGCATTGCCCCAGGAATTCTCCAGGCAGGGAACTTGTTCAAAATCATAATATCGAAAACTATCGGCATCTTTAACAACGAGTTCAAGCTCCTGACTTTAAAACCAGTACTGAGTATATATCCGGGAATTACTTACAAAGCTGGTCCCGTTAGGATATGGAACCGAGATTTTGAATGGCCAATGTCAAAGATAATCCCTTTAAAATCTCGGAATTTCGATGGAACCAAAATTATATCGCCCAAAAAAACCTCCAATTTTTATCAACTTAAAGACCTAATAGAATATATTAAAGTATTGCTCATTTAAATAATTTAAAAAATTATTTAAAGCGATGAAGGTGAAGAAGACCACGATTTTGGAGATGAACACTTAAATGCACACAGAACATGGCTCACTTCTAATCAGAAGCGATATTTGAAAAGAATGAGAGAAAAAGGGCATGAAAACCACGAAATACATGAAAAAATAAATGAATATCATGAGACTTCGCCTGATGAAGTTAAGGTGAGATTTTTCTATTCAAGAAATTTATATCAAAAAACGAACGAAAAATAAAACGAAATTTCGAATAAAACACGAAACAAGGATAAAACAAAATTTCTGTCTATAGACGAAAAAACATAAAATGAAATTTCAAACGAAACTCGAAAATCATATCACCTCAGATTTTACTGGAAGATATAAAATACATGACATATAGGGCTGGTTTCTGGAGTCAGTTCTCCCAGATTTCCCCCAAATTTTTTAATTTATCTTGTTATCCATTAAATTTACTCCTCAGAAAACAGCACAAGCCATCCTCAAAAGAGGATGTGAGTCTGTATTTCAACGCTTGTTCGGAGAATATATTGCTGACGAGATCATTCGTGCACGTGAACAGGGAGCTTCTACGGCCGAACTTGACGAGAAAATAAACACAGCTTTAGGGCATATTAAAAATGCGAAGAAGAGGAAAGAGGCGACTCGTTTCGCTGCTACGTGCCGTCGAATATTTACTATGGTGCCTTTAATATTTTGGCCTAAAAACTCCAAAAAACTTTTTTCAGATTGAACGACGTCGAAGAGGTGCAGTATCTACCCCAATTGAAGACTCGAGGCAATAATTTTATTTCAATCGTGACTGCTGGTTGAAAATTTCATTTTTTAAACAATTTCTCGCCAAAAATCCAAATCTAATCCAACTACCACATTCCTGACATTGCTCAAATTGTGTTAAAAAAATAATTTTTTGATTGAATAAATATATTCTTTAATAAATATGTATTTTAATTAATTAGTAGAGAGTATTTATTTAAATATTAAAAACCCGATAATAAGCACCTCTATAGATTTGAAAAGGCTAGAATATGTTCAAAAAATTTTGAAAACTGGCAAAATATGCAAATTATTTCAAAAAAATATATTTGAATTTTCAAAGTAAAAAAATTTTTAAGCATATTCACAGAATAAATCACAAAATATGCAAGAATCTCCCCCCTCTAGACTCACAATTACATACAATATACATCTCAGGATTTTCTTCGATAAAGTTGCTTCTATCTGTTAAGACTAGGTCAAAAATGATCCCGGTCAAATGTCAAAAATGATCCCGGTCAAATGTCAAAAATGATCCCGGTCAGATGTCAAAAATGATCCCGGTCAAAAATGACCGGGTCCCGGCTGGAAACCGGGAATTTTATAATTTTTTGAAATTACGTAAAGAAAATATAAGAATGTTTAAAACTACTGTTTTTAGGAGGGGTAATTATTGTTTCGATCTTTCTCTGGAGAGAGTAATTAATAGAGCGGGGGTAATTATTTGAGAGAGGGTAATTAATAGAGCATATACGGTAATGTTATTATGAGTTCTATTAAATTAATACACTTATTATTCCGATCTCTAATACATGTACAGATTTTTTAAACATTTTCAATGATAGTGGCAATGTTATATTTAGATGTTGTGTAGTAGTGTCACTATAGTATAAGAGCAAGTGAAAGTGGCGGACTAGTTGGATCATACTTGCGCGGCTAGTTACTGATCTCCTTCGTCTGTTCCTGCCTAGTAGTAAACCTTCAACACATTTACATTTCTACATCGGATAAACTTTATTCTCGTGTACATCAACAACGGAGACCCCTTGGACATAACAATAGGCACAGTGGAGGCTGAAGCCGGCTCTCAGCGGGACGCCAATGCTGAAGGCTTAAAACAAAAATAGAGCCTCAATGAGGAAGTTGTCATAATGTGTCCTCAAAACTGATAGTTTATCAGAGCCTAAAATTTTGATAATTTTCTCAAATTTATTTAACACCCTTAACTAACTTCTCCAGAAATTTCCGAATTTTTTGTCAAATATTTTTCGTTTTATGGACAATAAATCCCATAAAATTAGGCCTTCCTTCTTTTCAACGAGGAATATTCTTTGTATTTTGCTTGAACAATTAATTTATTTTTTATTTTAAAATATTTCCTTATTATTTTCCCTAAGGGCATTTTAAACACAAGATTATATATTTTTTGTTTATTCAATAGCTGGTTGTATTATAACAACGTAATACTTAAATAATAGATCATATTTACAGCTTTGCGTAATTTCGCCCTTACAATTTTCTGATTTTATATTAAAACTTTTTTTTCTGATAATTAATTATATTTATGGGTACTTTATTTTCGTGTAGATAAGGAAGCAAAAATCAGAATTAAATGGCTAGTCAAAATCAGAAATCACATAGCTAGTATTTTAAATTCAGAAATAAAGACAAAATAAATTTAAAATATCAGAATTAAATATCAAAAAATCAGAAGTATCACAATTAAGAATCATAATTATCATAATTATCAGAATCAAAAATCAGAATTGATATTAGAATTACAATCAGAATTACTCTCAGAATTAAATATCAGAATTAAAAATCAGAATTAATTATCAGAATTATTACAATCATAAATCAGAATTACCAGAATTAAATTTCAGAATAGAATTAAAAATTAGCATTAAATATCAGAATTAAATATCAGAAATTAAATCGGATATCAGAATTAGATATCAGAATTAACAAAATTAAAAATCAGAATTACATAAAAAATTATACAGAATTAAAAATCAGAATTATCAGAATTACACATCAGAATTACACATCAGAATTAAATATCAGAATTCAATTTCCGAATCAATGTATCAATAAAAATCAGAATTTTTTTCTGTTTTCCCTATTAGAAACAATCAAACAAAGCTGAGAAATAAAAAAAATATTCTGAAAGGAAACAACGGGAGATTGTCAAAGAAATTAGAAATTCCAATAATTTTTTGTTATGTGATCTTTTTGGTTATTTTTTGCAAAAAAAGGAACAACAAGAACTTGAAACCTTTGGGATGATCAACGAAAAAAAATTGGCGGACTCGTCAGATTAATTAATTCTTTTTTAATATCTGACAGCTATAAAGACGTGTGCGCAGTTGCTATTTAACCAAGTTTTCGCAATAGAGGAGATTAAGCGGGTTGTGGATATGGAAGACGAGAAAAAGGAGAAGAGAAGGATGTGGAAGAAGGAAAATGGTATAACTGACCAACGTTCTCCCTTCACCCCCACGGTTCCTTTCCCTCTATGTTCCCTTCCCTCTACTATGTTCCCTACACCCTACTATGTTCCCTTCCCTCTACTATGTTCCCTACACCCTACTATCTTCCCTACACTCTACTACGTCCCCTTCACTCTACTATGTTCCCTTCCTTCTACTATGTTCCCTACACCCTACTACGTCCTCTCCACCCTACTACGTCCCCTCCACCCTTTTTTATTGTTCCTCTCCCTCTAGCGCTTTGCAACCAATTCATCTCCGAAACACAACTTTTCTTGCCCGCAAAGGCTTCATCTCTCTCCTCGGACACCAGTCGGCTTTTCTTCTTGTTTTTACTCATTTGTGCAAGAATAAAGGAAAATTGCCCATTTGTGAATAAATTTTATTCCTTTATTTCTGGCTCATCTCCTTAAAAAAGCTCCACCTCTTTATCATTTATTGCCCATCCAAAAATATCAAAAACAGTTTTATTTATTGCTCAAAGATAAGCTAACATAAAAGAGAGGAACAAAAGTTGCGCCAGACTTTTAGCAGTCACAAATCAAAGAATTATTTTTTATCAAATTAGCTGTTTATGTGATAATTTAAAAATTGTCTAGTAAGTTGAAGTTGCTAACAATATAAAGCCAAAAAGTTGCAAATAAAAACTACACTTGTCGGCAGGCAACTTACTAACAGTTATTGCTAGATTAGCTTAGCTAACTTACCGGTACAGGTGTTATACTTACTGAGCTACTTTTTTTCTTTGATAAATCTTCCATACCTTGGGAGATGGAAGACGAGAGATTATGGAATTTATATGGTCCTTCAACCCATGGCTCCTTTCCCTATGTTCCTTACAATCTATTAAATCCCCTTCCTTGAAGTATTCATTCCACCTTTTGTTCCATTCCTGCAAGAAGCTTAGTTAACTACCGCTAAAGTGGCTCTACTAACTGAGCTACTTGGAGCTTAATTTTTATAGAGTTGTCAACTCATTCTAAAATTATTTGAAAGTTGTGAGGCAACTCAATCTGTTAATCTTTCCCAACTATATTTAATGTTATTAATCAAATACTCAACAACAATGCCTTCTCGGCATCAACGGAAAGCTTGGACAATGGTCTTATTATTGTTGGCTCTCCCTTTTAATAATGCCTTTTTGTTTGGAAGTTTAGGCGGTGGAGGTGGTGGTGGTGGAAGTTGTAATTCTTGGTTTGCTCCTTTATTCAAAAATTAATAAAAAAAAATTTTCAAGTTGTGCACCACCCCCACCCCCACCTGTTTGTGCACCACCACCATCTTGTGGTTGTGGTGGCGGTGGTGGTGGAGGAGGCGGCGGTGGAGGTTCAAGAGGTTAATTTATAATTAACAGTCACATTTTAGTGATAATTTAGGTCCAATAATTGTTAACTGTGGTGGTGGTAATGAAATTGGAGCAGTCGGAGGAGGAGGAGGCTATGGTGGTGGTGGAAGAGGCGAAGGAGGAGGCGATGGAGGAGGAGGATGTGGAGGCGGTGGAGGAGGATGTGGAGGCGGTGGAGGAGGATGTGGAGGCGGTGGAGGAGGATGTGGAGGCGGTGGAGGAGGATGTGGAGGCGGTGGAGGAGGATGTGGAGGCGGTGGAGGTGGATGTGGAGGTGGCGGTGGAGGAGGATGTGGAGGCGGTGGAGGAGGATGTGGAGGCGGTGGAGGAGGATGTGGAGGCGGTGGAGGTGGATGTGGAGGTGGCGGTGGAGGAGGATGTGGAGGCGGTGGAGGAGGATGTGGAGGCGGTGGAGGAGGATGTGGAGGCGGTGGAGGAGGATGTGGAGGCGGCGGTGGATGTGGAGGAGGAGGTGGTGGTGGATGCGGAAGCAGTGGAGGTTCTAGTATCGATCTTCAACTTGGATGCAGCAGTGGAGGAGGCGGTGAAGGAGGTTGCGGCGGTGGAGGAGGCGGTGGTTGCGGAGGAGGCGGTGGTTGCGGAGGTGGATGTAGCAGTGGAGGCGGAGGAGGTGGAGGTTGCGGAGGCGGATGCAGCAGTGGAGGTGGAGGAGGAGGTTGTGGCGGTGGAGGAGGTGGTGGTTGCGAAGGCGGATGCAGCAGTGGAGGTGGAGGAGGAGGCGGTGGTTGTGGAGGCGGATGCAGTAGTGGAGGTGGAGGAGGAGGATGTGGAGGCGGGTGTAGCAGTGGAGGCGGAGGGGGCGGTGGTTGCGAAAGTGGATGTAGTGGTGGAGGCGGTGGAGGTTGCAGCGGAGGTGGAGGTGGCGGTTGCGCAAGTGGATGCAGCGGAGGAGGCGGTGGATGCAGCAGTGGAGGAGGAGGTGGAGGTTGTGAAAGCGGTGGATGTTCAGGTTTCTGTAATTTATTGAGACCTGCTTTATCTCTTATATTCTTAAGCTGTTGCTCCAAGTGGTGGCGGCTGCTCGGGTGGTGGAGGAGGTGGCTGTGAAGGTGGTGCTTCTAGTGGTGGAGGTCAATATGCTGCAGTTAGTTATCATTTGAAAGGAAAAATTATACCATTATTTAGCCTCAAGTTAGTGCTGGTGGTGGTGGAGGCGGTGGTTGTGGAGGCGGTTGCAGCAGTGGCGGAGGAGGAGGTGGAGGATGTAGTAGTGGAGGCGGAGGAGGTGGAGGATGTAGCAGTGGAGGTTGCAGCAGTGGTGGTGGCGGTGGAGGAGGAGGAGGAGGTCGCTTTCAATTCTAACCGTAGTTATTTATTTTATCAGGTTGCGGTGGCAGCCCTCCAAGCGGCGGCTCCTATCAAGTATCCGGAGGTGATGGAGGTCATTCAGTGCAAGCTAGCGGTGGTTACCAACAACCAGAACAACCTCCTCATGCCCAGCCTGAACCTTTGCCCTATGCGCCACAACCCCAGCATGAGACGTATAATCAGGGTGAGGCATTCATCATTAAAATAATCTCAAACCTCTCGAGCCAAAACCTTCGGATTCCTCCCCCCCCCCCCACAAAGCAGCTTTTCTATTCAGAAATGTGCACCAAAATTTTTGCATGTGGCGCCAAACGCCAATTTTCATGTTTTTAAAACTCGCCAAAATCAAGACTCTAAAAAAATCGAGTACAAATTAACGCCAAACACCTTGGCGCACAGTCCTGCTTCTTGTACTTACTCTCATTAGGACCAGGGATGAGCCTGATAGAGAGAAAGCTCACAAAGGTTGATCTTTGGTCTTCCGTTGCGTTTTTTTAATTAGACTTGCTTCTATCCCTCTCGTGGATATCGCCCATTCCCCCCAAGACAATTCATCCCAAAATCCCCTCCAAACATTTATCCTTCCCCATTAACACATTCAAGTTGCAGTAAATCGCCGCGTAATTGCGCGGCTTTCGCATAACCAACAACAACTAAAAACACTCTGCGGGGAACTAGAAATGACTAAAAAAGATGCGAAAAATTTAAAGAAAACAAATAAAAAAAATTTTTTCTCGTTTTCTTTTATTTCTCCCTTTTTTAGTTCCTTTTATTTTTCTTGTAAAAGGGGAAGAAGATTCCTTCTCTCCAAAAAAATTTTTTTTGAGATCTTCTAAAGGATGGCGTTTATCGCTGAATATCCCTTCTCTCTCTCTCCCTTTTTTGCTCATCCTCCTTTTCCTTTTTAATAATTCCCTTAAAGAAAAAAAATTGTTTCAGAGAGAAAACGAGTATAATAATATTTATTTTATTATTATTGCCGCGCGATAAGAATAATTTTCTTGGAGGAAAAACATGTTGGAGTGTGTCATCTTCCTTTTCTGCTAATTTAACAACCGATTATCGCTTTCTTTTTTGATCGCTTTCCTTTTGATCTCTCCTTCCCTTTGATCTCTTCTTTCGTTTTCTATTTTTCTTTTTTTCTCATAATAATCAGTGTTCTTATTGGAGACAGGATTTGACACTGCTAACTTCTCGAGAGTTAAGCTAAATATCTCGAAAAATCTCGATCTCTATTTTTCAACGAATCTCGCTTCTAAGGATCACTTTCTTCGTTTCAACTTTGCTCTAGCTCTCTTCCTCCTTCTTACTTATCTAAACCTTCCACCAGAAACGGTTTAATGGAACACCCAAAAAATTTCAATTGGATTATAGGGATTGGATGGATATAATTAAAAATGCACGTAAGGTGTACAATTAAAAGGGACAATTTAGAGAGGATATATTTGAATAAAAGGAAAAATAAATTTTTAAAATTAATTAATTTCCCTTTCAGCCCCTCAAGAAGTTCCAAGTGCCCACCAAGAAGTTCAACAACCTGCTGCTGTTGAAGAAACACCCCAACAACCACCAGCACCTCCCCCTGCTGGAGGCTATGAAAGTGGGGGAAGCAGTGGTGCTGGAGCGGCGGCAGCTAATAATGATTATCAACATGAGACGGAAGCTCCGGCTGCGGCGCCTGCAGCGGAGTCGTCTGAGGGTAAAGAGGGAAAATATATGCTTGTAGAGCCTCTAGCTATGAAATAACCTTTGGGGCTGAAAATTTGTATCTTATAATTAGGTGAGGGGAGGAAAGCTGTCCAAGACCGAAAATTTTCTAAGACTCGAGACCAAGACCGAAAAACCCCCAAGAAAAGTTTTGAGACAAGACCCAAGACCAAGAGTCTAGAGTCATCAATTGAGGTAATCATTTAGGCAATTTCCCATCCCCTCCTCAATGGAGAACCACATTTTTGAAAAACGTGTCTTAGATAGAGGTGCATCTACATAGTCTTGGATCTATCTTATAGTGTGGACTATACAGTAGGACAATACAGTAGGACCTCAACTTTATATGCTTTCAAGCTTACTTGGAACCTCAATTTAAGATATTTTTTTGATTTCGTTATCCATTGTATTGGAGAGCTTCTTAAGCAATACCCTCTATCTAAGAAACATCATTAGTAGATACGATTTTCTATCTCCACGGAAGTATCATATAGAAAGGTTAATCTATACTAGGGATATTAACTGTTGGGGAAACAAAAAAGGTTATCAAAATTTCTAAACAATATTCCATTAGAAGAAGCCGAAACTCCTGCTCCTGAAGCACCAGCCGCACCGAGTTATAACGCGGCTGAAGCATCGTCTGCTGAACAAACTGCACCGGCCGAACAGCCGGCAGCCGAGGGTAAATATTATTTTGCTTCAGTTTTAAACTTTGCTTCAATTTTAAGAACATGCCGCTTCAGAAGAAGCAGCTCCAAGCTACAATAATAATGCGGTTTCTGCTCCAGCCGCAGCTCCAGCAGCGCCCGAGCCGGCCCCAGCCGGTTTATTTTAGAGATTAATATTTTCATAACCCCTTTCTTCTTTAGCGTCTGAACCTGCAGCCCCGGCAGCAGCTCCCGCTCCAAGTTATGGTGGCGGAGACACAGCGGCGGCCACAGCTCCTGCTGCTCCGGAAGCGCCGGAACCTGCAGCGCCACAACCTGCTGCTGCACCTAGCTATAATGCTGGTGAGTTAATTTTGTTTTCTAGAATCATCCTAAACGACGTCTCCTTTCAGCTGCAGAATCCTCTCCTGCAGCACCGGCTCCAGCACCAGTAGAAGTAGCTGCCCCAGCACCCGCAGCACCAGCTCCCTCATACGGTGGATTAGGGGTTTATAAACCCTAGATTTTAAAATCTTGTCCGCAAAATTTGTCCGCAAGTTTTTTGTCCGCAAATTTTTTTGTCCGCAAATGTTGTCCGCAAGTTTTTTGCGGACACCATTTTAGTCCAAACTCAAAAAATTTTACGACACCCCTTTCAAATATTGTTTGTGTATATAACCATAAAAAGGGAATTTTCAGGAAGTCCGAATTACAATGTCAAATTCACAATCATGGAAATTCCCGGTGAATTTTGGAAAATATTCTAATTAAATTTTATGGGCCCTCAACTAAATAATTAACCAGAAAATAATTTTAAAAAATTAATTTTTTAAAAGGTGCTCAACAACCAGCTCCCTCGGTGCCTGAAGCAGAAGTTCAAAAAGGAGGGTATTTCAGACGACGCTCACGACAAAATAATAATGAGAATGCACAATTTGCTGCTAAGACTGTGAATGTTGATTCAAAATGCAATAATGAGGAGTTGAGAAAGATTATGGATAAGGTGAATAATTGTTGAAAATTTTTATTGATAGACTGATAAGATAAGTTAATAATTTTTACAAACCAAAAATAGTTTGTCCGCAAAAATTTTTTTGTCCGCAAAAATTTTTTGCGGACAAAAAATTTTTTTCTGCAATTCTCTTCGTAAAGAAATATTTAGTCCGCAAATTGAATCCGCAAATAAATTTTTATCCGCAAAATTTTTTTCCTTATATTTTTTCTTTAAGTTTAAAAAAAACTTTCTTTTTAGAGCATAGCAGAAAGCACGGCCACATCAAAAAGAGCAATAGCCAAAAATGCTCGAGAACATTTTGGTTCCTCATTTGACGTTGTCTGCAGCACAGGCAATTATTTTAAAATTATTTTTAAAATTAAAAAATCCTCTTTTAGCTGATTTCTCCTATTTGGCCAACACAAGAATATTTTGCGAGCACAAAGTAACGGACATTACATGTTTTGCTTTTGAGCATTAGGAAGTGATAGATTGATGAAAATTTAAATAATATATATTTTAGTGTATTTATGCAATATTAAAAAACAACAAAAAATTTCATTTGCTTCATTAAAAAATTTGCGAATAAAAAATTTTGTACGCAAAAAATTTGCGGATAAAAATTGTCCGCAAAAAAAAATTGCGGACGAAAAAATTTTGTCCGCAAAAAAAATTGCGGACGAAAAATTTTGTCCGCAAAAAATTTTTCGTCCGCAAATTTTTTTTCCGCAAAATTTAAAAATGAAGCAAAAAGTTTTTTTGTTAACAATGTTTATTGTTTTACTTTCCTTTCTTTTTACTTCCCCTATAATTTACTGTTAACTTAAAATTATATTTTTATATTAAAAAATCCCTCCTAATCCTTCAAATAATTAAATATGTGCAATAATAAAATACAAAATTTAAATGTATTTGCTTGTATTTAAAAATTATAGTTTTGTTAATAAAAATATTTATAGAAAGACTTCTATTTATTTAATATGGTCAGATTTTTAATTAACGAGAAATGAAGATTTCCGGCCTGGGAAAAATAGGGGAAATTAAATATACAGTCAATATTCCAACAGAATCCCATCCATCGCTGAGTACAGCTTCGGAGCCAGCAGGGTACGGCTCCGGAGAGTAATATTTTGAAAACCCCGGAGCCTGAACCAAGGTTTGAAAAAGGACGGAGTCGGAGCAAATAAATACCCAATACTGATCTCATCCTCAATATTAGAAGTCCACACCCCGTTAGAAACCCACTCAATGAGACACATGAAAAATAAAAGTACAAAACTTAAATAAAAGCAGCCTATATTTGGGGTATGTAAAAAAAAACTAAGGATCAGTAAGAGTCAGAATTTAATAAGTTTAGATTCAATTTGAGATATACATACACCTAAGCTCTAGAAAAAATTTAGTGGACGGTAGGCCATGGATATAGACTTGAGAACAATTGACTATGCCACCATTAAATGATGGATTTTTAAATTTATTTATGTTCTTTCTGCAAGTGCGGACACAACAGACCACAAGGCTCTAATTAATATAAAAAATCAACATTGCAAGTCAATATAAATTATTTTTTAATTATCAAAAAAAATTCCAGAAACAGAAAAAAGGGGTCAAAATAACCATATATTAAATATCAAGAGGTACAAAAAAATTCATTTTTTAAAATTTCTTTTACAAAAAATAGGGTACAGTAACACGTTCAGGTCGTTTCCTTTCTGATTCTTCTACCTCACTAAAATATATAGTTTCTCGATCTCCACTAGGGCCATGAATTTTTAAGACAGAAGCTAGGTTACCACAACGATAGCAATAATTGGGGGCTTTAATAAAAAATAATTTTTTTATTAATTTGGTTGAATCCAGCCCTGGGAACCTATTGATCCTGAATATCTACAACTTTTGAAGGGAAAATCAAAAAGGGGAATATAGAGGGACCCCCCCCCCTCCACGAAATGGAGAAAAGGAAAGAGGTAAGAAAGAAGGTTAATTTTTTGGCCTACGGTCTTCCAAAATTAGGGTTGGGGCCCGATCCGAAGGAACGAGACGGGCATCGAATTTTGGACCGAAAAAGACTTGGTCAGGCCGGCACGATAAAAAAAGACTCGAGAACCCCAACCTTATCCAAAATTCTCAGAATACCCCCCCCCAAAAAAATTTTCCTGGCTACGGGAAAAATCCTCCTAAAATCGACCCAGGCATACGCCCTAAAAGATTACCAAATAATTGGTTCACCAAATAATTAATTTTGAAAAATTCAACAAATAATTGCCCAATTATTTGTTAAAAAATCAAAAAATTAAAATTTTTTTACCAGACCAAACAGTGCACAAAACATCGTCAAAAATATATTTAAAGCCTTCCTGTACAAGTTGGTGTGACCGGCAAATAAGTGAAAGGCCGTTAACTTCAAGAAATTTTTCTACAACATCGCGGCCAAATAACTAGAAAATTTTAATTTAAAAAAAAATTAAAAAATACCCATCCAGCACCACGAGGATTAAGAAACCAGCCACAATCAGAATCGTCTGGGTCTGACCAAACCTGAATTCAAAAAAGTATTTTCTACAATTTAAAGACAAAGCAGGAATTATTCAAAAAATTAAAAAAAAAAAGTTTTAAATTCACAATTCTTGGGAGCCGGGTAAAACGCAAAGGCGGGGACGAAATGGGGGAAAGAGGAAAAAATTAATAGAAAAATGATCAAAAAAGTAAAAATTTCGAAAAAATAAAAATATGGTTCGAGAAAAATTTGTGTACGGAACGCCAAAGTAAAAGCCAAAATTCTGGACCGCACCCAATGTTAGTCTTTTAGACAATCCAAACCATGCCAGCAAGTCGGGTAGGATTTCGGAGCAGATTTTCAAAAATTTCCCGGATTGGGTATTCAATTTCGGATCGTAAAATTATTCGGGATCGGAGTTCGAATAGCCAGTAGGATCCCAAATCCAAAAAAACCTCATACCAAATCACAAAGCGCCCCATTTGCCGGAACTTCAACACTTCTCTGCAAGCACATTATAGCGTCTAAAGTAGGCAATTCTGGACTAAGCCCTCCATGAACACAAAATATTTGGTCATCAATTAATGCACAAATTGGGAGGACATCAAAAACACGACAAAACCAGGTCCAAACAACAGAATTGCCGTATTTCTGTTGACATTCGTCATAAAAACCATATTGGTGGGAAACTGAAGGGAGGAAAATGGAAAAATTTTATAAAATCATCCATACACCGATTCAAACAAACTATATGTCATTCGAAAGAGCTCGTCGAGCTGAGTCGAAAGACACCAAAATTGGGGTAGGAGGTCAACTATAAGTCGAGTTATGGTCTCATAATGGTCAAAAAACGAAAGGGGATAATTGTTCGCCAGAATTGAAGTATGGGTAATATGTGAAATTTTTACCCGAAAATTTCTTTAAAATAAAAAAGAAAACCTCTTCGAGTTTCGTGATTGCCGCGAAGAAGAGTAATCCGTTCTGGATGTTTAAGTAACAAAAGGAATAAATAGGTGACGGTTTCTAGGCTAAAAAAGAATTTAAAAAAATTTTTTAAAAATTTATTTTAATTTTTAATCTGTTTGTATTTTATAGAGGAGAATCTCCTCTATTTTTTGTCATAAAAATTAAATTTCTACCTTAAATACAAAAAAAAGTTATAAACTTTAAAGTAAGCGTAAGTCAGCATAAAATTTGATAATATTTAACTTAAAATTTTTTTTTTAATTTTAAAAAATTAAATTTAAAATTTGATTCCCTTTTATCTTATAGAGGAGAGTCTCCTCTATTTTTTGATTCAAAAATTAAATTTCTAACATAAAAACAAACAAAGTTATGCCCCTAAAACTAAGCTTGGGTCGGCATAAAAATTAAATTAAAATAACAACACTTGAAATTTTTGGTCAAGTGGATAACGCGCTAGACTATCAACTGAAAAGGGCCCGGGTTCGAATCCAACTACTTCCTTAACCTTATAAAATGTTAAATATGAGTGTTTAAACTCAGAAATGATTAATAGAAAGTCTTAAAAAATTTTTAAAATTTTTTAAAAAACCTGTAATAACCCCTGTCAACATAATCTCCAAGAAAAACATAATTAGTCTCTAAAATGGATCCTCCACATTTGAAAAGCTTCATTAGGTCATAAAATTGTCCATGAATGTCCCCACAAATTGTAGCTGGCGATTTAACAGAAACAATGTTTGGAACGCGAAGAAGTCGATTTATCTAAATTAGAAAATTTCAGAAAAAAAATTTTTGAGAAAAAAAAGGTTTGAGCTTCGACTCGATTAATCGGAAAGAAAAAAATCCCGTAAAAACTGGAAAGACAAGAAAATTAACTTTTATGTTTTAAATCTGAGTTAGAACAAGAGATGTCACGAGTCGAGAAAATCGGATCGGGTTCCGAGTTTCCCCGGATTTTCCCTGGATTGGGTTTCGGGTAGAAAAAGTCAAGGTTTCGGGTCGGTGGAGTTAAGAGGCAAAAAAACCCAGGGTTTCAAGTATCGAGTAACCCAAGACATTCCCGACTCAGACGAATTTCTCAAACCCCAGAAAAAATTTTTTTGACAAACCACGCTTAGGGAAAACCAGAAAGTACGCCTCTAAATTTCAAACTCTGATTTTTAAAATTAAAAAAAAATTAACCAAAATTTGGCATGTAGTAATCATTTGTTCCTCGGGTAAATATTGACAAGCAGAAACAGTTGAAAGCCATTTGGATGGATATGCAACACGTCCTTTAAAAGAATTTTAATTAAAAAAATAATTTTAGATGAAAAATAACCTCGAAAATTGATTGGAGTCTCGTCTGAAAAAAAATTAAATTTAATTTAAATTATTGTGGAGACAATAATTTTCCCCAAAAAATTTTTTGAATGATAATAAATTGTCCACAAAGAAAAAAATTCACCAAAAATTTTGGCTCTTGTAAAGTTTATGGGACCAATCACTCATTTATAAGTCCATTGAATTTTAGATTCAATTTAGTATTATGCAGATTTGATAAAATTTTGCTTGACATGGACCGGATCCTAGACCAATGGTCCAGGTAAACCCAGGCCAAGAAAACCCCAGGAAGGTAAAAAAATGCCTGGGCCTGGACTCTGAGAGTACAGGAAAAACCCAGGCCTCGATCCAGACCCAGGCTGACCTCTAATAGGACGCTAAGGATTGAAAGGACTCAAAAACATGTCAATAACCCAAAATTTTATCAAAATTATTTTTAAAAAGCAAACTTTCTTCATCCTCAGTTTTCTCCACATTTGGGGGCGGTGAAGGAGATTTATTATTATTATTTCCCTCCTCAACCTCTTCCTGTGGGGACAATGCAAGATTATTAATTTCGTTTAAGGCGGAAGAACATCCGGAAGCGATAGCTTCTAAACTAGAATCGTGACTGTTGTCAGATTTTTCAATTTTCTCTTCCGATTCTATGCCTATTTTTGTCTCAAATTCGAAGGAGGAGTCGGCAGACATTTTTATAAGTAAATTGGCTGAAAGGGTGGGTGTCTAAATTTTTTGAAATTGAAAAATTAAAATTAATATCAACCTAAATAAACTTTGAAAACCTAAGCGAGATTGAAAAAATTAAGAAAAAAAATAAATACAGAACGCCAAAAAAATGTTTTGCCAAAAACGGTTGGGGTCTGGAGATTTGAACGTACAACGAGTAGAGACCGGCAAAATCGCGTTTGTGGGATCCCGCGGGATAAAAAATTTTTTAAATCTTTGCGGGATGGGATCCCGCGGGATAAATCCCGCACTCCCGCAAAATCCCGCATTTTTAATTTGCGGGATCCCGTCCCGCGCCGGTCTCTAGAGTGCTGTTGTTCCTAGAGGTCGGTGCGGGACAGGATTCCGCGTGGGATTTTGCGGGGTCCCGCGTCCACATTCCCGCAATTTTTTCGATTAGCTGGATTTTTGAGGGATTTCTTTGATTTTGCGGGGTCCTGTCCCTAAAAATTTTGAAAAAAATCGCGCATGCGGGATCCCGCATGCGCGATTTTCCGGTCACTAGTCACAAATATGTTTCTAATTCGGTTAAAAAATTTACCGTATTGTCTCTAATAGAAGCCCATCTCCAATAGAAGCCCATGCCCTATTAAAAGCCCAATCAATGAGGGATATTGAAAAATGAAGCCCAGGGCTTGTATTAGAGAAAATACGGTATATCAGTCTAGCTACAAGTTTTTTAACTAATTTTGACATTAATAAACAAAATTCATTCTAAAAATTTAAATGAATATAATAAAGTATCCAATACTAAATTTAAAAAACCAAAAATATAATAGGCAGACCTCACATCCTTGGAGCTTAAATTCTATTTTATAATGAGTAGTGTGCCTTAAATGGGTGTTCAGTTAGAAAGCTCACCCTATCCGTTGGCCAGCCAAATTCTAGAAAATACTGGAAAATCTTGCTTCCTAACAGAGGTGGTAGGACATCCGAAAAGTCAGAATTTGTAAGGCGAAATCCTAACTCTGACCCTCTTCTTTGAACTCCAAGTGAGGTCCGACATAAAGTATATAATACTAGATTTTAAATGAAGTTAAACTTCAGAAGTATATAATACTTAGTTTAATTTTCTAAATTTCATCGAAATTTTCTTCTTTTTTTCTCTCATAATGAATTGTTTTGCATTTGTACTTACGAGCTTCCTGAAATTTTTTTATAAAGATTTATATTTAATTATCAGTTTACTGGGTATAATTGAAAAAGTAAATTAAAAATTTTTGAAGCTAAAGTATATTACCATGTGGACGATGTTGACGACCTCCTCGAGGATTGCGATATTGGCTACCTCCTCCTAATTTAAAATAGATTAATGTAAGGCTGGGTTCATCCTGAAATCACGTGAACGATAATGTCGCTATAAACTTTGTGCTAAGTAGCGGAAGTTCCCAGAGAAAAGGAAAGAATATTACAAACGGCCATTCCCAGAGAGTTATTAGCCGCCCATTATCTAAGCTTAACATCGCCACTAACTTATCCTTGGGAAAGCGATTAGTAAATAGGCGATTAGTAAATTAACATCGCCACTAACTTATCCTTGGGAAAGCGATTAGTAAATAGGCTGGTGCTTATAAGCTCTAATGGAATAGGCAAAGGCAGATCACTTCTTCATTCATTCAACAGAGTTGCCGGCCGGCTTATCCATCGTGTAAAGGGAGAGACGTCTCCCTATATTCCCCCACTGCGTGCGATTAACTTATTTCTATACTCTGCGGAGTTCACACATGATTGCAACATGCGCGACTCTGCTAATAACATCAGCAATACAACAAGGCACTGGGGAACGGGACCAACCGCTTTACTGGTAGCACCGGATGGTTCCTCACCTTTTGCCGGAAAATTTGAGTAAGAAATAGGTCGGGGAATTTTTAAAGATGGATTTTTTGATTTATTATTGTGCACTCAAAATCCGCGGTTTAATTTTAATGAATGAATAATTTTCAAGAATAATATTTTTTGCGCTCAAAATCCATGGTCCCCCATTTTGATAATAAATTTATGTTTGAATGAATATTTTAGAAGATATAAGGGGGTTAATTTTAAAGTGATCTATCCTCTGCGGAGGCCATTTGTGTTAAAAAAATTATTATTACTTTTCCTCAGTAACCCTCATTTTTGATAATAAATAAATAAATTTATGAATGAAAATTTTAGAAAATATAAGTGGGTAAATAGAGTGATCTAACCTCTGCGGAGGCCATATACATTTATAAAATAGGAAGAAACTAAAAGGAATACAATCAAATCAATTACGAATTAATTCAAATTAAATAGAAAATATAAATTTTAATGAAGACCCTCTGAGAAGGCCATACGAACAAAAAAAATACAAAAAAAAATTCTTTAGAAAATTGGCCTGTCATAGAATTTTATAAAAAGGTCCAAATATGTATTTATTGTTATATCATTTAAAACGCTGCGGCGTTCGCGAAATTTATCTCTTATTATACATTTTTATTTAAATTCTATTATACTCACATTCATGCATTACTACCTTTCTCTACAAATGGATTTCAAGATGGAAAGAGATTCTTCAAAAAAATTCTTCAAAAACTACAACAAATGACGTTTAAGGATGGAAATTAATTCTTTTAGACTTCGAAAATTTCCATTAAAAATTACATTTTGTAAGTAAACTTTTGTATATTTAATGAAATCCAAAAAAAAGGTGTAATATGTATAGCTGAGAGAGTAAGATTTTTAATAAAGAAAGTAAAGAAAAATAGGAAGAAAATCGTTAAAAATTTTTTTAGAAAAAGTAGGTAAAAAAACTAATAGAAAGATTTTCCTCTCCAACAAGCTAAATATTTTAAAATAATTTTGTAAAAAAATTTTTTTTTTGTTTTGGATTTTCAAAGAATTTTTATTACATTATTTCTTTCCTTTAATTTCTTATATTGATTTATTGATTATTTTATTTTTTTAAAGATAATTTTATTGATTATTTTATTTTTTTAAAGATAATTAAACCCTGAGGGGTTCATTTAAAAGTTTACTTACTAAAATCTGATAGTTTTAAAAAAAACAACTCTTAAAATAGTTTATTTTAGTCATCCCGCGGGATTTTTGAAATTTCATTTAATTCTTTTGGAGACAAATTTATCTATAAAATTATATCTTTCTGTTAATTCAAACTATTTCCGACGGAAAAATGGTTCAAACATTTTATTTTCTTAGGAGCGATTTCTTTATGCTCAGTTTTTTTAATTTTACAATAATATTTTCACTTTATTCTATATTATTATTTTCTATTTTATTTTCCTTTTCTAAAAAAAAATTTTTTAAGGAATCCTGTTTTAAGGAATCAAATAAAATAATGGTTTATTTTTTTTGTTTTTAGATAAATTATCAGAAAATACTAAACGAATTTTGGTACTAAACGAATTTTAAAAAATATATTTTCAGAAAGTTTTCCCTCATAATTTTCAGGGTCATAAAAGTTTATTATTTATAGAGAAAGACTATAAAATGAAATGGAAAATATACTTTTTTTGGCTTTTTCATAATTATGAATCTTTTTAAATATTTTTATATATTGTTTATCATAGAGATATTTTTTCCTTTGCTATTTTATTCTCTATTATTTTCAATTATCCCCGCGGGGTACAAATAAAAGTAAATATGCAAGGCTTTATATTTTATTCTCTCATTTATTTTGGCGGAAACTAAATTCATATTTATCGATATCAAAATAGTCCTGAACGCTGTTTCAGCCCTGCGGGGTCCCACAATTTTAAAACAATTAGTGCATAAACTTAGCCATATCTAAAATAGTAGCCATACATTTCAACGCTAATCAAAAAATATTTTGAACTCATCTATTAAATTATCGTTCTTCTTCACCTCTTGAAATTAATTTCATTACTAAATGATTCATTTTCAGATCTGTCTTAAAAATTAACTGGGCAAAAAGAAGAGCACAATTTTTAGAAATTAGCTCTCTTTTCTCTAATTTTCGATTTATTAAATAAACAATTCACACAAATCTAGAATTTTTATTTTATAACCTTAACTACTACAATTTTTATTACTCTGTTTTCCTCTAAGGTGTATCAAGACTGAAAAATATTTATGGGCTATATTCTCAACTAGTCAATCAAGAGAAAACTATAACCTCTGCGGAGGCCATACAAAATATTATTAGTGACCATAAGTTCCAAAGTTCTTACTTTTCATTTTCTGGTCTTAATTATTTTACATGCGGGCCTCTTTTTTAAAAATTGTGTGAAATAAAGGGGAATTTTAATGTTTGGAATTTAAATTCTTCCATTAATTTGATTATACATTAATTTGATCTTCCATTAATTGATTTTAATTCTTTATAATTCTCTCTTTAAATTTTGGTTTTAAATTTTTTTTGGTTTTAATTCATTTTTTGGATCATTGAGCAAAAATTGTTTTTTGTAAAAAAAAATCGAAAATATTTACACTACATGAAGTTTAACTTTGATGTCTAATTTCTCCATCAAAAAAGATCAATTATAAAAAAACCAAAAAGGATCAATTCTGAGAGAAAAATTAAACATTTTCACATGAGGATTAACAAAATTTCATAGGTCTGCAAAAAATAACTTTTGCGTGGGCCCTCAAAAATACTAATAGAAAAACTATATTTCTCAAAGCTGAACCAGTTTTACTTCATAACCTGAGGGTTCCATTTAATATTAAAATTCTGAGGGCAGACATTATGTTTTCGGTCTTCCTTTTTTTCTTCTTTCTAATTGCCCAAATTTCCTTCAGTTTTCCCAAAATCGAAAATATACAAAAAAATTTTTTTAAGGAAAATTACAATTTTTTCTTGAACAAAGTCCATAAGAAAATCTACTTTATTACACAAATTCAAAAAATTAATTTTTTTTATTTTTCTATTATTAATGTTTCCCACAGGAATTATTACTATAAGCCACATTAATATCTTCTCAGTGATCGGAAGTCAATTTTACAATAAAATTTTCTTCCTTTTTATTTTAATGAAAACAATTCCCAGATAGCAAATAATATATTACTTTTACAAACCTTATCTAATCTCACTCCAATAAATAAAAGATTAGTCAATGGGAAAGCTTGAACTTAAAAAAAGCTTATATCTTAGCTTCTTAATCTAATTTATATCCTTCCACTTATTAACACTTTCATTATTGGGTTTTGGCAAATATTAATTCATTTTTAATTACTTTAATTATTTTTATATTATTTTTTATTTTTCAGGTTTAAAAATTTTTTATTATTAATTCCAATCTCGACTAATTCAATGTCTTTTTTTCCTTATGAGGAAAGATCCTCACATTCATTAAAAAATAATACAATCAAAACTCCTGAGGGAGTCACAAACGAATTTTATAAAAATCCTGAGGGATTCCATTATATTAATATGCTCTCAACAGAGAACTCTCCAACATTCACAATTTTTTCGGGCAATTCAGTAATTGAGTTCGGAAACTGGGCGAGGAAATTCAAAGACATAATCGAATGCAATGGTAAGTGGGATGAAACAGATAAAATTGCCCGACTCAAAGTATGTCTTGACGGAAAGGCGCGAAGAATATTTGACAAAATACCCCAAGCTGAAAAAGCAACTCTTGAGGGAGCCATTAACAAAATAAAAGAAAATTTAGATACAACACAAAATCGTGAGCTAATCTTCAAAGCTCTAAGCATATGCAAACAGAATGAAGGAGAATTAGTAGAGCAATTTGCTTCGAGATTAATTCCTATGATAGAAGCAACTTCTACAGACCACACAGGAAATGCCTCGGAAGAAGTGCTTTGTCGAACCTTCCTAGAAAAGCTTAGCCCAAATCTTCAATTTCTCACAAGAACTCTGACTGGGCCTAACAGAAATAATTTCGACACCCTACTTCTAAATGCTCAGGAGGCAGAGCTAATGCTATGTGCCAACACAAAAGCTACGTTCAGTCCGCTATGCTCGATAACCGATCAAGGCACATCACGCAATATATTAACATATGAAGAAGAATTGAATGAAGATTTCAAAACTAAAACCCCGTGGGGTTCTTGCAAATTAAAAGGTGAATCAGCTCATAACTATGGTCGATGGGACAACCAACCAATATGCAACTATTGTGACAAGGTAGGTCATTTTGAGATCAATTGTAGGAAACGACAGAACCAGGAACATTATCCAACTCTGGAAGAAGTTGACGAAGAACAACTCATCATCAAAGAAATGCTTAAAGAACAAGGTGAAATATTAAACGACCTTGTCAGCAAAATGAATGAACTAACAACAAACCACTGAGGCATCTAACCACAGAGGTATCAATTCCAGTTAGGATTAGTGATCCTGTGTATAGGTTGTTTTAAATATGTGAATAATCATATTTCAAAATTAAAAATATGGAAACCCTTGAAAAAGATTAAGAACGGGTTTTTATCCACAATCTGATTACAAAACCCCGAGGGGTTCAATTGAATAATAATTAAAATTAAATAAACGCAAATAATACGACGCGCTATACTTGTTGCATGCGTCTGAATATTTTAAATTCTTTCATTAACTCAAAAATAAAATCCAAAAACAAAAATGTCTCGCGTTCCTGTCACAAAATTAAGTCCGCTACTACTATCGCTTTAATTTTACAAAAACTGATCTTAACAAAAAGGCCTTCTGTTCTTCCAATCCTTCGCTGCGTCTAGCTCTTTAAAATTTCAGCTTGCGCCAGGATTCATTAATACAAACCCTGAGGGGTTCATTAAAGATAAATAAAATAAAGAATTATAGAATTGAAGTAGATCTCATATTCAAACTTGATTCTGTCAAATCCTCAGTATCAAGGGAAAATCTCAATAAACCTCATAATCACGTTAAGTTCAAAATTTTTTTTCTCTGAACGTTACGCAAACTATTAATTCATGTTTCTAAATATAAGTCCTGCGGGACTCTCACATGTGAAAAAAAATGAATTAATATTTTACAAAAAAATTAAATCCTGAGGGATTCATATAAAACAAAACAAAAATAGGACCAGGGACGGTCCATTGGAAGGTTAGAGGTGTAGAGGATGGTCAAATCTTAACGACCAGGGACGGTCTATTGGAAGGTTAGAGGTGTAAGGCTGGGTTCATCCTGAAATCACGTGAACGATAATGTCGCTATAAACTTTGTGCTAAGTAGCGGAAGTTCCCAGAGAAAAGGAAAGAATATTACAAACGGCCATTCCCAGAGAGTTATTAGCCGCCCATTATCTAAGCTTAACATCGCCACTAACTTATCCTTGGGAAAGCGATTAGTAAATAGGCGATTAGTAAATTAACATCGCCACTAACTTATCCTTGGGAAAGCGATTAGTAAATAGGCTGGTGCTTATAAGCTCTAATGGAATAGGCAAAGGCAGATCACTTCTTCATTCATTCAACAGAGTTGCCGGCCGGCTTATCCATCGTGTAAAGGGAGAGACGTCTCCCTATATTCCCCCACTGCGTGCGATTAACTTATTTCTATACTCTGCGGAGTTCACACATGATTGCAACATGCGCGACTCTGCTAATAACATCAGCAATACAACAAGGCACTGGGGAACGGGACCAACCGCTTTACTTTAATAAGTACATAAAATCGAATTCTAAGAAAGTATTAGATCTGAGGTCATTAATAGAATGTGTAGGTCCTTAGTATGGTTAGGGGCCCGGTCCGGTCCGAATGATCGTGTCGGGCATCAAATTTTGGCCCGAAAATGCCCTAAAAATGAAGCCTGATAAAAACCCGGTCGGACCGGTCCGATAAAAATGAGGCCTGAAAAAAGACTCGGACGTCGAACCGCCTCGAAAACCCCAACCCTAATCCTTAGATTTGATTTAAGCCTTTTTTGTATTACCAGAGCGTCGAGACTGATTAGAAGGTTGCGATGTTCCAACTTGAGTTTGAAGTAATTGATCTCGTGTCAATCGGTCAGTTAACTCCTCATTCGGGGTATATGTTTGAGTGAATAAAACTGTTGGAATTGGGATATGTTTATGATAGATTTGTTTATTGTTAAAACCTTGTGGAGGATAATACTGATGTTGTTCAGGCATATAAGGCATTTGCCCCTGAACATGGTGAATTGGCATTCCATACATCACAGGCATTTGAACAGGTTCTTGGATTGGAGTAAAATGTTGAGGCATATGGGCGTAGTTTCCTGGATAAACAGCAACTTGTGGTAAACCAACCATAGGCTGCTGGGATGGAACTTGATGAAGTCCTTGATTATGATGTGGTTGAAGTCCTTGATCATGATCATTATTTAGAAATTAATTTTAATATATGTAGGTATTTCTGTCAGATAATTTGCTCGTTTTTAAATATGAGCAGGATACAAACAAATCTGTTATTTGTTGTAGCTTTGACGAGATACGTCGAATAATGCTAAAATCAAATCACACTGACCCCCATATATACAACATACGGAAAATACGGAAAATCCGCTCTTTTGAAACCCCAAATATTTAAATTCTTAAACAAAATTATTCGAAGAAAATGAGTTTTACCTCCTTGACTGGCCGTAATTGCTTCTTTTAATTTTTGCTTCCTCTCGCGACGCTTTACAGTTCTTCTATTTGTTGCACTTTTCCATTTCCGATTATTTCCTCCCTCTTGAGTTCCCGATCCTTCCCCAGCTTCATTAATTACCTGATTCGCCTCAGGTTCGTCATCGGTATTTCCCTCAACTTGGCTATTTTCCTCATTCACCTCAGTTTCATCGTCGGTATTTCCCTCAACTTTGGGAACACAATACACAAATAAAATGAATAAAAGAAAAATTCCAAAGAATTTTAGCTTCTTCATTCTATTTTAAAAACAGAAAAGTTTTTCTTAAGTAAAAAAAATTTTTTTAATGTAAATTACCCAAGTCGTCTATGAAAATAAGTAAAAGTCAAGTGTAATTAAAAATAATTAAAAAAATAGGGTGAGGTAAAATTATAAGCAAGCCTATTTAAATGAGAGGCGTCTAATTGTAAGCAAGGCTAAGGGAAGGACGAAAGGAACAAGGCTGTATCGAAATTTGATTTTAAAGGGTCGAAATTTCGAACCTCAAACCCCACTCTAAAACATCAAAGGCAAAGTGTCTCTGATAAAAATTAATTGCAATAAAAGTTGGGGCTCTACTTCAGTTTATGCGTCCAATCGACTTTTATGCGTCCAATGAAAGTTTATGCGTCCAATAAAAAGAAAATTGGATTTTTCTTGGTATTGCGAAGTTGGGGTATGGTTCCAAAACATTTATTCATGATCGGGATCTACGCTCACTGGGCCTGGGGCCATTCCTTGCCCTATTCCTCGAAATTTCTGAAAGTTATAGCCAATTTTTAAAAATCTCAGAAAAACAATTGTAACTTTAAGAAATTTCGAGCGATAGGGTAAGGAACGGTCCCAAACCCAGTAGGCGTAGGTCCCGAACATGAAGAAATGTTGTGGAACCATACCCCAACTTCGCAATACCAAGAAAAATCCAATTTTCTTTTTATTGGACGCATAAACTTTCATTGGACGCATAAAAGTCGATTGGACGCATAAACTGGAGTAGAGCCAAAGTTGGACAACTAATTAAAAAGGATATGTACATAGAATACATTTCGGATTAAACAAAACACGCAAAGGGATCCAGCACGGAATTTTATGGGATCCCGTCCAGGAATGTCGAGTTTTAAGCGGAAAACGAGATTACCGGGATTTACGAGATCCCGTCCCGTACACAGGATCCCGTCCCGTACAAAATATTAAAAAAAAATTCCGTTACGGATCCTGGAATGCGATCTAATATCGACCAACACCAAAAAGTATATAGCTAGTCAAATACGGGAAAACCTCAGTTTCTTCACCGGTAGTTCCCTCAATTTTGGGGACATACCGTGCTTACTCAATTAATTCCCTTCTCTCGAATAGTTCCACATCTACGGACGAGTTAAGTTTGTGAATAAAGAGCACTTATATCACTTATGTAGGTGTGTATCGGTGTAGAGAAGAGTCTAAGGGACTTGATCAACCCTGAAGGTCTTCTAGAATTGTATCCCCTTGTATCCTCTCCCCTTGTATCCTATAATATCTGGAAAGGGCCCACCGCTTCGGCGCATAGTTAATAGAGAGAAGGTTTCTATTTTCTATTTTAAATTAAAAAAAAATTTTTTTTAACAAATCTTAAAACCCAAGTCATTTATAAAATGGAAAAATGAATTAAAAAAAATTTTTTTTTAATTTTGCGCGTTAAAAACAGATTTAAAAATGATGGACGGAAAGGTCGTAAGCAAAAACATCAAAGGCAAAGTCTCAACGCTTTTCCGTTATTTATTTTGAAACGCCAAAACGTTAGAACCCCCAAAACCGGCAAAAATTAAAACGCAATTGAAAATAGCCAAGTCCCCATTTTAAATTTTATTAAGCAGTGAAAAATAAAATAGTATGTAAATTATTAATTTTTCCTCCCCTATTTTTTCCCTCTTAAATTCTTTCTTAAAAGCCCCCTCTATTCTGTCAAGTGATTTAGAAGTCAGGCGCATAAACTCGTGATTAGAAGTCAGGCGCATAAACTCGTGATTAGAAGTCAGGCGCATAAACTCGTGCTTAATATTGACTAGAGTAGCACGAGGTCGAGTTTCGCGGAAAAACCCGAGGCCGAGTGGGAAAAATCGAGGTCGAGGGGCAAATTTGGACCCGAAACCGCGGTCGAGGACCGATGATAACCGAGGTTGGAGTCACAAGATTTGATTATCTCCGGGAGCTAAACTTTTGAAATTCTCAGAGCCTTAGCCAAGGCTTGAAATAGGGGATATCTCTTAATCCTACACCTTAAGAAAATTCCTGTTGTCTCTCTTAATTACCCCCCCCCCAAAAACCAATCATTACAAATCCTTCCATAGCTCTGTTAAGCCAAAAATGCATTCCTAATTACTCCTAATCCCTCTATTCCTCTGTTAAATGATAGCAGTCAGACGCAATAACCTCACGTGATTAATATTTATTTGAGAGTTCGCTTGCCAGAAGCCGGATATTAGAATAGGCCCGTAGGGAAAATTTTTACAATGCCGAGATCTCCAGCATCACAATTAATTTAAAAATCAGCAATCCTCAACTGCAATAGCGTGCAATCCGCAATATTTAACATAATCCATCTTTGTTGCTTTAATTAATTTTCGTAACAGCAAGTAGGTATTTATAATAAACAGTTTGTTAGAATTCTTAAAAATTGTTTTCTGACTAATTAAAAAAATCACTCGACAAATAAAGGAAAATATTTATCTAACAATAGAAAGTCTACAATATGCAGAAATATGCAAAAGTTTTAAAAAACGCAAAAAAATATGCAGAATATTAGGGTTGGTTGGTCCACGACCCGTCGGGGAGAACCTCTTCGGGAACGCGGATTTCAAAGAAAATTTTTGTCGGGGATCGAGGACCAACTCTAGATACGTACTAAAATAGTACAACTTCCGCTAGTTCTAATATACATTTTTTTACTCTGTAAAAAAATTTCCTCAAAAAATTCTCTTGAAAAATCCTCGTTAATCACCCATCATGGATGTTCGTTTTTGGAGCGTATGTTGGGACGATTATTTCCTTCTAAAAATTTTTTTTGATTATAAATCTCCCTTACATTTTTTAATTGTTTAAATTAACTCAAATTGGTCTACCATTGTGTTAATTCAATCATATTGTCACTTGAGGAAATAGTCGGAGGGTTAATACAATAAACCCGTGCGGGATGCCCTAGCTTTGGAATGGAGTAGAATCTCCACGTTAAGATCCCCTATCCAACGCCACTTTGCTTCATACGACAGCTCAATTCGGTCCCTAAGGTGTGTCATAGCCTGATTTAACCCCTCCTCACCCGACTCCTCCCTTCCTATACATAAGCAAAATTCAGCTCGAGATGTGTCGTTATAGAGGGATTCCACCGTAGTTAACATCTTAACTTCCAGAAAATATAATTAAGAGTCATCGAGAGTTCTTCCAGTACCAGTAAGAGTCCCTCCCCCCCCCCCCCAAATACCTTATATCATTTAATTGAAATTTACCAGGGTGGCGTGACAGATTAGGAGGTTGAGATGTTTCATCTTGAGTAAGAATTAATCGTTCTTTTGGTATTGTCAGACTTAAATCTACATTAGGATCAGATGCTGGATATAATAAAGGTGTTGGCATTATCTGATTATGACCATGTAAAGGGTAGTAAAATGAAGGTTGTTGGACAGGCATATTAGGCATTTGTCCTGGAACTTGAATTAACGGTTCTGGGTGAATATGGTAATGGTGATTGATAACTGTTACTTGATGAGGAGGGTGTTGTTGATGAGGATGTTGTTGGTGAGGATAAGAAGGATGAGTATATTGTGGTAATATATGATGGTGGACTTCAGAATAGATTGGCATTGGTGGAACAATATGTGGAGAATAAGGAGGTTCTTGATGGGGATATTGTGGTAGCATATAATGTTGGACTTGAGGATTAATTGGAGTTGAAGGCATAGATGGAGATGTCATCGGACTCATGCTGTTAATAAAAGTCTAGAGTGAGCGATGGAAAATTTTCGAGAAGGCAAAACAAGGACTTCACCCTAAGGCAGGAAAAACCCTGTGTCTGATCAATTAAATCCTGGTCTCGATCAAGACATGATAAACTGTCTGAAAATCGAACCAAGGGTCACTGACGGATCAAAAGATTATATGTAGTTGAAAGGTGACTAGAGATTGCGACTTGCGACCTCTAGAGCACCCTTCCAAAGGCCGAAAAAATTTTCAGGGAGGAACCAAGGAAGAAACTTCTAGTTTTAGGGAGAACCAGGCTCCCTCGTGAATTTTAGTCGATCGGGACCTCTCAGGTCAAGATCAGCTTTATTACTGACCCGACCTTAACTTGAAGAAAAATCTTACAACTGATAGTTCAAAGGAGTTTGAGGGCTGTTTAAAATTGAGTTTTGTCTTTTGTATAAATTTTGTTGACGTTGATTAGCTCGATTAGTGAATAGAGGTTTTGGACGATTTTGATGATGTTGATTAGTTCGAGTAATAATTAGAGGTTTTGGATGGTTATAATTCCCTCGTAAATTTCTAGTTCCTTTAAAAGTGTTTGGAAGGGGTCCTTTAGTAGGCTCCTTTGGAGAGTTTGACGCAACTGATTCTTCCAACCCCTGAATAAAAATTTGAGAAATTTAAAAAATAAGCTTAAAATCTGCCTTTTCCAGTTCATTGTTGGTTGAAGATGTTTTGGATGAAGATGTTCCCGTCTCTGCTAAAGATTTTCTTTGTTCTGAAAATTGTAAATAGGTTTTAGGTTTGTCTCTGGTCAATGTTTTATTTAATTCTAATTCACGGTAAGGGGGAGGGGGGGGGTAATTGGTGGGACCTCACTTATATGACATCCCACAGTTTGATTTCCGAGATTAACGAGTTTTTTTCTGCCTGAAAGGTGACATTTTAGCCACATTTCCTCCCCCCTCACCCCCCACCTGGCTACGGGCCTGAAGCGACCTATATATGTAGTTACGTAACATGGATGTGCCGAAGCAGATTTTAAAAAGCGAAGGTCAGGTCAAGGTTAATTTAAAACAGGGCTCGGATTCGTACTTTATTTGAAAGTACAGTACTTTAAAATCGACCTCCGTACTTACGAAATTGAATTTGTACTTTATTGAAAGTATGTACTTTAAAATCAACATTTTGAAAAAAATGGAAGAAATCTGGCTTAAGGACCTCCAAAATTCTCAAAATTTTCGCCTGCGGCGCAAAAAATGGAAGAAATCTGGCTTAAGGACCTCCAAAATTCTCAAAATTTTCGCCTGCGGCGCAAAAAATAGATTTTTTGGCGCCTTCGGCTCCACAAAAAAGTGCATTGAAATTCACAAAATGGTAAGTTGAAACAAGAAATTATTAGAAAAGATTAATTTAAGAGAGAAATATAAAAGATTTGAGCACGAATAAATGTTTTCTAATTTAATTTTGAGTGTACTTTAAATGTGGAAATTTTGCCCCTATGTACTTTAAAATCAAGATTTTTGTACTTTTTATTGGCATTTTGTCGATCCGAGCCCTGATTTAAAAAGAGAACGGTGAAAGTCGAGCGGCATAACGCCAAAAAAGGCGAAAAGCCGCGAAGCAAATTGGCACACTCCTCTAGGACAGCACCATTAGACTCGAATTTAAATTATAAATATATTTTCTTTTACCTCTTGCTATTCTTATAAGATGCCCTTCCAGAGTTCTCCTACGCGCGTTTCTTCGAGAACTTCTACTTGGTTGAAGCTTCGATTCAGTATGTTCTGGCTTTTTAACCTCACTTTCAATAAGTTGTTGATTTTTTCGGCGCCATTGAACTTCCCCTATTTTTCCCTTTCCTTTTTCATCTTTTAATTTTTCTTCATTGTTTTCCTCGTTTAAAACAACAGACTCGTCTTCGTAATCCGAAGAAATTTCAGAGGTTGTAGGAGAAAATAAATTTTTAATGTTTAATTCGTTCATCTCCTCCTCCTCTTCCTCAGTTTGAATGGCTTGAGGATCCCATTCTTCTTTTTCCTCCTCTTCTTCATTTTGAATCACTTGAGGATCCTCTTCCTCAGTTTGAATGGCTTGAGGAGAGTTTTCTGATCGTTTTTCTTCACATAATTCCCCATCAGAATGAGTTGGAGATGAAGAATCTAATAAGAAAATTAAAAAAAATTTTCTGGCCTTTTCAAGTCTAGACCCTTTCAAGTCTTTGTCTTAAAAATTTTTTCTGCCTTCCTTCATCTTCACCCTCATCTCTACATAAAAAAGCGTCTTGCGTTTTGCAGCAGAAAATAGCATTGGGAATGAAGAAACGCGGTTTTGTCTCTCCTTCTTTTGAGTGTTATTTTCTTCCGCAAGACGCTTTTTATGTAGACGTAGCATTATAGCGTATTCGCCCAAAGACACTGCGTCTTGCCATATTAAATAACATTCAAAACATGGAGAGACAGATCGCGCGCGACTTGACTCTCTCCATTTCCTATTATCTTTTCTGCCACAAGACACATTTGGTTTTTATATGGACGTAGCATTAGACATCTCTATCAGACTCTCTGCTAGACTCTCTTCTATCACTCTCTGCTTCGCTGCGGCTGGAAATATCGTTAGTTGACAGTCTCCTTGTGGTTCCGACATTAAAACAATCTCCAAGTTCCCGGTGATCCCATGTTTTATAACTTTTGTTTGCCACTGGTTGGACGATACCCCTTTTTCTGAGATCTAAGCGATACCTCTTATGTAAGCTACACCTCTGGTTAAGCTACTGGGTGGGGGAGCTTTCTACTGTGTGGAGAGCTGTCTAAGTGATACCCTCTATTTGATAGACATGTCAACGTGGTATCTCATCGTAAGACATACGGATTGCGTATGTATTGCGGCTGCGGAAATAATATCTCAATTGCGTCCAGTCCTGGATGCTAGGCGTTCTCGCTCGCCGGGGCGACGACTAATGCCTTCTCTTTTTTAACCCACGACTATAATACATGTTAAATGCCGCTAAGTGAATCATCCTTAAAGAAGTTTAAATTTATTTTTTAACTTTTTTTACCTTCTTTAGCAGATAAATATTTATATTTCATTGTCTTTTTAGTAACATTTTTACTGTCTAATAATGACGGAAAGTCATTTTTGTATTCTTTTTCACCTCCTATTTCCTCCTTTTTATTCTCAATTTTACCCCAAACATTTTTGTTAATTTTTGTTTCTTTATCAGATTTTTTAATAAACTGTTCAGGCACTCTTTCACCTCCCTTCGCTTCAATTTGGACTTCCTCACCTCTTTTAATTTCATTTTTAACCCCACCAAGTTCACCTCCACCATGTTGAAGGTCACCTCCTTTCCCTCCTCCAACTTTCAATTTCCCTCCTTCAACTTCACTTCTAATCCCTCCAATTCCAACTGCCACTTTTCCTCCTTCAACTTCCCCTTCACTCCCCTTAATTTTGCCTCCACCTCTCTCATCTTCACCACCATTTCCTTCAACTTTACGAGCATAACAAATTAATAATAAAAACAAAAGTAAAATTTTGTTGAATTTTTGGCGAATCATTTCAAATAAAAATGATTGAGGCTGAAAGCCTATAATACGGTGTATGTTAATTAGGGGGTATGGCATAGACAGCCCTCCCCAACATTTTAAAAATACATTAGGGATCTGACTCTACCTTAAAACGAGGTTACGTTAAATAGAGGGGATATAGCTTAGGAAGCTCCCCCACTTGGTGATCAACCAAATCTTATAGAACGTATCCTAAATAGAGGTGTATCCATTATTGGAGGGTGTTTACAATAGAGGTTCTGCTGTATCTTAAACGAAGAGTATGTTAAATAGAAGGTATCGCCTAGGCAGTACCCTCCATCTAATGGACCAAATTTTAAAATAATATCCTTAAAATAGAGGTGTATCCATTAATGGGAGGTGTTTACATTAGAGGTTCGAATATATCTTATACCCAGGTATTTGATATTTTAGAGAGGTATGACTTTTAAAAAATAAATTTTTAAAGGTAAAATAAAAAGAATAAAGCGGGAAAAGTGCAAAAATAGGTATCGCAAAATCCTTAAATATAAAGGGCATTCCTATTAAAGGGCATCTAAAGGTCCCTATTTAAAGGGCATTCTCTAAAATTCAAAAATTAAATTTCAAAATTAAAAAAATAGGTAAGAGGAATGCCCTTTAGCTAAGGGCATTCACTCTTATAAAAATAAAAAATAAAATGAAGGCGCGTTGAATAACGCCCGCATAGGTAAACACGTGAATTTTATTGAAAATTTCCTCATGACACAAACGTGTATATCATTGATTCGATAGCACTTGATTTTAAAGGAAAACAAAGTTTTGAAAGAGGGAGGATTTTGACGAGGGAAAGAATTCTTAAGAATTACTCGAGGAAACTCGAAGTCACACATTGCAATTCAAGTTGTGTTTGTTAAAAGTTGTCTCGATACTCTGCCAATGTGGAGGAGCAACAAACTGTTGTGTCCGCACTTGCAGAAAGAACATAAATGAAAATAAATAACCCATCATCGGGTTGGATGGTGGCACAGTCGGTTGTGCTTCGGTCTGGGCTCATTCCATGATGGTTCAATTCCATCTCCCATCCGAACAATTTTTCCACAGCATGAACCCCGTATAAAATACAAACTATAATGCTTAGGAACAGAGATAGGACCGTGCCGTATTAGCGTATTCCTTATCGTAGTATGGTACGAAACATGCACGGAGAATTTTGAATGTTATCGGTAGAGACAGGATTTTTAGGCAAATGCCTGTTTTTTTCCCAAATAGGCCTGATGCTGAAACGTCCAAATCAGGTGTTATTTTACTGATATCTTCTTTCTAACTAATTTTATCGTTGCCTAAAATTGCCTATTTTGGCTTTTTCTGACAAAATGCCCTATTTTGCCTTTTTTCAGCCTATTTAGCATATTTTTACTAAAATTTGCGATTTTTTGGGCATTTTTTGAGAAAATTTTGACTAAAAAAATTTTTTTTGGCAAAATATAAATTTCTTCACAAAAATTTTTGTGAAAAAAATTTTTTTGTGAATAATTTACTTCTGAAAAATTTATCAAATTATTTTTGGAAACAAAATAATTAATATAAATTAATTTATATGTGATTCTGATCGTCAAAATTAATTTATTTAACAGTTTATTGCTTAGCTTTATCTTTTTTGATGAAATTTGGTCAATTAAAATCAGAAAATCTCGAAAAAATCCTGCCTGTTTTGCCTTTTTTTCGAATTTTAGTGCCTATTTTGGCAGTTTTTTACTGCCTATATAGGCGCCTATTTTTAACTTTATCGTGCCTAAAAATCCTGTCTCTAGTTATCGGTATTCAATACCGTAGTACGGCAGAAAATTTAAGTGTTGTGTTCAACTGTATTAGATCCTAAGATGTGACTTGCTATTGAAGAATTACTTAACAGTGTTTCTGATTTTTTAAATTTTTTATTCTCTTAATTTTTGTTAGCAGTGCTTAACTTTAAAAAACCCCCAAAACGGTTAAAAATTATGGAGAAATTTAGTAGATAAAGTTTTCATGAAAATTTTATTAAAAAAATATTTTTTAATTTTCAAAAAATAAATTAAAATAATTTAATTTATCAATTTTTTGATTGTCAATCCACCCCAGCCCCCTCATCCTCCTTTTCATTTTTAGCAATTTCTTCCCCTTCATCAGATTTATCCTCATTTTCCCCACTAACTTTATTATCACCATTCTCTTCTTTCTCATCCTCAACCTTTTCCTTCTTTTCTTTGTTTTCTTCAGCTGGTGGCGGCTTTCGCAATACATATTTTTTGTTCTGGGCATAATTGCGAATAATTGAGAGAAATGCAACTGTCCGAATTGCCTGAAAAATAAAAATTTTTTTAATTAAAAAAATCAATTTTTAGGGATATTAGTGGATGAGTTAATTTAGAAAAACTGATAAAGAACTTGTGTAAAAAATAGAAAAAAACTTTTTTGCTCATTGACCTACAATACAAATGCCGGCTTCGACCAAAACTATAGATTTTAAAAATCCTTGAGCCAAAATTGGAAAACGACCCAATACCTTGTTTTTTAACTTATTCGTGTAAATTTTGCTAATAAATTTAATTTTAGATTAAAAAGTTTCGGAAGGTCCTAGGCTTTGCGGACTTTCACCAAGAAAAATCAAAAAATTAAAAAAAAGTTGCCCAAATTCTCTCAATTTTAACACAACCCGGGCCACTTTAAAAAAAATTTTTCCTATCATTTTATTTAAATTCGTGTCCTATTTCCTAACCTAAAAAACAAAAAAAATCTTTCCAAACTTACATGAACAACAATTAACAAATCAGGCATAGTCAAATTAACTTTACTTCCTTTCGATTGTTCATTCATTAAAGCAACAACTTCATCATAAACTGGTTGTCTTTCAATTGCTTGAGTATTTCTAGCTTTAAAATCAATTGCATAACAAGGTGGAAAATCAAAATCTTTTGAAAATTTTTCCAAATGTTTTGAAAGCATTCCACTAAGAGATGACAAAATTTGTGGCATACTGGCATAACAAGTCTCTTCTATTGGAATTACCTTTAATGAAAAAAAATTTTTTTAATGGTGGAAAGGTCAAAAAATGGGTACTTCATGTTGTATCTTCCCCCCTCCCCTTTCCACGCATTTTTTTATAAAAATTTGAAAAAAAATCAAAAAATGATATGTAAATTTACAAAAACATTTTCCCCATGCTAAAACAGGCATCTTAAAACTAAAAAATTTTTTGGAACTTATTGGTTATCCCAAACAAGTTCCCCATTGAATGCATCTGGGAAAATTGAGTGAAATCGAAGAAGGAAGAACCTTTGACCAGCCCAGACAAAATAAGTCCGCATAAATATGTCCGCAAAAACTGGTAAGGATAACCCACAAATACGAATTTTTTGCCTATTTTTAGATTTAATCCGTCTCTAAAATTATCTGAAATTTTTTTCTTATTATTTTGCTAGTATCCATAAGCAATTGAAATTTGGCTTAAAAGAGGGAGAGGGGCCCCTTTTCCTTCCCGGTTTTCCCTCAAAAAAATAAAAGTAGTCGGACCGCCATAAACCAAAATTTTACCAAAAAAGGTCCCAAAATTGTCAAAAAAATAATTTAAAAGAAAACCTTAGCCAAAAAACGAGTTTGAGCCTCATCTTCCAAACATAATTTAACCATCTTTTCAGCAAGTGAATAAACATTTTCTGGCGTAATTTGAGGAGAAATGAAGAAAAGTGTGTTGCGTGCTTTTGTTTCTAATTGTCGAAGAGCTGATTTATGTCCACGTTTATATTGATGACAGGCTGATTTTAATGAATCGGAAATGTCTTCAGACTTTTCTGTTGTGTCTGAAGGTACAGTCTAAAAAAAGCAAAGGGTTAGGGTCGTTTGGACGTCTGAACATTTTTAGAGGGTTTTTTGAAGGCCTCTTAGCCTTCAAAATTTAAAAAAATTTTCGCAAGCGCCGGTAAAAATTCGTCGCAGAAAAAATTTCCCTCCCTTGGCCCTCCCCAGAAAAAATCCTAGTTACGGGCCTGATTATGCCTGATCCATCTAAAATTTGTTTCGAAACGAACGGTATTTAACTTATCGTGAACGGTATTTTGTTGGACGGTGTCTAGTCCCGACATGGAAAATTTAAAGAAACCTTTTCTGTCCTCAAATTCAAACTTTCTTCCTCCAAAAAGCGGTCAATCAAATTTTTAGCTTCCGGAACCGCCCTCTGTTCATTTTCTGCAGTAAAGAAAAGGCCACAAAGTCCTGGAGTAATTGCATTCTTTTGGGATGAAGTTCCAGCATTTGAACGAAAATAAGGCTTTCGATGATAATTAGAAGACATTTTTAATTAAATTTTAACTGAAAAAAGTAGAGAAGACAAAAGATAGGATCAGACAAGATTTCTCGGATTAATACGGGCTGGAAATAATCTGGAAATCGCGGAAAAATCCAGCCGGATCCGGCCGGGCCTTATTAAACAAAAATGAAGTTTGATATTATGAAAAATAGGCAATCCCGGAGAATTGGGGTCCCTGCGAAAAAAAAAGTTTAAAAATAAGAAAAAGGATTTTTCTAGGATAAAAAAATATGCTGATTACGAATCCGAGCTCAGATTTTGAAAAAGTCGAATCCCGAACCCGAACCAAATTTCGAACCCTGAACCCTAATTTCGAATATGCAAATGATAGCTCGTTCGAAAGAGCTCGTCGAGCTGCATCGAATGACATCAAAATTAACGTGATTGGACAAGTTTAGACAAAGTTATGACATAAAGTATACCTATGGGAGTACTGTAGGAGTCGGCGACTTATGTCATAACTTTGTCAAAACTTGATTAATCACTGTAATTTTGGCGTCATTCGATTCAGCTCGACGAGCTCTTTCGAATGAGGTATCATTTGTAAAAACTTTTTTTTACTCGAAAAAATCACCCATGTGGTTTCTCAATATTTAGGGGTCTGTATCTCGGTTCAATTCGGTCGGATTTCATTGATTTCGGTGTCATTCGATGCAGCTCGATGAGTTCTATGATTCTATTGAAAGACTGGCCATTTTGTACAATGTCTGATAATGTTAGGGGTCAAAAATCCTGTTCGGGATCAAGAGTACGAATTCGGGTTCGGGATTCGACTTTTTCAAAATCTGAGCTCGGATTCGTAATCAGCATATTTTTTTACCTTAGAAAAATCCTTTTTCTTATTTTCAAACTTTTTTTCGCAGGGACCCCAATTCTCCGGGATTGCCGAAAAATAGATATTTTGAAATTTTTACTTCATAAATATTTCAAAGTGTTAAATTATTCAAAATGCAGATTGGTCATTTCATCGTCTAGACAATTTACTGACACTTTTATTCCCTAGTGAGACACGTTACCATTTAGTCAATTTACAGAAATTTTTGCATGCACTTGACTGGACAAAAAATAAAAAAATTTTCCTCCGTCGCAATTCACGCAATTTACATAGTTCGCAATTGCTTCCAGCACTGCGCAGCGTTCTTGCCTAAATTTCTAATTTAGTCTATTTCAGGGTTTCTTTAATGCCTGTATTTCTTTGAAAACTGCCAGAGGACAACAAATGTTAATTCACAACGGCTACAAATATATACGCGAATATTCACGAGGTCTTAACACTTATTGGTGTTGTAAAGAATTTAGGACCAAAATCAAATGTCGTGGAAGGTCAAAAACGGTGGGAGACCGAATAATTGAAACACAACCACATACTTGTATTCCATCGTCTTCTGTCGAGGAACTTCTTAATGGAAGCTATATTGTTCAAAAACCTCAAGGATGTAATACACTGCCCAGTGATGGTGGAAGGGAGTCTGTCGCAGGTTTTCTTAATTTTCTTTTCGATGGAGGGTTAATTGTAAGAGTTGGATTTTTTAGCTTCCCAAAAATTCCTTTACATTTGCGTTTGACATTTTACTAATCAAAAATTTATCGGCCAAGATTTTTCGCATAAAAATGCGAGAAACTTGGTTGTTGTTGAGAGGTTAATTTTCGGATGTGGCGGCTCAAATGTCCTTTAATCTTCCTAATTGACTGAATAATTGGTGGAAACATCCCGTGATAAGTCCAAGACCCCCGAGCTTTGAATCGAAATGCTTCTCGATAGGGATTTTTGGAACGAATTCAAACGGAACACAAATCTAACCTTTACTTTTTTCATAAAATAAAATTTAGGAGCCTCAAACACATCCGTCTCCTCACCTCCAAAAATTGTTTCTTCCTTCTCCCCTATTCAAAAAAAGCCTATAAAGAAAGAAGTATTGAACAGGCCCAACAGAAAATGTCCAAAACCGTCTCCCTCAGAGATTTTTACAACAACTACAAGAGGAAATCAAATGCTAGTTCACAAAGGTTATCGCTACATAAAAGATTATGGCAAAGCTGGGACAATTTATTGGGCATGTAAAGAATACAAGACGAATGAAAAATGTCCTGGACGGGCAAAAACTGTGGACAACGACGTTTTCGTTACTCAACCACATTCTTGTGTTCCGTCGCTTACTCTTATTGAAGCTACTAGAATTCGGAACAATATTTTACAAGCTGCAAAAACTTCGAAGGAGTCGCCCAAAGCTGTTATTAATGAGTGCCTTGCAGGTTATTTTTGTTAAATTAAGGGGATTTGACGGAAAGGACATTTTACGGATTACGCTGAAACTTGGGACAATTCACCGAATTTTGCAAAAATGTCAAGTTATTGTTAGAGTAGTGGGTGGACGCCCGTAACCGGATTCTTTTCGGTGGGGCAAGGGGTTAGTTGCACACCCGGTTAATTCTTGCCTGTGGCGTCTCAATAGAAGAATAAGAGCAGGTGAACCGTTACGGGCAAAAATTTAGCCGTCACATCCAACACTAACTTAGGGAGGGCAAATACGATTTAAGGTCCTTTCGGTGAACAGCTAATTCCCTCAACCTTCTTTTGGATGTCTCGCTTCTTAAAATCTCCCCCATCCTTCTCCTATGTCATTTTCTAAAATGTTCATTTTTAGGGGCATCTGATGCAGTCATTGCCACACTTCCAAAAATTTCTTCATTAGCAACTACAATTAAGAGAAAACGGAGACTGCAGGGTCTGCCTGACAACCCTCGCTCTCGCTCAGAAATTATAATTCATGAAGACTATCGAAAAACAAAAACTCTATTGAAAGAAGAATTTGTTTTGCTGGATACGGGTGCTGAAGATCCAGAGCGTTTAATTATTTTTGCTTCTTCTACGGATTTGGACCGTCTTTCAAGATGTGGGACTTGGCTAGCTGATAGTTCTTTCAAATCTGGTTCTGGTGCATTTTACCATTTTTGGGTGTTGTACGGGTTGTATTGGTAATCAACTTTATTTTTTATTGGGACTGACCTCTTTGGGAGTGGGTTTAGGATTATGAATTGATCACCTAGAAATATAAAATTTTGCAAAAAACATCCATCATGTGTTCTGTTATGGTCTCCAAAAGTTTTTCAGTTTTTCTATAAGGTATGGGTCTTCCCGCATTTTAAAAAGTGGAGGGCTGAACACGGAAAGGTAGAAAGGCAAAATTCTGCAGAAGTGTAAGCGGGAGACAGTCCATCCCCTTCTATTATATGTCAGTTTTGCCCCATCCCCTCTTCTCCCAAAATTCTCTAAACGCCCAAACTATTACCTTTCTTATTTTATTCAAATTTAGGAATCGAGTAGTTCCATTTGTTTATTGCCTTATCCCCAACAAATCTGAAGAAATTTATAAACGTGCTTTAACTTGTGTTTTAAATTCAATTGGCGAGCGCCGTCCAATGATGTTTATTATTGATTTTGAAAAATCTGTTGAAAATGTTATTCGAGCTTTAATTCCTCAAACACACGTTGCTGGTTGTTGGTTTCATTTTAATCAGGTTTCTTTTTTGAAAAACAAATTTTTAAATTATAATTTAAGTCAATATGGCAATCAATCCAAAATCTTGGCTTGAATACACGTTTTGATCAAGAACCTGAATATGCTTTGGCTTTAAAAAAATTTTCGGTTTTGGCTTTGTGTGATGTTCAGGTTTATTTTTGTGAAGAAATTTTACAAGTTTTTTTGGGGTTGATTGATTTTTGTGGATATTTTGTGTAGTTTTTTGAGGTTTATTTTTATTGAGGTTTGGATGAGACTGACAGGGATGGACTAAATTGAGAAAAAAAGTCTGGGTCGTGTTCCAGGGGTCCACCACAGAAGATCGAAACCCAAAAGGTTTTGGGTTTGACCTTTTGCGTAATTTGACCATCTTGGTTGATCCCAAGTTTCAGATCAATTTTTCAAACTTTTTTTGAATATCCCAAGTTTCAGACCAATTTTCAAAAATTTTTTTGAATCGGGTTCCGTGTCAGAAAAAAAGTCTGGGTTTTTCGGTTGGGTTAGTTAATAAGGATTTAAAAAATAACCTTCATGGGAATAGCGGGAGTGGAGTTTTAAAATTGTTGCCCCAGACCTACACACTCTTGAAATCTTAGCTGGCCAATTTTCATAAATTCAAAAAAAAATTTCTTTCATCCTTTATGAAGGATTCGGTCTTTAAAAATTGGCAAATATTCTTATAAATTTCTAGAATGTATTCCAACGCTTTGAACATCTTGCTGATCACTTTCTACAGCAATTTGGCGACACTGAAGCTCACCAAGATTTTATCGAATTTATTGAAAATATGTTTATTGGACGTCCTCGACGCTCTCCTCTCTTTCCTATTGAAATGTGGAATTCAAAATATATTACAGAATTTCAATTACCTTCAACTAAAAATTCTGTGGAATTTTGGCATAGAAATTTACAAAATATTTGGTCAAGTTTACGACAAAATTTCTTTCGTTTTCTGGTTAGAATATTGAACGAGAATGAAAAGGTTGATGTTCTTTGTTCAAAATTGGATGCAGGAGAAGAGGTTTTTTAATTTTTTTGTTGTATTTGGATTAATATAGTGGTTAGAATGGTCCCCCTTTTTAAGTCTTATATCCTTATTTGTGTTATAGTGTCTTCTTTTTTGACACTTGCCTTTTTTCGTTTGAGGTTTTATTTATCCGTGTGTCTTAGTGCCTTCTTATAAATCTAGTCAAGTTTTTGTTTTCGAGACTACAGCAGTTGTGTCAACGGATACCGTTGCTTGTTGGTTCCCTTTTTTTGGTTGGACCTTTCGATTTTTGAAAATTTTTGGGAATTTTGTATAACAAAATATAAAAGTACCAACAAGTTAGCGGATAGTCCCAGACACAGCTGGCTTAAGTTCCGAGCCTGCATAATGAGTTTGTTTATAGAATCATCATTGAAAACCAATACAAAGTAAAAATCCCTGAATTTTCTTTAAATTAGAGTTCGATATTACAAACTGGGTACCGATTCTATGGGGAACGGGGATTGTTTGGAAATTGTTAATGGTAACTTTGGCCCCCATGTTCTTCTTTCCGAGGAATACACTGTTAGAAAAACATCAAAATTTATAAATTAAAAATTTAAATTTATACAAAAAATTTCCAAAAAAATTTTTTTTTCAGGTCTCGGTCTATTCAAAAGTTGAATATAAACAAGCAAATCAACGTTTGTTGGAAATTATACAAAATTATTCGAATTTAAATGAAAATGACTATTTTACTCAATGTGTTAATTTTGTTTATTTTACTTGAATTTTTTTGGCTGAATTTTTTTCTCAAATTTTTATTTTTTCAATTGACTAAATCTATCGTTTCTTGGTTCATTCATTTAAGGATAAAATTTTATTTATTTTTTTTCTTTTTTCAAAAATGAGTTAAAAATTAATTTTAACCAATATTTTTTAATCTTTTTTTATTTCGCTAAAAACATTTTTTACTGTTCACTTATGTTTAATTTATCTTAATTGGATGTCGGAACGGGACAGGATTTAAGTGACCTTGACCCGAAATCCCGGTTTTAAGCGACGAACGGGATTAATCCCGCGGGATCCTGTTTCGTTCAACCCTTTGGAAAACCCCCGGTAGTTTTTCTCAATTTATGCGATACCTTCCACAAATCACCGAGGGACCTGGTAGATCCCTATACCAATTCATTCGACAGTGCGTGGATTAAAAGTGATATGTAATAGAATTTGGGGGCACATACTGATAACAAGGTGCGGAGAGATTAAATGGAATATAGAGGTGTGGGCGTGATATCGAGGGATTTGTAGGGATATCGGTCGTAAGAGACCGAGTGGTGTAGGGATATGGGAGGTATCGAGGGGAGTGGGTGGTATCGAGGTATATTGATCCAAATCCCCATTAATCCCCCGATTCTCTCCAGATCCTCTTATTCCCTATAAAATCCCGAAACTCCGCGGGATCTGGTAAATTAGAGAACGGGATTTACGTGTTTAATCCCGTGCAATCCTGCCCCTATGAACTTTTGAAAAAATCCCGTTACAAGTTCCTGGGAATTCGATTTTACCGGCCTCTTGTTTTAATCCCGTTTTAAAAATTTGTTTTTCTCAATTTTCGATGGTTTTTGTCTTTGTTTGATTTTTTTATTTATCTTTCTCGTTAATTTGAGTTTTCTTTATGAATGTTGGAATTAATTTTTATTTTCATAAGCCTAACAAAAGGCATTTAGACCGATATGAAATACCTAGTCAAATTTAAACAAATTTTAATAAATTTTGGCATTTTGTTTATATTTTATTTAAATGACATTTGATCCCAAATAACTTTCACTCTCTCTTGCTTCCACTCTTTTCCCTTGTTTCTCACTAACCTACAGTCACATTTTGTTTAACCATTCTTTGTTTTCCTTTTCATATTTAGTAGTGGTTGTTTTTAATTTTAAATTTATCGTGTTTTCGTTATTTTCCTTTAAGATTGTTTTAAAAATACTTAAAAAACTTTTCAAAAAATTATTTATTTATTGTTTTTTGATGGAACTGATTTTTTTGGATTATTTTTTGATTTTGATTAAACAAATGATGCTTAAATATGAAGAAGGGTTTAATTGGATGAAGAAAGGTTTAATTTTTATTTCCTTTTTTTTTTAAATTTTGTCTGGATAAAGTACTCAGATATTTGGTAGGCGGGTTAAGTCAGTTTTTCTTAGGTACTTGAAGTCCTGACTTTTCGACCTGAAAATCTACCCGAAAAAATTTTGGAACAATCCTAGTTTTTCACAACCCGGGCCATCTCTGGATTAAGGTTCGGTTTGTGTGACCCCGTTTTTCTTATTTTTTCATCTCCCTGGAAAAACACTTCCACATTCTTTTAAGGAGATGGAAAATGTGAAGGTAGTGCTTTTTCGGTATTTTACAAGTTTGCCGGTAGGTAATTAAGTGTGATGAGCCAAATATGAGTTCAGATTGTGGGTACCTACAGGTTATCCCGAACCAGTTTTGCGGACAATTTATGCGGACATTTAGGTACAGAACGATCAGATATTCTTCCCTCCTCAATTTCACTCTCCTGCGGCCTTTCTATATGTCTCACATTAAAAATGCCACAGGGAAGAAATTGAGTGAAATGATGAAGAACATTGAGTAAGATGCATGAGTCCGCATAAATTGTCCGCAAAACTGGTTCGGGATAACCCATAAGTACCCTATTGTGAATCCAGTATACAAAGTTAGACCAGGTCAGATTCGGTTAGAAACTAGAAGATAACTAGGGCTAAACTGACACTTCTTTTTTGAGCTTCAATTCGTGTTAGTGATTTGAAAATAAATAAAATTTGACACAATACGAACTCAGCACACTTCATTACCTACAGACAAAACTCTAAAATATTGAAAAGCGTTTCTTCCTAATCTTTCTAGGGAAAAGAAAAATTCGAAAAAAGGGGCGCATAAACCACACCTTTATCATATCTCCAAAAGTAGTCAAGTAGTATAAATCCAAATTGCGTTTTCTGAACCTGAGTCCACGTTGTATACAATCTCAAAAATTTTTGCCTTCAATTAAACAAATTGTAAAGCGGTAGAACCGACAGACCCCTCTTTTCCTCCCTAATTTTTTCCTATATTTATCAAAAATGGTTAGATTTTTTCCTTTCTTCCATTAAATTGCCTTTCTAATTTTTGCCTACAATCAAACAAAAAGGATTATTTAATTTTTTACAAGTGCCAAAAACAAGTATAAGGAAGAAAAATATAGGGGAAAAATGGGGAGGGGGTGGAAAGGAGGTCTGTCCTGTTCAATATTACCGAAAAGCGTTTTCACGGATATTATCGGGAAATTGAATAATAGGAAAATTATGGGAGATTGCCTCAAAGAAAAGTGACTGAGACCGTAAAAACAAAAATATTTTCTAGCATATTAAAACATTTTTTAAAATTAAACAGAAAAACTTGATCAAATTTTTGAATCATTCTCAAATTTATTTTTGATGTCTGTTTTAATGTTGAATTTTATTTCTCTTGGATCTTGTTTTAACTTTTACAACATTCTGCTTGGATTTGTATGTTTTTCTTTTAAAACCCCAAAAATTAATTTGTTTATCCATTTTTAGATCTTTTCTGTTATTTTGATTTGGCTGATTATTAAATGGATGATCAATGGTAGAACTTTAAAAGTTGCAAATAACGAGCTTATTCAATTAATTGTTTTAACTGCAAATATTGTTGCAAGAAAAGTATTTTAGATTAAAAATTAAATACAAAAATAAATTTATATTTAGGCACTTGATGATTTTTCCTTCTTTTTTGGTTATTTAACACAATCAAAAGTTGATCAAAAATTAAATGTTTCTTGTGGGGATTATGGAATGAAAAATAAAGGTTTTAATTTTACTTTTTCCAATATTTTTCGGCAGCTGAGAGGAATGAATGGGTTGAGTTTCCCGAAACCTATACGTTTTTCAACCCCAACCCCGATTTTATACTTTTTTTCAGCCCGGAAAACCCTACTAGGAAATTGATAATAAAGGTACAATAGTAGATGGTATTGAGTAAGGGCGTAGCCAGAGGGGTTTAATGTGACTATAGCCTTAAATGGGGAAACAAAAAATTTTGGGAGTTAAAATCCCCAAAATTCTCAAAATTTTCGCCTCCGGCACAGAAAATATCAAAAAAATTTGCATTCGTAAAGTCAAAGTAAACGCCAAAATTTTGGTACACCCGATTCTAGCCCCTCCTGAAATCGACCTCTTGCTTTACCCTTAATATCGATGACTCTTTAGGAAAAGATTTAAGAATTACTGTAAAATTAGGAATAACTTGAAAAATTTTTTTGTTAAAATTGGGTATCATTTTTTAATAAGCATTAATTTTTCAAATTATTTTTCCTTAATTTTGGTTTGTTACTCAAAAATTGCGCGCTTTTTTATTTAGTTAATCTCCTTTTAAATTTAGCTTATATAAAAAACAACCTTACTATGGCCAATTTTTACGTGCAAATTTATATATTATTAATGATAATTGTTCCGGTAAATGCTTGGAATAGAACCTACTCTGCTTTGGATATTTTATATTATTGTGGTGTATTTATTATTGTTATTTTACTCATCATTATCTTTGCATTTTTGTTTGTTTTTATTGTTTATGGGATCGTGCTGGTCTTCATATTTCTTCAACAAAAACAACAACATCAACCTAATATTGTTAAAAATAAAATTTCAACAGAAGAAGAACGAGTCGAAAGAACTCAATCAACAACACTTGAGGTTTTATTTTAAACATTTTTTCGGTACTTATTGGTTATCCCAAAGTAGTTTTTGCGGACATTTTATGCGGACTCATTTTTGCATGGAATGGTTTGCATGGACCAATAAGTACCATTTTTTCTAGTATTTTTTGATTGCGAAATTGCGGGCCTGCACTTGCAGACCGACTTCATTTTGAAATATACTCTTATTTAGCGTTTTAAAAACGAATGTGAAAAAGTTAAACATTTAACAAGGAATCAGTGCAGGTCCGCAAATGTCTTTCGGAATTCAAATAGGTATTTCATGTCCTTACTAGAATACTATTTTAACTTGTATTCTTTCAAATTGAGTAAGAAAAATAGGCGGGACTTGATGGTTTTTAGGGCAAAGTTTCCGGACTTTTTTAGTCGAATAAGTTTGTGGTGAAATGGAAAATGGAAATATCTAGGCCAAAATAGAAACTGCATAAGTTCCGAAAATCTGTCACCATAGTGGAATTTTTATCAAATTTTTTGGAATTTTTATTAAATATTTTTCCGAAAGTTTCAAATTAGGATAGGTGTTGTTGTTAAGGGTATGAAATATGAAAAATCAGAATTTATTTATCTATTTGCTTTTAATCTTTTTTATTTTAGCTTGAAGTTGTTGATGAAATACAAGAATCAAAATCTGACAGTGGAGGTGAGTTTTTAAATTTTATGCTAATTATATTAGAGACCGGAGTAGGAGGTTGTATGAGAATCAAGATCTCGAAAAAAAATAATTGTCGTACGAGATTTTTCGAAAAGTTGATAACCAAGATTTTTGGGCTCTATTACACAATATACGTCCAATCAACTATTATGCGTCCAATCAACTTTTATACGCCCAATCAAATTTTATACGTCCAATGAAAATTTATGCGTCAATTAATTATTTATGCGTCCAATCAAATTTGTACGTCAAAGCACATTTTTATCCAACGGAAAGAATCGTAGTACCTGCGGCTACATTATTTGCTATAATTGGAAGAAGTGTATAAGCTGTTATATCAGCAATACGGAAGAAACGGACTTTATTAGTTCCTGTTCGGCCATGCCAAAAACCCATTCGTATTGACGGATTAACATATTTGTATTATACTTAGCGTGAAACAATTTTGACTCATTAACTTCTACCAGCGACCTAGTGTTATGTCCGAGGTTGTACGAAAGTCGACGTGCAATGATTAACAGTTTATCCAAAGAGAAATAACAATATGTAGGCGAAGGGATAGGGCTGGTCAGGCGAAGGAGATCAGGGACTAGCCGGGCTAGTATGATCCAATTAGACTGACGCTTACAGTGGCTTTTATAGAAGTGTCACCACTACACAACACCTAGTATTGTGTTAACTTGAACTCTTGTTGCGCATCCCTGACAGAGGTCTCGAAGAAACTTATAATAATTCACGAAAGTATTAGAAGATATTAGGTTAGTACCGGCTTGAACGGTAGCGAGTTTACTTGTTGGGTGGGTACACCAGTAATAAGCGACACACATTGCTTTCGTTTCCTAAATTATTTCTAAATGAATCTCTGTTAGCCCTTGAGCAGCTTTGCAAGCTTTTGAGCAAGAATTTATTTTTTACTGGACGAATAAAATATATTTGGACGCATAAACTTTGATTGGACGTATAAATTTTCATTGGACGCATAAAATTTTCATTGAACGTATAAAATTTGATTGGACGTATAAAAGTTGATTGGACGCATAATAGTTGATTGGACGTATATTGTGTAATAGAGCCGATTTTTGTTCGAGATCTCGGTCGGTTTCTAATTAGCATATTTTTAAATTAAATGATTTTTTGGAATAAAAATAAAATCATTAGGAAATTAGTGAACCCCTTCTAGTTTTCCCATCTTGCTTATACGTTCAAAGGACCGGCTGAGTTCTATAACAGGGTTCTATATATATTGGGATCTTTCGGTTAACCTGCAAAAGGTTGAATAATTCATAATAATCTTACTGCAAATGTTTTTCTTTTCTCTCTACCCCCTTTGGCATTAAAAATTTGAGAAAGAGAGAATAATTTTAATGTAAAAATGAAGGATTTAAGCAAAATTTTTCTAAAGCTGGGAAATTTTTTCTAAAATTCTCGGGATAAAAAAACCTTGCTGAAGAGTTATTAAAATGACATAGGCTGAAAAAATTCGTGATTTAAACAAAAGTTACTATGTTTTTTATTCATAATTAACTTGTTAAAAATTTTATACATATTAGAGCTGAAGGGAGCTATTTAGAGAGAAAAGGAGGCAATCCAGGAGAATTGGGGTTTCTTCGAAAAAAATTTTTAAAAATCAGAAAATGGATTTTTCTAGGGTAAAAAAATATGCTGATTACGAATATGAGCTCGGATTTTGAAAAAGTCGAATCCCGAACCCGAAGTCGGACATTCGACATTTTGGGAAAAATTTCACAGAGCGCAAATTCGTCAAATAATAGCTCATTCGAAAGAGCTCGACGAGCTGAGTCTAATGACACCAAAATCACCGTGAATGAACAAGAACTGACAAAGTTACAACACAAAAAACATAGGTTTACGTTGTTTGTTTTTTGTGTCATAACTTCGCCAGATCTTTTTCAATCACGGTGATTTTGGTGTCATTAGACTCAGCTCGTCGAGCTCTTTCGAATGAGCTATTATTTGTATATTCGAATTTTTCACCCCAGAATCAGCTTGGTCCCCCCTATGGTTTTTCGATTTTGTAAGACCTATATTCGGGTCCGGGTACGACTTTTTCAAAATCCGAGCTCATATTCGTAATTAGCACATTTTTTTACCCTAGAAAAATCCATTTTCTGATTTTTAAAAATTTTTTTCGAAGAAACCCCAATTCTCCTGGATTGCCGAAAAGGAAAATCTGCAGGAAATTAATTTCCTATTTATCTTGTTGCGGATAAAATTTGCGGACTTTTGCAGAATAACCGAAAGTATCGATATATTTTTTTGCGGTTATATTCTTAACTTTTTAAATAAAGCGAAGATTCTATAAAAATTTTATTTTTACAGAAGAGGAATTTCATTCAGCCAAAAATTTTTTTGATTTAACTGAAGAAAATGAAAATTTAAACAATGAAGGAAAAAAATTAAATGAAAATGATGATGCTGGAATGGTAAAAATCGAATTATTTAAATCTTAAAAGCCTGATCCCCGACAACTTCTTGTCGAAATCAGGGACAGGCACATAACCATTGGGTTACTTATTTACTCCTTCCCAGTTAAATTTTTTAGTAGATATGTAAAAAGGTCTGTGATAGATCATAGAACTCGTCGAGTAGTGTGGAATCACACCAAAATCAACCCCAGGTCCTAACTTTGGGCCGAGATGGAACAAAAACCAAGAGCGATGAGCAGGCTTTGCACAAGCGTCTCTCCGACTCCAATAGGATTACTTTATCATTACTTTGTCAAATTCTGTTCAATCACGTTGAATTTGGTGTCATTCGACTCAGATCGACGTGCCCTATTTCGAATGAGCTAACATTTGTTTAAACGAATTTTTTACTGGAAATAAGCTTGATCCCTCTGTTGTTTTTCAGTTTTCGGGGTTTAGTATCTTGGTCCAAAGTTAAGTCCGGGGGCGGATTTTGGTGTCATTCGACACAGCTCGACAAGTTTATAATCTATTAGTGACTGACCATTTTTATATAAATATGTAGGTATTTATCAAAAAAATTGACGGTGGGGGGGGGGGGGGTAAATAATTACAGCCATGGGTACTTTCTAACTTTAAAATCAAGTTTTGAACTATATTTTTTCATTTTTAGAAGCAGGAAATTTTTAATGATGATACATCTGAATCATCATGTGACGGTAAAACATTTTTATTTTTTACTTCTATAATTAAATTCGTAATTTTTCTGAATGAAAAATAAGATTTTGTGTCGATATTGAGAATCCAAGTTTCCGAAACTGAAATTTGCTTGGCGTAAAATGCCTATTGAAAATCGTTTCCGTAAAATCCCTATTGAAACTCGGGAACTATCTAAAATGCCTACTGACAATTTTGTAGGATTTTTGTTTAAGGGGTTTTCCACATTCTTAACATTATCATATTTTGCCTAATTTTGAGGCTAATAGAATTCACCCTAGGCGAGGTAGAAAGAAAAAATCGGTTTTTTTTTCTCTTGCTCAAACTAGAAATTTTTACACGTGGGCTAAAAGTGCTTTTGGCTTAATCTTAATAAATTTAATAATTTTGCCTACACTTTAAAATTGAATTTTAATAATTTTTGACCACTCAAGGTCCTCCCTATATTAAAATGTTAAAAAATTAAATAAAATTTAATATTATACAATTTTATATTTTATAGAGTCATTAAACGAAATGCAGGATTTTGGTGTATTAACTGCAAACAATGAAATTTGTACAACTAGTTCAATGTGTGCTAAGGTAACAAATTAATTTATAATAAATAGTATCAAGGCGATACCGAATAGGTGTGAAAACCAAGGCTAATGGTTACTCGAAAACCTAATTTTTCTTGAAAAGGCGCAGTTTCTAGCGTAATTGTTGATCATTGATATATTAAGTATGGATTGGGGTAATCCTTAAGATCATTGGTCCCTAGGAAAAAATGCTAAAAAGTGCACTTTCGATATTTTTAAGGCTTGCCAGTAGGTAATTGAGTGTGTTGAGTATGAATCTGAGCTTAGAATTTGTTTATTTCGTACCCCGAATCCGAATTCGACCAAGTCGAATATGGGGCAAAAATCCGAAATTTCAAAATTTATGTCTAATCGGACTAGTCTCTTTGAGCTGAGTCGATTGGTATCAAAATTATTACGTTTCGACATCTTTAAACTAAGTTATGGTGTCTGATTTAAACTAAGTTATGGTGTCTGATTTAATACGGAAGTCTAACAAAGCGTGTATTTAATTGAACATAACTCAGTCTGAAGTTGTCGAAACACATTAATTTTGATATCATTCGACTCAGCTTGAAAGGACGCGTCAGAATAGCACTAGCCTAATAGTTTCGAATTTCTACCCCGAGTTCGACTTGGTCGAATTCGGGTTCGGGGTTCGAAATAACCAAATTCTAAGCTCAGATTCAGACTCAGCACACTTGATTACCTACTGGCAAGCCTTAAAAATATCGAAAGAGCACTTTTTGGCAGTTTTACCTAGGGACCAATGATCTTAAGGATTACCGGGATTGGATTTTTAGGTGGTAAACGCCTTAAAATAGATAACTAAATAGGAGTTATAATAGGTATTCAAAATTTTATCTTCGAACTCGCATTTTCAAAATTTTCCTTGTAATATAATCATTAAAAAAAGAGGAATATTATAAAAAAAAAGATTTTTTTTTGGGTTGATAAGAAAAAACGGCAAAATTTTTGAAAGATTATGTTTTTTCAAACATTCTTGAAACTTTCTGATAAAAAATTGTATTTTTACGAAAAATATCGAAAATAGGTGATAAAATACGAAAACAGTTTACAACATATTTAGATTGCAAAGCTCCCAAATAGTAAATCCCTGGTGCTTTAATCACATTCATAGCTTGATTCATTACATCATAGCCCTATTAACCAGAAACTCCTATTAACATCCCACATCCGTTATCAGCCTTAGATATCTTTGATAAGGTTAGATTTGAGTAGCATCCCTATGTCTTCGAAGCAAAGTTCCTGTTAGTATTATTAATTGGTGACAATAACTTCACATAAATACAATATATTTAAAAAATCCACTCACACCATAACTATTTCAGGAAAAATAAGCTATAACCTAAAAATCCAATCCTTAATAATAAGTGTCTCGAATTGGCCACATTTTTTTTCTTCTTTGAGATTTTTTTGTATTTTTGATTGAATGTTTTTTCCTTCCAAAATATTTTAAAACTTATTTAAAAACATTTGGGCATAAAAATTAAAATATCTAACAAAATGAAAATATTTTAGGAAATTTATCAAAACAAAAATTATCTGTTAAAGGATGGAGTCCTAATAACCTCTGCGTATTTAACTTCTGCCGGAGATTCTATACACAACTACAATTTACCGATTGGATTCGTACCTGTGTTGGCTGTTGTTGGTAAAATTTTTATTCAAAATATCTAAAATGTCTGTCCTGTTATCTGCCCGCGTTTCTATTTTTACGTTTAAATTTTAATACGGACATAATGGTCTGCTTTTGTCTCTTTAGGTTCACTTTTCCCTGTGGAGTATGATAAATAGAGCCAGGAATTTTTTGCATTATAAAATGCAAAATAGGCAAGAAAAATCAATTTATACCTAGAAATTTTCCATTTTTAGTCAAAAACATTCAAACACCTATTTTTTAAAGATTACTCCCATTTTAAATGTATAGGTTGAGTATTTTTACGCTATTGGACTTTTTTGATGAGGCGTTTTAGTGGGGACAGAAGACCCACGGACAAAAGACCCACAAGGAAAAATTTTTAATAAAAGTTTAAAAGAACAAGATTGGACAAAGTTACGATACAAAAATCAAACAACATAAACCTATGGGACGTCGGCGAGACGCTTGTGACCCCGCGCTTCGCGCGGGGTTTTGCGGCACGCGTCTCGCAGGGAATCAACGGTCGCTGGGTTCTGGGCTCGTAACTTAATCCTATTCCAAATATCGCTGTGATTGGCATGCCTGGCATCCTCCTCAACAGCAAAACTTCCACGGAGACCATAGGTAATGAGCCAATATGAAACCACAATTGGATAAAAATAAGAAAAATGGTTGTGGGTCTTTTGTCCGTGGGTCTTCTGTCTGTGGGTTTTCTGTCCTTGGGTCTTCTGTCTGTGGGTCTTCTGCGTCGACACGATATGAAAATAGGAACCCCCCTGATGTTTTCAAAACACATGGAAATTGTTTTTTGTGCATTATACATCATGCCAAGTTTGCTAAAAATATGCATTTGCATAAAAATCCTGGCTCTAATGATAAAAAAGTTTTTATTATATGTATAAAGGGTAAAAATGAATGTCGATCCTAAATGGTGTTAAGCAGTATTGGGGCCCGACCGGCATTGGGCGGTATTATATCGGTTGTTTTGAATCCCAATACTGATTGTGTTGATATCGCAGCGAAAGGTGAATCCCAATACCGGTGTTTAAGGATACGAGCTATTATCTTTATCAATCAAAATCCCATTTCGGTTAATACCGGTTCAAGGTCGGGATCGGTATGATCATTCCAAATTACCGTTAACAATTTCCTCTTTAATACGGTACCGATCGACATTACTTTTAACTGATTGTTTACGATCATTTAACTGAACCGAAACCGAAAACCGTGAGCCATAGGGGGGAGGGGGGGGGGGCGGTGGTATAGCTGAATTTTGAGTACATCGAAATACGGGCATATGGCAGGATAGCCTCATTAAACTTATCGGGGTAAAAATATATTGGACCTGGGTTCAAAAATGCAGAACTGTGTACTTATTGCTAGTGACATATGCAATTTTGTTCAAAAAATGCGAATTGGGTAATGGAAAAATGACGGGGTTTGGGGGATTTGGTGGGATATCAGTGAATTTTGAGAACATCGAAATGTAACAGGATAATACTATATAACCTAATTTTAACTTATATTTTATAGATAGTTGAAATCCATTTTTCAGTTAATGATGGAAAGACTACTGGAATGATTCACACTGCGAGAGCAGGATTAACTTCTTTAAAGGAAGCAGAACATTTTTTTGCTCTTGGTACAGAAGACTGGAGAAACTCTTGTTTTAACGCCACACAATTTGCTTTTGAATTTTGTAAAAGAAAATTGATCCCTTGGAATGTGAAGGATGATGAACGATTTTATTTTCTTTATGATCCAGTAAGTTTATTTTTACAGGAAAAAATCTGATTAAATAGCCAATAGTCTACTTAGGGTGGGACTTGTATTTCTTAGATCCTTGTTTAAAAACTATTTAAAGATTACAACATATAAGCATTACATATATGGCTTTAGTTTACTCAAGTTTGGTTTACCATTTTAAACTACCTCTTTTACACATCTAGTTTCTATTTTAAAACGGGTGGATCTATGACATTTGATTCTTTCTTTGAGATGAGCGAATGGTTTACTCACCAAGTACGGAAATGCCGGAGCGGGCCAGTTGAGCCCCGCCGGTTGAGCGCCAGCCGACTTTGATCGGCTATAACTTTTTTTTTGCTTGAATCACTCCTAATGATTAATATATAATTCGAAAGTCCTCGATAAGCGGTATCTTTTTTCCAACTGTATGGATCAAGTCTGATCACCGGTTAAAAAGTTACAAGTCGATAAGTGCAGGAAATCGTTGTTTTTCACACTTATCGACTTGTAACTTTTTAACCGGTGATCAGTCTTGATCAATCCAATTGGAAAAAAGATACCGCTTATCGAGGGCTTTCGAATGATATAAAACTTATTTGTATTGGATCAAGGCTTAAAAAGTTATAGCCGATCAAAGTTCTCTGGCGCTCAACCGGCCGCGCTCAACTGACCCCAACCGCGGAAATGCCTATGGGAGGAGATATAGGTTTCTAAAAATTGAAAATTCATAGGCAGGTCCAAGCTGATTTTTGGGGTCAAAAAATCGATTTTTACATAGCTCATTCGAGAGAGCTTGTCGTGCTAAGGCGAATGACACTAGAATTAAGATCGGACTCCTCTATAAGCCGAGCTATTGGCTTAAATGGTAAGAAGTAAGTGTGGGCAAATTTGTTTCCCATTCTCTGCCCTGAAATTCCGGCCTACTTCCGTAGAACAAAAAACAATTATTTTACGAAAATTCAGTTGATCGTAATTTTGTTCAAATCATCGAATCAATCTGAATTTTATCGAGGCGCTCTTACAATATAGCTATTATTTGATTTTCGAATTTTTGCCCCAAAAATGAGCTTACTTCCCCAAGGGTTTTTGAATTTTTGAGGATCTGTATTCCTGTTTACGGGCATTTCCGCACCTGAAGATTGATACGATTCGACTCTGAATCAACTTGTTTTGTTGTGGTTCCTTTACTTAACTACAGACCAATTTATATTTTTATTAGCACTTTTCCCGCAGTTATAATTTAAATTAGTTGGGATTCTCTATTATTTAAAATTTTCACAAATAAAACGAGTTTTAATCACTTTTCAGCCTGACCTTGAACGTAAAGGGAGTAGTGCTGGAATTCCACTTTTGATTGCAGTTTTATCTAAAATTTTGAATAGAAAACCGGCAAATGGTGAAAAATTTTTAAAATATTTTTTCGTTAAAAATAAAATTTCTAGTAAAATTTTTCGATAAATTTTAAATAAGCTAAAAAGCATGGATATAGAGAATTTTCTCCCCTAATTTATCCTTTATTTACAGATATTTGTGCAACTGGAAGAATTACTGATACTGGATTGATGGTTCGGGTTGGTGGTTTAAAAGAGAAGGTATCGTCTCGTTTTGTTGTGTGTCCTTGACTAAACTTTTTTATTTAAGGTGAAAGCTGCCCGAGCATTTGGTTTTACTAAAATTGTGTTGCCGAAAAGTATGGAAGAAGACTTTAATAAAATTAAAGAAAAATATAGAAAAGGAATTACACCAATATACGGAACAAATTTCGAGGATGTTTTTGAGCATTTTTTTCCTCCGTTGCCTCCAACCTAATTTATTTTTTCTTTGCCTTAATATTGTCTCATTATTTAAAAAATTTGATTTAATAAAAATTTGAATTTAAATATTTTTTAGTCATTGGTTTATTAACATTCAATTGTTTTCTTTTATAAAATTGAATTTTTCATTAGTCGACCTTCAAATGATTATAAAAATATTTTAATCTTTACCAGGGGACATTTTACCCCTTTAGGGGGCATTTGCCCCATTTTTGACATTTTCGCCCCCCTTTTCCCCCTTTTCTGCAATGCCACCTTTTTGCTCCCTTTTTGATTTTTTCTGAAAAAGGAAGAAACATGGATAAAGGCCTTCCAAAATCTCTAAATTTTCACTGCAGCGCAAGAAAAAGAAACCTGGCTCTGTGGCCTTCATAAATTGCCGAAAAAAGGAAGAGCATCATCAGTAGGGTTGGTCCCCGTCCCCGAAAGTCCTATCTCCCTATTTCAGATCCTAATTTACTCAATTCAGTTAAAACTAGTTAAAAATATATAGTGGTCAACCATGAGTTTTATCGTGCATGACTCGTTTGCTTCCTCCACGAGTGACACATCATAATTTGGCTAGATTTCATTCACCTAATTATTTTCAAGTTTTTTAAGGTTAATAAGTATTTTTAAATCTTTGTAGAGGATTGGTATCAATTTTATTAAATTGGAGGGTTTATTTAGTTATTTTTTAAAATTTATTTTGCGTTTAAAAACAGTCCTTTTACATTGTTTTTGAACCAATTTGGTTTGTTAAAAAATTAATTTCCCTGAGAATTATCGAGCCCATGACTCCCGATATTTGATTGTTAAGAAAAATATTGCTAACTTACTCAAATACATACTTCAAATAAAGTACAAATGAGAACCCTGCTATTGAGGTTTATTTTTAATTTGAAATTTAGAGAGTTTTTGTTATTGAAGGGAGTTTGCTAGTCTAACCTAGGATCAAATTTCAACAAATAATATTTTTGCGGACAAAACCTGCGGACACTTATTTGAAAAAATATAAACCCAGAGACCCAGACCACTGTTATGCAGCGTTCAGTCGGAATTCCGATCTCTGCCTTCCAATTTTCGAATCTCCGATGTTCATAAGCAAGGTTCGTTTTGCTGCATGCAGTTATTACCTCATTATCTAACCATTACTCAAATCTAAGTAAATTTGACCATTTTAAAATTGTAGCCAGGCTGAATTTTGAGAAAAAACGGATATATCCGCAGATGGATATGACTCAAAAGTTAGACGGATACAAACGGATACGGATATTGACCCTACGGATATATCCGGATACGGATAGCAAAATCAGTATCCATGACCAGGTCTACTTAAAACTAGGGCCTGACAAACAGTGATGTCTAGGGTGAGTCAAAATATGACAGAAAATCCCAAAATATGCGCATATATATGCACCGAAAAAGGCCTAAATATGCACTAAAATAAACAAAATTTTCCAAAATATGCACTAGATATGCAGCAAAAAACAGTAAAGTTGTGCTTCAAAAATTCATATTTTAAGTAAAAACGATAATTTAGGCTTTAAAATAGCAATTTAGAGCACTTTTAAAAGACTTTACGAACTTTAAATTTATGAAAAAAATTCTCTGAAACAAATTTTCCAGAAATATTTTTCGAAAAAATTTTCCACAAAACTTTTCTAAAAAAAATTTTTGAATTAATTTTATAATATACCAAAAAATAATTTTTTAATTACAAATTTCTAAAAAAATGCCAAAATATTAGTGTTTCACCGGAACCGAAATTTTGACCGAAACCGGAACCGGATCCAATTTAAGTTCCGGTTTCCGGAACCGGAACCGGAACTTCTCTAAGTTCCGGCCCGGAACCGGAACCGGAACTTTAAAAAAATTTTTGCTGCAAATTAAAAAAAAATTCTATTTTAAGTAGGGGTGTAGGTTTCCCCAAATACTTAGATTAAATTCTGCCACATTCTTCGGTTAATCGAAACAGAGCCGAATAACCGAACCGAAACTGACCCTAAAACCCGAACAAAACTACCCAAATCCCCTGATATGCTCGATACCCCACCAATTTCATGATATTATTTGATCTCCAAATTTCTTCAAATTATCCTTAATCCCACCAGATCCCTAAATGGCAGATCACTTATATATCATTATAACTATTGATACATCGAAGCCCCCAATATCACTCCAAATCTTCATTAATCCATGCAAATTCTCAATAATACTCTATTCTTCCTTCCATTTAGCGCCGCAGGCAAAAATTTTGTGAATTTAGGAAGGCCAAGTGGGAAATGCCAAGTTTTGGAAGGCCAAATCCCCAGCTATCCAATCTCTGATATCTACCTTGCACAGCTGTATCCCTCGACATCACACCCAAATCCCTCTAAATATAATACCTATGACCCCTTGAAAGCACATGATGTAACTCAAAATCCACATCCATCCAAATCCTCCGATATACCATCCATCTTCCTTTTAAAGCGCCGCAGGCGAAAATTTTGAGAATTTGTGAGGACAAGGAGCTATATTTTTTAATTTTCTTGCGCCGCAGGCGAAAATTTTGAGAATTTTGGAAGACCAACCGGGGAAAATATTGCAAGGCCAACCCATATTTTTTTAAAAAACCAATCCTTAGGGGTGTAAAAAAGTTCCGGTTTGCCCGGAACCGATTTGTAAACCGGAGCCGGAACCGGAACCGGAACCAATTTGAGTTCCGGTTCCCGGAACCGGAACCGGAACCAAAAAAACACCGGAACTTTCCGGAACCGGAACCGGAACTTCCGGTGAAACTCTACAAAATATGTATAAATTTTGGTAAAAATATGCAAAATTTACCAAAATATGCACAGATTTGCAAATATGCACGAAAGGACCGAAATATGCAAAAATATGCATTAGGAACCGGGTCCTAAAGTGCTCGGACCAACGTAAAAACACCATATTTGAGCTTTCAGCTCATGGCATATCCGCATGCAAAATATGCATTTGCATGTTTTGACTCGCCCTAGCGATGTCTAAGTTCCAGTTCCGGAACTAATTAGTTCTAGTTCCAGAACTTGAACTACGGAACTAACGATTATCTGGAACTAGTTTGGAACTAGAACTACGGAACTAAATGCCTGGAACTAGCTTTGGAACTAGTTCTTGAGGGTATATTTTTGACAAAATTTCCTTGACGAAGTATTGTTGTAAATTACCTGCAGAGCGCTGAAAATGAAAAAAATCTGGCTGCTTGAGCTCCAAAATTCCCAAAATTTTCGCCTGGGGCGCTAAAAAAGTGAATTTTTGGCCTCTTAATTTATCTATTACGTAAAAATTTTTTATGCGAAAATCTCTAAACCCCGCGTCCCGCTAAATTTTAGAATACGATTTGCGGAGTTATTGGATTTATGGAGATTAAATTATGGGATTTGCGGAGATTAATCCCGCGAGATCCTGTCCCGTAAAAAATTTTGAAAAAACCCTAAAAAAGTGGATTGAAAAAAGTGAACTTAGTGCTTTTTTACTTATACTAATAATAAACCTGGTTCTTGAACTTACGAGATTGCGTGAATGCAATTTTGCCGCACACTAAATGATTTTTAAATTATGCCTTTATTTGTTAAAATTGATAAATCTTTTCATTTTCAAAAAAATTAAAAATTTGGAACTAGAACTAGCTTGGAACTAGTTCCAGAACTGGAACTAGGGAATTTCAAAAATGGAGTTCCGGAACTGAAACTACAAAAATTAAAAACCTGGTTCTGGAACTGGAACTACTAAATTTAAAAACCTAGTTCTGGAACTGGATCTAGAACTACAAATTTAAGGAACTACTAAATTAGTGTTTTTTTACTAATGCATATTAATTTTTTAAACACAATTTCACTACAGGGTGACATAAAAGAAACTGCACACCTTGTTTTTGGCATAACTTTATTCAAATCGAAGATATTGGGCTCAAATAAAGCTTAAATGATAGAGAAATAGATATTGAATAGAAATTGTCAAGAATTTTCGAAGTGACTCTCCCTTATTTGGATTAAGAGTAAAAGGGCGGAGAAAAATATTGAGGAAAAGTTTGCAAGTCAAAAAATTTTTTTTCAGAGAATAAATTTTTTATGAACTGATCATGTCAAAATTACCAAAGTGACTTACCGTATTTTTTGTATTAGAGCCCCATGGGGCTCTATTTTTCAACTATCCTCCAAAGTGGGGCTATATTACAGCGTGGGGCTCTAATAGAGCGTGGGGCTCTATTTTTCAACCTATTCTTGAAAATAAGTAATAGGATTTTCAATTATACGGTTAACTATATTTATCCAATCAATTAAAGTTTAATCACAAAAGCAAATTTCAACATTGAGATATTTCCAAATATGATAGTCACGCGTGTACACTAAGGCGCGGTTAAGTGCATCTGAGTTAGATTTAAGGCCGAATTGGAATTTTAATTTGTGGAAGGTTCGAATCCTATCGAGCCTTTGAAGGTTCGATTCTATTTTTCTTCAGTCCGTACGTTTCAATCTCTCGTGAATATATTCCGGTTCAGTCCCATGAAAGGATATAGATGTGATTAAGAAGGTATTTCCATGTTGACTCCGGGCTCCGGGTGGAAAATCAATGGATAATATTATTTCGTTGATTCGTGCAGATTAAAGGGATATCGAGTGATAAGAGGAGTGAGAAGGATATCAAGGTATTAAGCGGGATTTGGGCAGATTATAGTTTTTTGGGCAGATAGAGTAACTCGAAAATGCTCAAACTCGACTTACTCTACTTTATTTCACAGATGAGTCAATTTATAAAATCGGGATTTGCATCTGGATCTGATGCACATAACAATCCCGATCTCGGCCTCGGGATTGGCCGTGATCGGGATCAGGATTTGAAAAACCCGGCTTACTCCCGCCCGATCCCGACCAAGATCCCGATCCCGCTGAACTCTAATCAATCTATGCCTCCAGTGACAGAACCTAACTGGAATGAACTGCTTTGATTTGACTGGAAATGATAGAAAAGGCTGTACAGTATTAAAAATAAATTTATTAACTTAGGTATGTGAAAATTTCATAAAGTGGGGCTTTATTACAGCGTGGGGCTCTAATACAGCGTGGGGCTCTATTTTTCAACTATCCTCCAAAGTGGGGCTTTATTACAGCGTGGGGCTCTAATACAGCGTGGGGCTCTAATACAAAAAATACGGTATCTTGGGCAAAAAGTCTCCTCTTTCTAATCCACTTATTACTTATTCCCAAAATCTTTTTTATTTAACGATATAGTTTGTTATTTGCAAGTGTCAAAATCCTCTGATTTTCGTGAATCCTGAGGGTTTTCGTGAATTTATCGGAAATCCTTCAATGTGTTTTACAGCCTTGGATCCGAAGCCACTTTTGGCTTAGGGAAGGGATCCTACATCAGAATTCTTCCTCTTTCAATAAGACCTTTAATGTGCAGGGTTGGTGTGCAGCCAATTTACCCGGTTTTAACCCATCTCAAAAAATGCCGGCTCTACTCCAGTTTATGCGTCCAATCGACTTTTATGCGTCCAATGAAAGTTTATGCGTCCAATAAAAAGAAAATTGGATTTTTCTTGGTATTGCAAAGTTGGGGTATGGCTCCAAACCATTTCTTCATGTTCGGGACCTACGCCCACTGGGTCTGGGACCGTTCCTTGCCCTATACCTAGAAATTTCTGAAAGTTATAATCGTTTTTCTGAAATTTTAAAAAATTGGCTGTAACTTTAAAAAATTTCTAGGTATAGGGTAAGGAACGGTCCCAGACCCAGTGGGCGTAGGTCCCGAACATAAAGAAATGGTTTGGAGCCATACCCCAACTTTGCAATACCAAGAAAAATCCAATTTTCTTTTTATTGGACGCATAAACTTTCATTGGACGCATAAAAGTCGATTGGACGCATAAACTGGAGTAGAGCCAAAATGCCACCGTATTCATCGGATTTGAATCCGTTGGATAGAATTTTTATTCTGTTTTGAAGGCAAGGGTCTGTTCTTAATAAAACAGAAATTTTGAGTCGATTCGTCAACCACTTGCCCAGGAATGGGAGAAAATCCCAACCATGTAGGTGCGAACTTTTGCCTAAAATTTTTCCAAGCGCCTTGAACTCTGTATCCGAGTACAGGGTGGGTATTTCGAAATTTCTTAATTTTATTTGTTCCCCAGTCATTTCTCTATTATTTAAGCCTTATTTGATATCATTATCTTCAATTTGAATAAAGTTATTTCAAAAATATTGTGTGCAGTTTCTTTTATGTCACCCTGTATTTATTGCTGCATATTTTGGTAAATTTCGCATATTTAGGTCATATTTTGAGCTTTTTCGTTGCATATATATGCGCATATTTGGCGTTTTCGTGCATATTTTGTCAGGCCCGACTTAAAACAATTAATGAAAACTTAAAACTACATATCATTCCCATCAATCATTCTTCTTTTCTCTTTCATTAATTGCTTGAGGAAAATAAATGCTATTGCCTTTTTCTCCGCAAAAATGGAAGAAAAATTGTCCGCAAAAAGTCCTTAGGGATAACGGAAATGTACCATCAAATTATTCAGCAAAAAAATTTTTTGCGGACAAAACTTGCGGACATTTCCAAAAAACTGCAAATCTCCACCGCTAAGGGAAAATTATTTTTAATAATTAAAGCTGGTTCAAAAGGATTGAAAAAAATTTAGAATTTTGCCAACCCGAAAATATGTAAAATAAAAATGATTTTATAATAAAAAATAGAATCCTTTAAAAATTAGTTTTCCAGATAAAACTTGTTGACAAATCCAGAAAATTTTTAAAGGAGGGTTTGCCAAATAATAAGGGACGTGGGCAAATCTATTTTTTAAAAACTTGAAAATAATTCCTTCTCTTTTCAGTTTTTAAAAGAAAATTATAATCCATCAGCTATCGTTATTCAATGTGGAGCCGATTATCTAGGCCCAGAAGAATTCTAACGACTCAGAAGTCACATTAAGTGCCAAAAACCTGTTTTTCAAGGTTAATTCTATTTTAAACTGGGCGACTCATTTGCTGGCTTTCCAAACTTAGTAATTGTTTATTGAATTCAATTTGCATTTAGTTCCAGGCAGTCATTGATCTTGTGACCAAAGCTGGGCGAAGATAAAATTTTGCTCTCAACGAAACGAAAAAAATAAAATTATCAATGTACGAAACGAGAGGAAAAATGTTTATCAGTCGAATTTAATATAATAAAGTCGAATTTTATATAAAAAACGAAAAAAATAAAATTATCAAACCTAAAAGGTTATGGAAAGAAAAAGAACTCGCATGGAAGCGGGGTTTTCTCCTAATTCTAATTCCAGCAATGACAACAACAACGAAAATTTATTAAATCAAATCAATAAATTCACTACTGCAGCAAATGACTTGGGTAAATTATTGGAAAATGAAAAAGACGACAAAACAAAAGCAATTTTTTCGACTTTATTGGCGGTTATTGACACGTGTAAATTGACAGTGGAAACACTGCGACAACAGCAAGACAACAATTCACCTCAAGAATTGGAGCGACAACGTTCTGTTGTGGTTTTGGGTTTGCCGGAAGCAACAGGCACGCCTCAACAACGTGCTCAATCGGATCAAGCAGCAATTTCAAGTTTACTCGACGAGCTGCACGTCGAGTCGGTTCCATTGTGTTCGTACAGAATGGGTCGCTTTGATGCAGCTAGAACAGGTTCAAGGCCTATAAAATTAGTTTTTCCGGCGAGACATTTTCAGTGGCACTGTCTTCATGGTTGGAAAAAAGAACGAATCAAGTTGCGACAAATGGACAAATATTCTAGACTCTGGATCCGGCCCTCCCTGACACCGTTACAATTACAGGCTGAAAAGAATCGAAGAATGGCCAATAATTTGGAACACATTGGGAAAAAGATGGAAGACAATAATCAAAAAACTCGGTTTGAATCGATTTTTAAAAAATTTTTCCGAATACATTATTGACTTGAATGAGAGTAAAAATAAACATCTTGAGCGTAATTCACAAAATAAAGGTTTTAAGAATAAAAATAAAAATCCTGAGCGCAATTCCCAAAACAATAAATTTAAGAATAAAAATAAGGTGTGCACTAACAGATCAATCCCGTGCTATTACTTTAACGCTAGAAGTTTAAATAATAAATTAGAAACCCTCCAGATTATAATCAGACAATATTTATTAATTTTCATAACTGAAACATGGCTTCGCCCGGAAATTCTCAACTCTACCATTCTAGGGGATTTAAATTACTCAATAATTAGAAACGATAGGAAAAAGGGTACAGGGTAACGGGAACTTCCTAGGTCGGGATTCCCAAAAGGGAACTAGGTCGTTCGCCGCTAAAATAAGAAGTTGGGGTTAAGGGTCTTGATGAGGTATGTCTTAATCCCAAAGATTAAGACAGGGCAATTCAAACGAGGAGGCAAAGGGTTTTAGACGGCCAAGTTTAGACGTAGACGAAAGTTAGGCGAATATTCCCAAAGAATATTAACAAAAGAACAAAGAATATTTTAATAATATTTATTTAATTTAATACAATTTTACAATTATTTGTGTGTATGGAAAAGGTGGTTGGAATTGGTAAGGATAAGGAATGATTCAAGGAAAAGCTATACTGAATGAACGAATGTAGTTGTAAGGGGAAAAAATTGGCTTAAATAGGACATTTTCAATGTGTGTGGTAAAAAATGTGGGGCAATGGCAAAAGTGGAAAAAATAGAAAAAATTATATGTTTTTTAATAAAGTTGGGCGGAAATGCACTTTCTCCCTTTTTTCCCTGTTGGATAAAATTATTAATAATTTTTAGATTGGAATTTAAGATAAAATGGATAATTTTATCCATTTATGGAAAAATGAGAGAAAGAGCAAAGTAGGCGATAACGATCACTAACAAGTGATGTCATACAAAAATAGGAACGGAAAAATTAATAATTTTATTAATTTCATCCTTCGACGAAAATTCAAGAAATTTTCGACATTGCCGCGAGCAGGCACATCAGTGGGTCCTTAGTTGTTAAAGTTATGTTGATTAGTCGATTTAAAGTTTTAGTCGATATTCCATTTGTCGATTTTGCATTTATAAATTTTGTTGTTAAGATTTGGTTTTAAGATTTGATTATTGTTTGATGTAAATTTTTAAATTTATGATGTTTCACCACGTTCTTTTTATTTTTAATTGATTGGCTTCGCCAATAAAATTAATTTGTGAAGATGCTTTTTGATGATTACTTTTTTAATTATTAAAATTTGATGATTTTGTTGTGATTTTCTTTTGTTGAGTTTTGACGTTAAAGGTTTAGACGTTAAGGTTTAGACGATATGTTGACCATTTGACGAGGACCCATTGTTGATGACATTTGATGTCCATCCATTCCAAACATTTGAAAAAATTACAAAAAAATGAAAATAAGGTATTGAGGGGGAAAATTACAAAACGCATGAATGAGGGAAAGGAGGAGATAAAAGGAAAGATAGATTATAGAAAAATTTAAAAATTTTCTTTACTAGTGTCCACCATTCCAACTCCATGAGGTTGAAGGTTGTTCACATGTTGAAAGTTGCTGAACAAGTTCAATGGTCTCATTGATTTCATCTCTGGTCTTTGTAAGCTTGGCGATAATTTGTTGACGCGTTGCTTCAGTGATAACATAATTTTGAAGAGGTTGTTGTTCTTCTTGACGATCTTCGTTACGTTTTGCCAATGGAGTTGGAATAACAATCTCCAAATTTTGTAGAGGGAAATAACTGTTGTGGTCGTATCCCATTCTCCAAGGAATAAATCCTAGACGTTGACGTTGGCGAGATTGACGTGATGTTCCACGGATTCCACCCATTTGTCGTAGCACAGGGAGATATGGTTCCCTGATTGGTCGTCCCTTCATTTGCCAGTGTTGTGCCACTGTTTCTCCTGGTTGAACAAGTAGCTTCTGTGCTGGCTTATAGGTGATGCAGTCCCAATCCGCGATGTTGTTGCCGTTAGTGTGGTCACGTATCATTAATCCTCGGAGTTGACGATTGATTCGGTCAATTGTTGCGACGGTTTTCCACCAATTGTTTCCAAATCGGCTTGCTAAATATTCATCTAGACGTTCGGTTACCTCTTGACGTTGACGATTACCGGTTCGACGAGAATATAAAGGTGGTGGAGTTACTTGACGATTATACGGAGGTGGATTTGACGCATGGCGATTACGAGGAGGTGATGGTGTTCTGGGAAATTGCGGTTCCATTTGACGATTGCGGCGAGGTGTTCCAAAACCTCCATTGTCGAATGGTGATAATGTACGTGAAGACATTTCGACGTAGACGATTCGAGGGGTGTTGTTGAATGAATGAATTTGTGACGATTTCAAATTAATATTTATAGTTTTAAAAATAGGCGTGTTGGTAATAAGTGTAATTTGCCATTGGAATGTTGATTGAATATATTGATAGGCGATTCTTATTTTATTTATCTCTGCTGTGCTGATTATGATGTCATACTTTTGTCGCTCACTTATATAAACCGTGTGTGGTCCAGTTAGTCGTTTGAAATATTTTTCCTTTTTCTGAAGGGAACATCCGGCCGGCCACACAGAAAGTGCAATAATGACGATTGGAATGTAAAATGTTGAATTGACGGGTAATATCGGCGCAAATCTTTTTTGGCGTTTTTGTCGAAAAAATGGACGACAGAGTTTTGGCGTATGTAGATAGACGTTTCGAATTATTAGGCATATTATACTAGTCGAAAGAACGACAATTCCAAAGAGATTCCATCCAAAAGTATTTTTTGACAATATAGGCGCAGACGAAATTCGTTCGGGTTTGTCGATTGTTGTTATATTGACTGCTTGAACTTGAACCAAAATTGCCAAGGTGGTAATTGTTCTAGCCATTTGTCGATAAATTCGAAATATAGGCGATAGTCGCATGAAGAGGTAGACGGCAAGTAAAGCAAGTCCAATTGACGTTATGATGCCAAGAAAAATTGGTCCTCCTTGAAGAAGTTTGCCGATCACCCATAAATCGAATCCAAAATCAGGCCATAAATGAAAGTTTCGGGATCCAAAATCAGTTGTTTTGATCGATGTTGTTGATGCCCCCATTGTCGTCGCAAAGGAATATAATAAAGGCTGCCGTTGAGGATGAAGTTGGTTTCTCCAGCAGGACAATCAACTGTACAAATAGTGTTGACATCTGCGTAGTCGATAGGGATTAATTCCTTTCCGAGGGTTCCATTTGTCGAACAATGGGCGACGAATAAAGTCCCATCTTCACATTTGACGGTGGCTAAGACGTTGGCGTTGTCTGATCGGCATTTGTACGTTATTTGCGCTCCAGCTCCACATCTGTAACATCCGTGTAGTCGAGCTTCATCCATAAAACATTTTGAATCACGAAGTTGAAGGTGTAGTGCTAGACTTTTCATTTGAAGATGAATTTGAATAGGCGCATAGACGTATGTTGCTGAAATTGATGGTCCAGTGTTTTCCAGCCATACTTTTGCTCTAGTGATTGGTAGTCGAGTTTCTGGGTTTTCCATCATGGCGTCAAGGTCCACATCTCGGCAACTACATTCAACTGTTCCATCATTGTGGTTCGGGAAGCATTCTTTGCAGGCTTCTAAGTCGAGGGAGCAATTTAAAGAACGAGCTGCTTCCTCTGTTGCACAGTGTAGATCAACGGGTAGTCGACTGACGATTGAGACGGTTTGTCCATTAGTGACGAATGTTGAACCAAGTACTGGCATAGGCGGAAGAGAGATTGCCAAGGGTGTGATGGTGATGTTTCCCCATGAAGATGTGATGCCGGGGTGTAAAATGATGGATTTTGTTCGTCGTTTACCACCATTAGTTTCTAACATAAGTTCGACGTCCATTTCCGGGCTCCAACTTGGGCAAGTGAACACTTCGAAGACGTTTGAACTTGTTGGTCGAGCAAAATATCGGTAGTATAGACATGCTGATGTTGGTAGTCCGCAACTGTTGCCCCAAAAACTTGTTGATGGAATACAGAAGGTGTTGCCAGGTAGTTCTCGTCCAACTTGGAGTTCTTTGACGTAACTATTGGGTCGGACATTTTCACAATGGTCGTTAAAACATGAGCCAGCTCGAGGGCATCTTTTGACGGCTGTTGGTTCGACGCGGTAAGAACGTAACCAGGCGATTGATTGCTGATGGCAAGCCATTTTCAAGGATGTTAGACGCATTGACAATGTGCCAAGGGTTAAACCATGTTCATCGCGAAGAAGCAATGTGTTGACTTGGCCAGCAGGTAATAGTGTAAGTGTGTTGGCACTATTGACGGTACAAGTCAATCCTGTCGTCCCTCTTAAACAGCTTTCAGTTTGAGTTGTGATTGAAATTACTGCCATAGTCGGAATTATGATTGCCGTGATGCTTGCTGCAATAAATAAGATGGTTGAAAATTTCTTCCTCAATTGGTGTCCTGGACGATGTATGTTTCTTAGTCGGTGGTATAATTTCCTCTCGGCGGAATTTATTTGTCGTTTCCAGGCTTCTTTGTCTTTCTTGCAAATTTTGTTGAACATCCAAAAGAAAGGATAACTTATTGTTGTTAAACTATTGACGATTAACTTGACGATGATGCGCATTGAACTGAAGACGGTGATGAAGCAACCAAATAAACTGCTGAAGGCAAAGATTCCTAATAAGAGCAGGAACGTAGCCCATTTGACGTTGCAAGTTGGATTGGCGAGTTGTTCGAGACAAAAGTAGCAGTCGATTAGGTCACATTCATTTACGGCTGGGCAATTAATCTTCTTTGTTATACTGTTGACGGAATTTTGCCAGAACCATGCTTCGCATTCATAGTCGTTAATGATGATTTCGGCGGTGAGTTCATAAGTGTACTCCTTCATGTCGGTGTGGTCGATACAATTCTTCATACAACAAACTGCAGTCTTCTGAACTTCGGGTGGTGCTTTGACGATTACACCTTTATTCGAGCATTGGAGTTGGCAATTCTCACACTTGTATTCGTAGAGGGAAAGTGCTGAAGCAATTGTCGAATAACTTAGAAGACATGAATAGTCGTATTGTCCGCATCGATACCATGGTGTTGTCGTTCCAAATCCTACAATATTGACGAGTAAGACAAGAAAGGTCACTAGCGTTGCCGTATTGACGATTGATTTGCGTGGTCTAAGAGTCATTTGATGTTGACGGATTGGTTTCTTCGGTTCTTTAGACGTTTCATGGTGAATTGCTGAGGTGTTTGTTGAGGGTTCGTCGATTTCGGTTTCCAAAGGACAGAGTCGGCTAACTGGTCGAGTGATGATTTTTCCATCTCCAGTTAATAGGTTGACGCTGCGGATTTCATTAGACGAGCCATTAAGTTCGACGATTTTTGCTAAGGGCCATAGATTCCTTGGTCGAAGATCCATCTCGACGAGAACAATTTGACCAATTTTCGGTGGTGATGTTGTTTGACTTCGTGGTCCTTTGTGTGTCCATCCAGCACGTTCTCTGATTGCCAAAATGTATTCGTTGCTCCATCGAGACCAGAAAACGTCTGCTGCTTCTCTATAGGCGTTCCAAAGTGCGGCTAGTTTCTCCGGTCCAGACAATTTTTCGTCGTCGCAGTCGAGATCACAATCTGTTGGTCCAAGGTCGTTTGGTCCACTGTTTTGGATGAGATCTTTCGGCGTCAACGGTTTTGGCGCTCCAGGTTGGTCGGACACCCAAGTGATTGGTCGACTGTTGACGCTTGCCTCCACTTCTGCTAAGAACGCTCCTAAATCGTCGTAGTCAAGAATTCTTTTGCCGATGGTGCGTTGAATTGCTCTTTTGACGAGTCCAATTAGTCGTTCATATGTTGCTCCCATCCAAGGTGCATAAGAAGGTATGAAGTCCCAGCGTATGCCATTCTTAGTCGTGCAGTCCCATGGCGGCTTTTCAGGCGGCGGTCCAGTGAGTAGGTCCAAAGCTTTGTGCACTTGAATAAAGGTCGGCGCGTTGTCGCTCAATATTCGTCGTGGTTTGCCCCGGCGACTGATAAATCGACGTAAGACGTTGACGACGGAGATTGATGACATGTCTCGAGTTGGTTCCAGGTAAATGCCACGGGTTACCATACAACAGATTATGATAATCCAGGTTTTGACGTTTTGGCCGGCGTAGTTAGTTGTAGTCGGACCAAGGAAGTCTATACCAACAAATTCAAAAGGCTTTGCTGGTCGAACACGCATAGTCGGCAGTTGAGGCATTAATGGACGGACAAACGGTGGTGCATGTTGTCGACGGCATTGAAGACATTTGTGCAGAATTCCTCTGATGGTTCGACGAGATTGAGGCATCCAATAACGGCTGAGGAATTCAGTCATTGTCCAATCGACGCCAGCATGTTTGAGATCCACATGTATTTCTTCTACCATTAGTCGAGTTAATGGCGAGTGTCGATCAAGAAGGATAGGCAGTGCCATTGTTTCGGGTCCATTACAGAAGTTGACGCGGGTCTTCAAACATAAAAGTCCATCGTTGTTAATTGCCGTGGGGTGTGTATTATAGTTTTCCAATAGACGTTTTTGTTCTTGTCGTATAATGAAAATTCTTGCTGCTCTGTAATCGTCGACAGTCATAGGTCCTTGGCGTGAAACTTTAGACGTTCCAATGTTGAACACATTTGGTCGTTTTAGTCCCATAAATCTGATGACCCAAATTACAACTCGAAGAAGAGTGAAGATTGAACTAAATCGTCCAGGGTCTATTGTCGGCGGTTCTGGTTCTTTAGTCGCGAAGGTTTTTGTGTCGATTTTGTCGGTAGGATTATTGACGTCCGTTTGTTTGTCGATGGTGAAAGATAGTTCGTCGGGCCACTCGTCTGACGGTCGCACAATCCATTCAGGTCCATTCCACCAAAGAGTCGATTTTTGAAGTTC